TATCTAATAGTTAGCCAAGGATTTACTTCATCCTACTGCCACGGAAGAACGCAGGAAACATAAGTTAAAGCGTCTTGTCCAGCACCCAAATTCTTTCTTCATGGACGTTAAATGCCCTGGATGTTATAAAATTACAACTGTATTTAGTCACGCTCAAAGCGTAGTAATATGTACCGGATGTTCTACAATTTTATGTCAGCCCACTGGAGGCAGAGCTAGGTTAACAGAAGGTAAACTAAGTGCATTTATTAAACAAATTAAATCATTTATATATTCTAGATACAAATTTGAACAGGTAACTGTTGCTATTTAATAATGTAGGAAGGTTTTCATAATTATCTAGTAGTGTAATTTTACAGATTTTTCATTATCAATATTAATGCCAAAATGTCTATAGTAAATCAGTTGATTGAATTGTTAAATCCATTATGGTATAAATTTTCATTAAGTGGTGATTATATTATTGAAATATTAATCATGGTACTGAAACCACGAAGAAGCCATAGTATTATCAATTGTCAAAGCGTGTTTTAGCGTTAAATGATCTATTGCTTTTTAACTTCTTAATCATTGATTAAAGGTCTAATGATCAACCATCTGAGGTTGGTTAAACAATAATTAGTTAATTTTCCGTCTATTATCAGGGTTGTAGATTGCTCTTGCCTCATGATATCAACGTTGTTAATAATATGGTTACCCAGTGTATATGATTTCTGCTTAATCACTGTATGACTCAAGAAACGTTTTACAATTAATGACAACATTTAGTTTATATAGGTAATATATATAGAGTATTTTTCATTTAACTATAACTGTGGTGCCAACTAGGTATAAACACTGTAAATTTATTATTGTATAATATTTACTTATATAAAAAAATATTCATCTATTCGTCACATAATTCACTAGTCACAACTAATAACCTAACATTAGTAAATACTTTTACCAACTCAAAATGAATGGTTATAAAATACACAACTATTTACTGGAAATAATATCTACATTACAGTAACCAACTTGCAAAAACATCTGAAAACAATTAACTCATGGTTACAACACCAAATCACGCTTATTCATCAATGTTATCAAATATACGTGGTTATATATCTGGAACAATTTAAACATTTTTTTTTTTTATGCAACATTGTTACGCTTTACAGATACTTATAAGTTAAAAGCATCTATAATAAAACCCAGGTGTAGTATTTTTGCCTCACTTATTTTTTTATTTATACATTCATTTTAATATAAATGGTCTGTATTATCTTTTTCCAATTTTAAATCTCTTACTTAAATAGCATAATGTTCAAATATTTGTTTGAAATTTTATTTAGTTTGGTTATAATTAATCTTGTATGTACGTTAAAAATATTTTCTATAAATTTAGGATTTCATTGAGACTAAAATTTGTGATTTCTATGTTCTTGTTATGTATGAAAAAAATCTCGATAAATATAATTATAATTAAGCCATTAATTACTTTTTACTTATTAAAATAGTTTTTTTTTTTATTAAATCTAAGAAAATGTGTACAAATAGTTACAATACAATATAATAAGTAAACTAATACAATATCTCTCTTAGCAAGGCGGATAGGTACCTTTTCTAAGCCTAGTTAGTGATGAGGTTAAAGAGTTAAAACTGTATTTTAGCTTTATTTTTATATTCTTAATAAACTTTAATTTAACATTGTTTGAAAGCCAACCAATGATTATAATAAATATATCCATCATTATATATTTTAAGTTACCTATTGTAAATCAGATTTTAACATTATACAGACATACTTTGCACCATAGGTGGGCTACTGTTGTAGGTGATGTTGGGAAGGTAGGATTTAAAAGGGAATTCCATTTATATTTGTAAGTAATGATAAACCATTACCACCAATATTTAAGGTTTTCTTTAAAATTTGATATTTAAATTCTTATATATATATAAAGTACTATATTTATTTATTTCATTACTAAGTTATAATGAACTTCTTGTTGAATTCAAGTCTTTCAATTTGGCCTGTTTTGTATACAGAAGAGTACTTACTCAATAAAAAGTATATAAAAACCTTTTATAGTTAAAATGGCTCAAATATTATAAAAATTTTATAACATGAAAATACTAATATACATTTTTGTCCAAATTTTAAGTTTGTACGAGTATTTTCTACTAAATGACAACAACAAACAAAATTAAAAATAATAAAAGCATTATTTTTATATTTTTTCCTGTTCTTTTTACGTTTTTGCACTAATATTAAAAAAACTACACAGAAAATTAAAAATAACAATTGTTTCAACTAAATTAAAAATGCAACGAGAAAGATCTATTGTTTTTTATTGGAGAAATATTTCTGGTAGAAAATGTAAGTTATAAAAATATTAATAAATCATGAAATCTTTATCCAATATAAATATATATGTCCATTTTTTACCAATTATAAAAACCACTTAGCTAGTTGAAAAAAAAAAAATAACCACCCTAAAATCCCAACTAGATAATATTTCTTTTCAGGAAAGGTGCTATTATATTTGATACCAATGAGCAAGTTGAGAACTATAAGAAATTTTACACATGGTATAAAAAAATAAAAAAAAAAATTGTAAAACCAACACATTCCTCGCTACCCTCCAAATCTAAAATAATTTTTTATAATACTTAATTTCAATTTTCAATGAATTCATTTTGTACAAATTATGCATTAATAATTATTATATTTGATTTTTAAAGGTATGATTTGTCAGGCATGGATATAATGTTTTAACTGTTTGTACAGAAATTGTATAAACCCGGTTTCCATTGCACGATAAATGGCGATAACTGAAATATTTTAGTTGTGCGACTAATGTGACTGTTCCCAGAGCACAATAATAGCATGACTTATCAAATTTCCAAGAACTATATCATCTACATTGATATTTTTAGTTATTTTAATATTTCATTAAAAATCTTCACTATCCTAATGTTTAAATATTTCATTTGTGTTAAACGTATAAAGATTGGCATTAAATTAGCAAACATAATTTCATTGTCTTCTAATACAAGAACAGTGTTATTATTATTAACAACCTATCTATACATTACAATTGGTTTTTAATTTTATACAATTTGATTTAAAAAACTCTGGCAGTTACTAATTGAATTAGAAAATAATTGTTCCACTGTGATATGTTGCATCTTAGAAACTACTCTATTTGAGTCGGTCATAGATATCAATCATGACACTTTATGCTTAACAAACTTTACATTAGTCTGCAGTTCTCAACCATTGTGTATTTGCAACTCAAGATATACTTAATTTTAAAAATTTAATAGTTTGTGCCCCCAATATACTTAACATACAGGGTAAATTTTTTTATTCTTGAACACTATTTTCTAAAGTACCTATAGATTGATATGATAATGCCAATTTAAGAAACAAGTTGATCTAAAAATGTTACATGTCAATTATTTTTGGGAGTGAAACGACTACCTACTTTTTATTTAAAATGATAACCTATATTAAAAAGTTAAGGAATATCTATTATGTGGCAGTGTTTAAATATTGTTCCACTACTGTCCTTCTACCTATATTTAAAAGTGGAAAATGGCTCTTGAATGGTTTGATGGAAATCAAAAATTTTATCACCAGTATTTATTTAAACTAATACTCTATCTATATTTGTAATTTTTAATGTAGGTTACCATTTGAAAATCAAAAGCTGGGTAGTCTTTTGACTCTGAAATATTGGTCCTGTAACATTTTAGATATTTTGCTTCTTTTTTAAATTGTCAAAACATTTTTCTTTTTTTTTGATTCTAAATAATAAGTTTTTACTTTGTGAAATAATGAGTGTTTAGAGATAAAAGAATTGTCATGTATACCAATTTATTAAAATCTTTAAACTAAATAAATATAATAAAATTGTAAGTTGTCAGATAATGCTATTATTTTATGAAAGGTAGTTATTTTATATATATATATATGTTTTGTTTTAATATTAATTGATCAAAATTTATCCACAATAAAAATGTTAAGTATCTATGTTACCTTGAGTGATTATTATTACTTTTAAAATTTGTATCATTTAATTGACAAAAATGTTGCATCAAAAAAAAAAAAAAAATTTGAAATAATATTTTATTTATTAGTCATTTATATAATTTCAATGCATATTGTAAATATTTATGGATAAGCATATAAAATTTGTTCATAATTTTATTAAATCTACAGAACACTTATTTAACAAGTTAATTATTTTCTTCTCATTCACCTTCGTACTCTAAGTATTTTGGATCATAGAACCTAAGCCTTAACTTATATTTTAGCTTATGTATTAAAATCATGTTTCCATTTTTATGATTTTTTTTATTACTCTATAATATAAACAATAAATTTTCTTCAAAATGTATAGATGCCTAACCTCATATTTAATTTAATATCAATAAGTATCTCTGTAAATAATTTAATGTTATCAAAAAAGTTTTTACCTCCATAATTAGCCTTTTCAAAAATATAATATACTTATTGATAATTTGTATCCAAAATGAAAACGTAAAAGATTAGTTGCATTGCCTTATTTTTTTATCAAATTGGTATTTTATAATTTTGCTTAGCATTATCTTTTAAATGTTTATATTATGTGCAATAATGATTATTTTTACCACTATTCGTACAACCTATTTTATTTTTAATGATTTTATGTTTCAGGTTGTTCCTTCAGGAAGAAATCTTACTAAGACCATGGCTCCCGTATTTTAATGTACAATATAAATATACGTTAAATAATAAAATCTTAAAAAAAAAAATAATATCATTTTTTATTCAAATCATTTTTTATTTTTATTCATTTGTCCTATAATCGTTTACAAAAGAAAATATATGATTTTCTATAATATATTTGGACACCTATTGACTAGTTTATTTATAAAATGTTGATAATAGTCTTAAGATGTACGATTAATTTTTGAATTTTAAAGATTATTTACAATGTTAGTGATTCTATCAATTTTTTTTAACATTAGCTTGAAAATTTAATAACTGGAAGATTAATTTGTTTCTTATTTCCTATAGTTTTTTTTAAACAAATTCAAACATTTTTAAATTTCTGAGTGAGTATCAACCCAATTAACTAGTTTGTTGTTCTGACTAAATAATGCACAGAGTCCAAATTGATAGAAGTAATTAATTGGCTCTGTGGTAATATGTTTACTGTGATTTAAACAAAATATCTAGTTTTTTTTTCCATTGTAGCTGCGCCAATGTATATATTAGAAAAATTAAATGATAACTATTGTTGTTTAATGTAAACATAAAACGGTAAACAATTTAAAAAAAAAAATAATAGAATTCCTAAGTAATGATCAAATGTTGACTAAAGTGTTATCATCTAATCGTTATCAGAAAAACTGAAGTTTATTGTTATCAGTCTTGTGCGCGGTGTATCAGTCGACGGACGTCTTTAACGATCGTTATTTTAAACTGGATACATTTTGGAGAACGAAAGGAATAAATCGACCAGCGGGAATCCCGGATGAACGTTCAGGTATACGCACGATTTTTCTGGAAAAAATAGAATTTTCATTTGTTTACAACGGATAATTAGAAAACACATGTACGAATACAGTGTCCTTGTGCGGTAGGTGAGCAGTAACCACCATCGGGTTTTCGCGGTTGTTGTCCGTTGTTCAGTGCTGCCAACGGACAAACGTTGCGTACCGGTGTGGCTTTTGGCTACAGTCGACACCGAAAGTCGTTCTTTTCGGTCGAATACGTTACAGTGCGGTTACCAATCCGGCCGCGTATTCATACGCCGCGTTGATAACGCCATCGCTTTGTTTACGTTCGCCGATATCAGTTTTTCGGTATTGATAAAAAAAAAATAAAAATAATAAATTAAGATTACGAATGTTAACTCAATACATGCTCATTTTATATTAATATGAATTGTATATTTAATATTTTAACGTCCAAATACGAGATTAATGACATGTGTACGCAGCATTAACGCTAGTGCAAAGATTTATTGCAATTTTCCGTTGTGTCATTATCGTTACACAACCATTGCGCGTGTCGGTCGATGCTGTGTACCCGAAAACCAAACTACAACGACTGTCGAAAGTGGTGAAAATAGTGAAGGGAGCAGTACGTCGTGTGAGCAGTGGGCACGGCGACGGCGGCGCAGTTTCAACGTTCAGTAAGTAATATGTTTCCTTTTTTTTTTTGGGTAATGCTTTGTGTCTATGCACCACTGTCCGTTATACAGTAGCCCGTCGGTTGTATGGTGCCCACGGCCGTTTGTTTACCTTTTCGATATCTATTTAATCGTGTATCAGACCTCGATTGGTCATTTTTATTTTAAGTATTATATTTCAATATCAGTTCAGTGATCATCCATTTATGCATTTGTTTATGTATGATATCGCATGCTATAGTGATAGTAACTATAACTTTAATATTAATTCTGTCATTATACATTTACAGAGAGCGGAATGAGGTAACCCTTGAAATAATTAAACAGCAAAAGCAATGCAGAATGTATTTCCCCGGGACATGTTTACAATTGGTTCATTTGACAGCAGTGTTAAATGCAACGGACATGTTCAATTGCCTGGACGAACACCTAAAAAAGACCGCAAGGGGTGTAAAAAAGAAAAAATTGAAACTGTGTTAAAGAACCGGTTGATTTCATCATCAAAAACCAAAACACCCACTGTTAAACTTTCAAAAATTAATGTAAAATCTAAAAATCAACTAACCAAGTCGGAATCAGAAGAGTTTAATATGACAGTAGATTCTGTGGTAACTAAACCTATTACCAACGATGATGTAGCTATATTTCCAGATATTTTGTTTAATAACATTAATAGTCTTGTTAATAACCAAATTGTTAATCTTAATAACCAAATTGTTAATAACATTAATAATCAGATTGTTAATAATATTAATAACCAAATTGTTAATAATGTAATATGTCCAATATCAACTCCACCTCAGCAACCACCATCAACACCATCACCACCACCACCACCAGAACCATCACCACCACCACCGCCACCTCCCCCATTACCACAGTCACCACCACCGCCACCAACACCACCACCACCACCACCACCACTTCCTGTCGATATCCCAGAACAAGAGGTGGAAATTTGTTTGTCTACTGAGGTAGAGCCGTTGCCAAAAAAGCCAAAAGCTAAAAAAAAATATAAAAGTAGAGCTGACAAAATTGGTTTGAGTGGAAATAAAAAATCTGATAAAGTAGATCCTCCATGCGTGAACGACAAGAACCAGTTGAGTTGTAATGTAATTACTATTCCACCTAAAAGAAAGTACGCCAAATTAACCAATTGGCAAAAAGATTGTGGTACCAGACATGAAACATTGCAAAGGATGTTAATGGAATGTGAAAATGAAGCCAAATTGAGGGAAGACCTCTATCCTTTAGGCAAGTCAATTATTAATAATACTAAAATATAATAACTATTTAGGTAGATTTAAACATTATATATTTTACTTTTGTTTATTTAAATGCAAATATTTGGTTGTTATAGATTTAGTATCATATGATGTTGAGGATGCTGATAATCCATTGAGTTTAGAATTTGAGGATGCACCGTATCAAAGATTTTGGTTACCTTCTGATCGAATTGACTCTACTGATCGAGATGCCAAAATAAACAACCTACGATCAGAACTTCGACGAAAGTTTCACCAACTATCTAACCTTCCTGACAATTCGCCATCGCCTGATTTAGTATTAGCACTGACAGATGCTGTGCGGTATAATCCAATTTGTATTTCCAAATTAGAAAGTCAAGATTCATCTAAACTTAAAACTAAACCCAAGAGGTTTGTTAATAAATTATAGATAATTGATAAATGATTAATAATTCTTTGTTATATATTTAACATACGAATAATCAGTGAAAACTCAAATATTCTTCACCAATTAAAATATTTATTTTTGGTTTCAGAAATAGCGGTATAACTCTAGTACAGCAAAAGTGCTGTTTAGAAATATGTAACTCCCCAGCTATACCATGTACCCGTCATTGTTTTAAACACATCTTACGAAATGTCGATCAACTCCTTTTCGAACACTGTTCTGCGCGAACTATTCATGGTCCATGTACCAATGCTGTGTTTAATATTCATAACGTACAACCTTTATGCTTTGAACATTTGTACTGTACTGAAAAAATTGTTCAGGTGAGTTCAAAATCAGTTATTAATTGTTTAAGTTTAATGAATTAATTATGTTTATAATTTATTCTAGGCTGAGGAAGTGCCTACAGTTAAGTCTAAATCACGTAAAAGGCCAAAGAATTCTCTGTTTAATAAAGTGACGAAGCGCAGTAAAAAGAAAAAAACCCTGTCAGCTACATACCCTCCTCTTGAACCCCCACCCTATACAGAGACAATCGTACCTAATACTATCGAGCCAATTACGTGTACCAATGATCTGCCTCAAAATATTAGCAATTGTGATGTCACTTCACTGTATTCGTCTGTCGCTAATCCTGATATTTATCTTCATCCTGGTAAAATTGAATTTTATAAAATTTGAAACGTTTTAATTGATAATGTCAAACATAACAATTTGTTGAAACTAATATATTTTATTTAAAACAGTTGGCAATACAATTATAACCAATGAGGTTGAAGTTGGTGATGAAGTACTTGCAGACTTAGAAGCAGCTGATTTAGCAAGTCATGAATCACGACTATTAGACGATCATGATGATATTACCAGCGTTTTCAGTCAAATACCCGTAGATGCTTTCAACGATCTCTTTACTGGTAAATATTATTTTGTTTATTGTGTTAAACATGTTTTATAATTTTTTTCCCCTCTTTTTAGTCGATAAAAATGGACAGTATGTGCCTTCCCGTGAAGAAACTGAGGAATTAGAACGGGCATTAGAAGCTGTTGACATGGATGTCCGGTCACTAGAGAGATTGTCACAAACTCACTTGGCCCATATGTCCTTAGATCCAGCCTCACTATTAGCAGATTTACCGATACCTCCTTTTTCCAGCTCATAGCGAATTCGAGATATTAACAAATTTAAGGTAAATTTCGGGACTAAAAAATTAATCATTGGGTATAAATAAGCATAAATAAATTCTTACCAGAATTAAAGAATTGATATTCATATTGTCTCCTTTTCTGGAATTTATTCATTTACAATTCCTGCATAATATTAATCGTCTATTTGATTACAATTTTCTATTTATTCAATATAGAATAATAATGCATTTTATAATATTTATAAAATGTCTAGGCCAAATATATTTGTATACGTGTTTAAAAATGTGCATTTAGTATAATAAAATTCCTGCCTATCTATAAAGCAATTAATACATTCTATATAAATACAATAAATAATTATATATTACCTATATCTATATCTATATTTTAAAATAGCTCTTCTGTCTACAGACAAATAATAGATTCCTTTAATTATTATAGATATTAAATTTTTAAACCATAAAGTTATAAATATAGCTATAATTTTAAATTCAGATTTTCATTATGAACTAATTTATTTTCTCGTATACTGATAGCTTGTTATTATTTTGCATATTTTTTCAAGCTTTATATAGGCCAATGTATGCATTCAACAAGGAATTAAATTTAAATTTTTTTTACCTAATTCCAATTACCAATTAGTGCCTTCATGTTGTACATCCTGGAGCAAAAGTATTTTGTCTATTCATTGAAAGTATGATCATGTTTTGATATGGTAGTTGGCTTTTTAACAACTGCAGATTGTTCTTGCATCTCCATCAAGTGTTTTGTACTCTCAGCATGGCTTTCGGCTGCTTAGAGAAACTGCATATTCATGTTTATCATAAGTGATTAACTGCATTTTTGATTTACTGTCTTCATTCAAATTTCACTTTTAGCTTTGTGTTTACTAAGTTTCTTTTGACCAAAGCTTGAATTATTTTTTATGGCTAAATCAATTCAAATTAAATTGTCCTCTTAATCAGAAACTTAGTAACTCATTACGCAGGATATAAAGACGCAGCAGAATACTACGCGGAGAGTACAAACACTTGTTGGAGGAAATTCAGAAAAACTAAAAGTGTTAAGAAGCCAATTACTCTATCAAAATGTGCCCAAAGATCCGAGAAGCTATCCAGATATTTTTACTCAATAATAGAAGTCATGAGCTACCTTGATTTGGTTTTATATTGCTGAATTATAGTTTAATACGTTTAAAAAAAAAAAAATTTAATTAATTAATTTTTTTTTAAATTATTATTATTGTTTAATGTGTGATATTAAGCTTTGAATTAAATTTACAACAATAAAATTAGTGAAATTGGAAAATGAACAGTATTTAACAATAATATTATAAAGTATCAACATATAGTTATTATAAATAAAATACCTCATACCTGATATTTATTTATTTTTAATTTAAAACAAAACAAGTTGTTTTTTTTTTTAAAAAAATATAAGAGTTTAATTACAAAAAAAGTTGTATTATGTTATAGCTATAGTTTTAATGGATCATTATATTTTGATATGAATTTATACTTTAATATAATTTAAAATATTAAAGTTCTTTTAATAAATAATTTATGTTTCGACAGTTCAAAAAAAAAAAATAGTTGGAATTACTAGATATGCAATTATATATTTTTTTTTTCAATTATATAATTTTTTATTCAGAATATCTTTGAATTAAATTTTTACATTCCTTGTATTATATCAATTAGGAAGTAAATTTTTTTTTTTGTTACCAATATATTTGAATAATCAAAGATTTATAATTTATTTTAATTTTAAAAAAAATTGCATTACTTAAATTAAATTGTTCTTACAAAATGTCAACAACTTTTTACTTAAAATCTAATTTTTAGTATTTTGACCAGCTCATTATGTGATAGATAATAAAATTACTGTGTGTGTTTAATTAACATTATACTTTGTACAGACTTTTTTTGTGATTATTAATGTACATACTAAGTTTAACTACAAAATAATTTTAAATAATATTTATTTTTATACATACTTAATAATATTATTAATTATTGTTGTGACTCAATGTGAAAGTATTTATTTATGCAATATAATGGGTGATTTAGATTCATTCATTAGTCATTTAATTTTAACTATGACATAACGGGAAATAATTAATAAATTAATCATTTAATAATCATTAGTATCATTAGTATTATTATTACCCTTTATTAATAATTAAACTTTATCATTTAATGTACATATCTGAATGTTCAATAATATTAGATAATTGTTGTTATTGTTAAATTTTATACAATGTGTCAGTTTTACAAACAATTATATTCGACATATATAGTTAAAAAATTAATATTAAAACTATTTTTATTACGTTCAGACGATTGATGTAAAATTCAATTAGTTCAAGTTGTTAATATATATATATATATATAATATGTTGTGGGCATATAGTTAAATCCGGCACTTTACTAAATGCCTAGGCAAATAGTCAAAGAATTTAATTTGTATGTGATTTTACTATCTGTCTAGACATTTAGTTTAAGTTATAATAATAAAATTATAAGAAACTTATAGTTTATTTAATATCTATTTTAAGCCAGGCAAGTAATAAAATGAAACTTATTTATATTATTTAAAAATTAAACTATATTTTTTTATTATCTATTCATTGCTATTCTATATAAAAATCATGTATAATTTATTAATATGTAAAATATGTAGGTATATGAAATATTTTTCATTTTTGTGCCCTTAAGTATTATTTTTTTGAAATTTAAATTATATTTAAATATAGGTAGTTATTAATCGGGTATGGTCCAAGTATAAATATAGAATACAAAGTTTTATTATAATTACAAATGTTTCTTAGTTTTTAATTACAACTTGTTGTTGCATATTATTGTTTGATGGCATTTTTTGGAACCTTAAACATTTTTTTTCAAAACACAAACTCTGACTGTTTTAACATTGCCGTTTTTCTGTTTGACAATGACAATTAACTAAACCTCGGTTGTTGAAATTTGATAAGTTTGCTACAGCTTCATTATAGATACAAATTTGCCTTTGAGTATCTGCTATCTTTTAAACCATTATTTGAGACCATAGATGTATAGATTAGGTTCTCATATGAAAATATATTACCTTTTAAAAGTATAAACCTACTAAAGTTATATTTTTACATTGTTGGAAAAAATAATTAATAGGAAAATATAGTTTATTTATTTATTTTAAAATAATATACAAACATTTTATTTTTATTATTTGCCTGGCTTGAAATAGAAATGTTTTAAAATTATTGTTTTTAACATCAACTACAGAAATATATATTTAGTTAAATGTCCAGGCAACTACATGACTAAGCATTTAATTAAATTCTTTGACAATTTACCTAGTCTTATATATGTACATATTAATAAAATAAATTAAATTTTAAGTAATTTTAAATTGTTTAGTTAAAATTATTATGTTTTAATGGATTATACAGTGTTTGATGTATTAATAAGTTTTCAACTATTTTTTGTAATTATTGTTAAATTATTCTGTACAGTACTTAGTTTTAGTAGTTTCAATTATTTTCAATTTGAAAAAAATTGATTTATTTATTAAACTTAAAATACGCTATTATTCATCTAGTAAAAAATAAATCCCAATGTTTTTAATTTTTAAATATTCCGTTTAATAATAATGAAATATTATTATTTGCATTTAACATAAATAAAAATAAGTATTTGTATTTTTACGGGCATTGGAAATGTGCATATCTAAATTTTCATATCACGCAAATAACAAAATTGTTGGTAACTTAACTGCAGTTAACAATAAATAGTATTAGGAAACAATTATAATTAAATTACTTATTACACATTTTAAATATAATTTGCCTTATTAGGTAATATATAATATCTTTTTTAAATAATATTTTTTATTTTTCACATTAAACTGTTTAAATATTTAAATTTTCATGTATTGTTTCAGATAAGAGACTTAAACAAGTGCACAGATTAGTGAGAAGTGAATATTAAAAATAATTTAATGTTAACATAATATTAAAAAAAAACAAAAAAAAAAAAAATAGTTATTCATTTAATATGACCACAATATGTTGGTTGTACACAGGTGTTGTTAATCGTTTACACACTTTTAAATAAATATTAAAACAATGGTCAGCTGGTGGTAAGTTTGAGCAATACTTAATCGATATTTAATATTGTAATTGAGAACGAGGCTGCTAAAAAAAAAAAAAAAGCTTAGTAGAGCACAATACTAAATTGCGGTGTTATTTATTATACATTTTTTTTTTAATCTATAAACTTTTTAATATAATTATTTACTAGGAATATTATATAACTTGTGTTCTTACAAAGTGTATTTTCTAAACGTTTGTAAATTACCTTGGGTTGACAAGGTGTTTTTTTTTTCTGTTCTACAACGACAATATTTCTAAAGACTACTAAAAACAAAATATTATCTGCCACAAGCATTTTGTTGAGTTAACATTGTATAATTTCTTTAATGTGTAACGTATAACAAAACATAGTATATTAATTATATTACTAGTTGCACATTCCACTTGCGACTGTAATTTTTTTTTATATTATAAACCTACCTATACTATACAATATCAATACTTAAAATAACATCATGTATTACTATTATAATTATTTATTTTTTGTATTGTATAAATGAAGACTACCTATATTCTTCCATAATTATGTGTAAATAATGGAACGTGGTATTTTTTTGCATTTTATTTTCTTCATATATAATGTTGTTTTTTTTTTTTTTTTTGTACAATTGTGAACAAAATATATCTTAACTAGTAGGTTATAACTAAATATAATAATAATAATTTTTATTTGTAATATGTATGTATAAAAAAATGAAATACACAAAAACCTCCCAAAAAATATCATTTTAATATTATTACGGTATATAACATGAAAAAACAAAATGTAATAATCCTCCATCAGTGCACTAGCGGTCAGACTTATCATCACAGTTCCTTGAAATATTTGTAAGCGATTGAAAAATCTCGGTCAGCCCAACCTTTTTTTGATATCTCTTCATACAGCTCAACGGTTTCCCGCGTTAGTAGTGTTGTAGCTCCAACTTCTTTAGCCAGCGATTCACCCAGGCGCATGTCTTTCAACAGCAGGGCCGCTTTGAAACCTTTCTGAAAGTGTTGTTCACTTGGTTATTATTATTACAGCTGAATTTTTTAAAAAATGTTTAAAATCCTAGAAAGCCTCTAGAAATTTTTTTTTCAAATACCTACCTACAAAATTGAATGTTATAATTTACGAAGACGAAGCGGAATATACAGTGAGTGTAAAAAGTATTCGTACACTCTACATTTTTAAATAAATATTCATTTTTCTTCATGATATTTTATTTTTCTCGATGAATTAATACACGCATATTATTCTTTTACGATTTTTAATTAAATTAAAAAAAAAAAAAAACCATGACAACAGTTATATTAATAATAATTATCAATAACAAACAAAACAATAAATATATAATAGTAAAAAATAATAATAATAATAAAGAGTTGTATCAAAAAAGTTTCCAACACCCTGAGCACTCATACATTCCCAAACCATTACAGAACCTCCTCCGTATTTCACTGTTGGCTGCAAATTCTTTGGTTCCATTTCTGTATTCGCTTTTCTCCAAACAAAACGTCTTCCATCAGAGCCAAAAATATTAAATTTACTTTCGTTTGTAAATATAACTTTTTTCCAAAAGTATCAGNAATCCCACAAATTCTCAATAGGATTAATGTCTGGAGACTGTGGTGGCGTCACAAGATATTCAGTTACATTGTTCAACAACCAAGCCTTAACTTTTTCAGTAATCACTATTTTTTAAACAATTTCTAATTGTACTTATACAACCACGTACTCTAGAAAAATTCGCAAGATCTTGTGCTATTCTAGTAGCGCTTATTTTTAGATTCAATTTGACTTTTCGTTAAACTATACGTTTATCATGGTCAGAAAGTTTTTTTGGACGACCAGATCGTTACTTATTTTCGTGACTTTTCCGCTCACTGTATCGATCTATCACGTCTTTCACAGTGCTATGAGCTCTGTTGACAATTNGAGCGCTTATTTTTGGATTCAATTTGACTTTTCGTTAAACTATACGTTTATCATGGTCAGAAAGTTTTTTTGGACGACCAGATCGTTGCTTATTTTCGTGACTTTCCCGCTCACTGTATCGATCTATCACGTCTTTCACAGTGCTATGAGAGCTCTGTTGACAAATTTTTGATATTTGACGTAATGATTGACATTGATTATGCAACCGCAGAATTAGTTCACGTTCAGTTTTATTTGTCTAGCATTTTTTTCGACTCATTTTGTGATAGATGATATTCCAATAATATTTCGAAGCTAACTGAATTGGTATAATCTTGTAACGTGGTCGGGGACAAACTTTTAATGTGACATTTTGTACACCTTATCGTTGTCGTGGTTTTTTTTTTTTTAATATAATTAAAAATCGTCAATGAACAATACGCATGTATTAATTTATCGATGAAAATAGAATATCATGAAGAAAAATGTATATTTATTTAAAAAAGTAGGGTGTACGAATACTTTTTACACTCACTGTACATCCGATCTCTGTTATTTATGACGTACCCCAAGATATTATACACGTAAGTACCTACCCGATGCTAATTTTAATTTTCTCAATATTGTGTCTGGGTACTATTGTAAGTTGTAATAAAACAAAATTTATCGCCGATTTGTGAAAACATATTTCGCAAACTGCAGTTAAAGCTGAGCCCTCGGATTTAATTAGGAATTTCTTATTTTCGCCTACCGCTGTTGTGATTTCGAGAACAAATAATAAAATTATCCGCGGTGCGAAGACTCAAGAAGATGGGTAACTTTTCGCACCTGATAGTCGTCGTTGCTGGGGCTTTTCTCGACGGCACCGGGCACGGGATTGTTGATTTCCGAGGCCCAACATCTCCCCGAACTCGTGTTGATGACCGACGCCAAAATGTTCGGCTCCATGCCCGACCTGTGAAAATGCCAAACATGGCGTATAAATAAATATGTTTCACTTTTGATGTGCAATTATTCCGCATGAATCCGATAGTCAATTTTTGAATGCATATGGAATTCAAAGAAACTAAACAAAAAAAGAAGACAATGTTTGTCATTGGAGGATTTATTATTTACCCGGTACCGAGTTTACTTACCCGTACGTGTACGGTATAGTAACTGTATTACATCGGAAGAATCGATAGTAACCGATAGATATATAAACCGGAGCGTAGCCGATTTATAAGTCGCGAAGAGTTAACGGGGCCCTGGGAATAAATATCGGCGTTTGACGGTAGGTCAATGCACGGCATTAATTAGTGCACTTGTACGTCCAAAGGAATTAACCGATCTTAATTCGTGATACGTCCAAATACCGTAAAAAAAATTAATTTCGTATCAAAAGAACAGTATTACAACATCTGTTATTATAAATTTGTACGATTTGTTTGTTATTAATTATTAATACCCATGCCTAATTCTATTTACCAATTATCTTTCGATTGTCTTGCTAAACTGTGTAAGGCAACGGGTATTATACTTGTGATGATATTTTTTATTCTCAACCCTACGTCCTTTCCCCGTTGAAAGTGAGCCTTAGCTCACAAATACACACCCTCATCCGCTTTATATAAAATTTTCAAAAATTGTCCACTCCCTCCCAACATTTAGCCCAAATCACGCCACTAAATCGGATGGGACAAGTCATATAAATACGAAGACAACGAGCGAGCGTGTGTATTACACGTGCTCGCATTTTATGAATTATTTTTGTACTGAATTAATTACCGCCCCCTTTCCCTCTCGATAAAAAAAAACTATTTCACTGTATCGTGTGAAAATATAATATTATTATCCTTTTTCACATAATTTGTCGGACACTTTCATGTAATAACGGTTTACTGAAAATGCGCTCGAATTCTAGAAATTGGTTATTAAAATTGTTTTACACACTGATCGAAGTGAAAAAGTGGTGGTAAATTTTTTTTTAGGGTGTGATTTTTTTTAGGTATGAACTGGTCCGACAGACCCTTCAAATGAAGCTAGGGGATGACATTTACATAAATTGAATTGATATCCTGGGTATAATGTATTCTTTTAGGGGGTTTTAACCATATAAATCCCTACCTACAGTATTTTAATGTTATTATGTCATGGGGTTTCACGATTTCCATAGCTTTGCACATCTTATAAAACTCCCGAAATTAAGTTACAGGGTTTTTATTTAGTATATGAATTGCATTAGTATCGCGGATTTGATCAAGGATCAAGATAAATTCTGAACGAAGCAAGGAATGTATTGGTACATTAATTATTACTATGATGTTTTATTTTCTGTTCGTTAGCAAAATTTGTAGTAGAATTCTTATACCAAATTTTATCTTATCGGTTTATTTGGCTTAGTGGGTAGTTTTTAAAATTGTTTTTGTTTTTTTTTTAAACTGGGTAAATGGGAATGTTAAATTTATGATTTACAAATAGATTATGTTATAATCGGTTTAATTATGATTTTATTTTTTGTTGGTAATTTAGTGATAAATAATCGCAGACCTGAAATCATCAAGCATTTTCTAGACTTACAAATTTAGAAACATTTCGGCGGTTTTTAGTTATTTGAAATTTAAGTAGTTTTTTTATTTTTTTTTTGTGGTAAACACCTATTGGTTATTGATGGAAAACAAATAAATAGAATTTCGTTATTTATTTTGTAGGTAGTTGCAAATTAATACAATGTTGATTTCAATTTTATCAACAAATATCCTCGCAGAATCGTTTTTTATTCCTAATAGTTTGTCATTGAATAGAGATTATAAATTAAAAATAGCCCTTATATTATAGCCTACAACCTTTCAACATACTATAAACTATTATTAAAGCTTGACCGTTTTTATACGCCGTACTAAATCAAAAATATAGAATGCTACGAAATTGTGTGTCGTGTAACGTACCTACACATATTTTTAACGGTAAGATTTCACATGTAAAAATATCTATAGCAGATTTATTATAGACAATGTTTTTTATAAATTAATCGCGAAAATCACTCTTCGATGAAAAAAATAGGACACCAAGCTGCGAATAACAGGAAAATCCTGTACGTTTGGTCACCCTACGCTATACAGTAACTATTATCTATTGTATCGTTCGGCATTCACATATTATTTTTAATTTTTATTTGTACATTAATATTGATTATTGTCCATCTTTCTGGTATTGTAATAAGCAATGGGTAACGTTCCGTCGTCATCCAGTTCCCGTCATCGCGTTAGTGTATACCGCTAGACTGCCAAAGATCGACTGTGTTAGGTCAGGTGTGACTAATCGAACGTCGGACCGAGTGTCATGTCTTAAGCACGAACTAAGATACACAGGACTGGTGCTTGGTAGATACATTATTATACGCTGTCATGCTGTTAACACAGAAAAGTCAACTGACCGTTGTAACACAAACGAGAGAAAAGATGAGTTCATTTTTGGACACTTTCTGGTTTTCGGTCTTTGAATGTTACCTAGATTACAACGGCCAAATACGACAAGACCCACGACGTCCCCGAAACGTCACTGCCTTTAGCCTTTTATTTACGCGATCACTGCCGGTTTCCGGTACCTACCGAATTAATAAGATTGTTTTTGCTTTACGTACTTGACGGCCACGTTCATCGCTTCGGCCACAGCCACCATGGTCATGCCCAGTATCATGTTGTTGCATATCTTGGCTATTAGGCCCGAGCCGGCCGGTCCGCAGTACACCCATCTGGAGCCCATGGAGCTCAACAGTCCGCTGGCCTCTTTCAGCGCGGCCTCGTCGCCGCCCACCATGAACGTGAGCGTACCGTTTTCGGCGCCCACCACCCCTGCGAACGTTGCATAAAACGCGTTTATGTATGTATAGGAACTTATAGTGATCGGTCGACAATTGAGGACCTAAAATAGGGATTCTGAAGAAATTTTTCGATTATTAACAGACTGCAATGACGTGTTTTTATTTTGACAAAGAAAAAAAAAATGTCTCGCAACATCTCAAAATAAAGGCGCAATCGACCATATTAACTTTTCAAACAGATCTTTTTTCGTTACCCGAGTTTTTTTATAAGCCTGTACGGACAAACCGGCATCTCATTTATTTCATTTAAACTCGAAACTTTCACCCACCAAATAGTAATATTAATTTTAGTACTCGTATTAAAGAACCGAGGGAATCGTGTGTTGTCCAGAATCGAATGCAAAAACTGTTGGGTATTGCACGTGAACGCTATTCCATAAACTTTGCGACACTATAATATGGACCATTTAGAGAACTTTCAACAGTTTTCGGGTACTGCGGATTGGTTACCCGTTTGAAATTTCGCTACTTGTCAAAAATGTCAAACTTTGCGCGCCACTGACACTGGTAACAGATCCACTGATAAAGTAGCCTTTTAGATGATTTTAAACATTTTTTCGTCGAGTGTACCACAGTACCGATATAATAAAAACACAAACGTGTCATGTCGGTCACGCGGTGCAAACACTATTGTCAGTTTAGATACTATCGATTGGAGATTACCCAGAAAATATATTGGTGTATATACTCACCTCCGGAAACTGGCGCTCCCAGAAATTTGCATCCCTTCCGCGTGGCCATATCTGATACTTTTTTGGAGCTTTCCGGACTAATCGTGCTGCAGTCTACGAATATTTGTTCCGGTTTCGACGATCTACGGTTCATTCGTTAATTTTCATTACACGAAAAACGAATTAGAGACTGGTTATAATAATATTGTGATCACGAACCAGTGATTTACTCACCACGAAGATTTTTAGTAATTTTTCAAATTTTTTGGTTTTTTTCTCGACTATATTATCGAAATTTTACTCTTATTCCGTGTACTCTAATATATTTACTTACTTATCGACTTTTGATTATCACAAAACAACTGGATTGTTTTCAAATTCGAAGGGAGAATATTTTGTCTGAAAATGTTAATTTTTCGAATGAGATTTTAAAGTAATGTGGTGGGTTGCTATATGAAAATCGAAAGTCGATATCGCTGTACTTATAATATAAGGTACAATTTTTAAAAAAATTCTATGAACGAAATTGTTGTATAAACGATTATATCAAAACATACTAGAAATCTTTGCGGCTAATATTATCGTAGATTCACGGTATAAAAATGTATTCTATATATAGGCTACGTAACTGCACAATGATTTTACATCTGGAATAAATTTTGTTCTGTTTAATATTTTAAAGTCGTTTTTTTTTTTGTAATAGTAACTATGAAGTTTTGCGTTATGATTCTTCGATTTTAATTTTTTTTTTTATAACTAACAATACAAAATTAAAAAAAAAAAAAAAACAATTTTTTTTTACAAAATCCAAGATGACGATTTTATAAAAATATTTTGATGCACGATTTTGATGTTAAAAATATTTACCAATGATGAAACATAAATTTTCTACAATTTATTGAAATTTACTACGGTAATTTAAATCGCTGTCAAAATAATATCAAATTTTAAATAGAGGAATCATACGGCAATGCTTTAAAAATTATCATAAGAAACAAGAACTTAAACATATTGAACAAAACAGAACAAAAGCTATTTCTAGTATCAGATATTCATGTTTTACTTTGTATAGTAATTTTAATTAATATGCTGTTGGTTCAATAAACTTATTTCAGTAGTATTTAATGTTCTTACTTAAGCAGAGTCTCGTAAGCACTGAGCACATGATCGCTTTCTGGCAACATGGTAACAATCGCATCCACGTTGGCCGCCATTTCTCGTAGCGTGTCTACCGTCTGAGCCCCGTCTAATTTTCGGAACATTTCCATCCTGTTGGTCGATACATCGTTGCCCACCACGGCGTAACCCTGCGTAATAATGACATTGTTAAAAATGCAAAAGCTGAATCGTTTAAATTCTGAAGAAAGCAGAACCTGAACATCAGATGTTTTAGAAATCAAACCATTTGAGATGTGATGCTTCCGTAGGATTTTCAATATACATCTTGGTAAAGTTACAATCGTAGGCAATTTTTTAATGCATTTATTAAAATGCAGGATTATACATATGGTCGGTGTTACATAATATTATTATGACATACACAATAGAGTGCAATATTGTGTCTATATTTTCGGGGGAAAATTCGATAAAAATCACTCCGTATACCGTGATGTAATATATTACCTATGGCAATGTCGCGAGTGCCTACTCGTGTATAGGTACCATAGCTGTCCACCGTTTCCGCATTGTACCTACGTAGGCGCACTACTGTATTATATAGATACCCACTGCAACTACGTGTTTTCGTTTCCGGTCGATTACGGTTTCCGGGTAGGGCTATATAATATATATATATATATCGTATACACGTTATACAATATACATCATACACGGTCTGTATGGATGAATTTATGTACCTAAGTTTATACGATACACGCATCAATAATAATATTAATATCGTCGAAAATTGCATTAATGTACAAAGGTTATCATAATAATAGAATATGCAATGCCGTACGAGTTGGACTCGTATACCTATAGGTTATTTACGCAGACGGCGGAAAATGCACGTTGGAAAGTCGCAAAATCGTATCTGTAGCACCATGCAACGAAACTATTAAAATTTGTCGCATAAGGTGCTCTGCAGGAGATTCATACTCCATTCAAAAATACACTACGTTTTCTTGGACTCCTCATGCAGTTTTTAAATAGGAAGTATAATCAGTGGTGCGACTAGAGTCTCGGGGCCCCGATGATAAGGTAAGTCTGGGGCACTAACCCTATTTTTAAAGTACTCGTAATAAATACATTTTTTTTTTTTTTTTATTACTGACTGTACTTATCATTAAACGCTCTACTCAATTTGTATTCATTATTATAATATACGAGTATACATATTACACGGTTAAGTTATAATAATAATAAACAATAAAAACATTATACAATATAAATAATTACAAAGAAACAGTTAGAAAAAAAAAAAAAAATTTCCAGTGAAAAAATTACCAAATGAAAGTACCAATTTGACAAAAACTATTACGTGTACATAAAATATGCACCTAACGAGTATTACTAAAATTCGATATATTTGTTCTGCTCGGCAAATCTGATTAAATTTATCATTCAATTAAGTACTTACAACAAATATCATCATTTTTTCCCCGCAAACATAAGCATAAGTAGTTTTATTTTATTTTACAAATCTATATTATTTGTTTATCAAAGTATTCACTATACTGAATATAACTTTTTATAAATATTAATTTTCTCATAGATTTTAAATTTAAATTAAAATATTAGTTATTAAATATTATATTTTAAATATAATAATTCAACTAAGTAAATTAACTATTCTTGTTTTAACTTCATCAATCTGATAAATATTATGGTTCATATCTAAGTTATTAGGTTGTTCGTTTTTGATGTTCAACAAAGCAATATTTGATAAACGATTTTACCCCATTGAATTTCTTAAATAGTTTTTAATTAATTTAAGCTTCGAAAACGAGAGTTCGATTAATGCGACAGTGATTGGTAATATGAGATATGTAATACAAACACTTCATTGTACTTGATCAGTACCCATCATTATTCACCGCGTTTAAAATTTTAAACGATCGCAGATTTGATTGAAATCCATTGCGTTAAAAATACCCTACCAGTTTACAACTATGATGGGGTCCCCTTTGAGCCTTGGGGCCCCGATGTTAGACATTGCCATCCACCCCTGTTATTGTGTCACTGGATATAATATTGGATAAATTTGTCTTAGTCGTTCGTTCAGTTCTTACTATATGATACTATACTTACATACTCAACAGGAAATATCGACACTTATTTTTATTGGTAGGGCTCGAATTTTATTTGGAAGTGTATTTTTCGAGGGTTGATCTAAGTCAATGGTTTTTAAGTATATCATAGTTTGGTTCGTAACGTAATTGCAGATAGGTAATAATTTCAAAATTGAAACTTTTATTTTGTATTTTTATATAGTTTTAAATATCGTATTTATAATACATGTATTCTTATAAATATCTGTATAATAGGTTCTATTTCGATTTTAATGACGTCTCAATATCTTAACTTTATTAACGGCCGTGTTGTGTCACCCGGACTTACAAAAATAGCATCGTAATTTCGGCCATTTCGTAAAAAATGGTAGTAGTACTATTGCGGTAATAGATATTTTCAGAGCATTTTCGATAGTTTTTAAGTGCGTTAAAAATCGGGCTCTAATTTATTGATAGACTTGGTAGTTGCACTTCGTATAGTTGAACGTGGTCTATAAATTATTATTTTCTCGTTTGGGTTCGGTCAAGGGTCGAATAAAATTATTGTTGAAATTAATACAACGATTAAAAATACCTGTACATGTCGAATCGAAAAATTTATTTGGTGAACGGACAATTACCTACGTGTCGTCTTTAGAGTACATTCGCAAAAGCCCTTAAAACTGCCGCCGACCGTTGAACAAGTTATCACAATAGGTAATCGTAAAATATTATTCCCCGTTTTTGTTTTAATACCAGCGTTTTATTTAATTACCTAATTATTTTGCTCATCTGGTTAATCCGGTCATGATAATCAGCGGCAGTACTATACGGTGAAACGATTAACAGCGGTTAGTAAATACGCGAAATTTGCACGCATGCGCGGTGAAATCAAATATCTTCAGAAGCGAGAATTTTGTTCCACCAAACTACCGACGAACCCGTGACATCTATTTGCTATACATTTACTCCACATGAAGATTTAACATTGAATTTTTATCACATTTTTAAAAATTGTCATATAACTTAGCATAATATATGTAGATCCCCTAAAAAAGTCAGAGGCGGCCGTTTCTCTATTGCCCCTTTCGCCACGCCACTGAGTACATAGTCAATGCCCGGTAAAATCGGCATCATATACATAGAATACTTATAGATAATATGCAATCAATAGGTCCCATTATTGTAAGTCGCCACAGATCTAAAGATTTGGTGACTATTTTCCGCGATCGTGATAGCGTTTACTTTTTACTTATTTACAGTCGAATAACACTCAATACATTTTAGTAATATAGTGTATAATATTTTGTGTTTTTAGATAAAATTTTAATAAGTTCGTCATTGTATAGACCGAATTGATGTAAATTTGATCGACCACCGTCAAAAACAGCGTAAATAACTACTTTTGTTCGATATTAATAATTATAGTTCAGTTTGTCCTTGGTCCGCGACATACCAACACGTGCGTCGCACCGTAAACAAGTCGTTATTGTTGAACTAAAAAATTTAACTCGGAATATCGAACGATATAATATAATAACGACACAATATTTAAGTATAATAATTAAATTATAAAAGAAAAAAAAAACCACAGTCTATAATAATACAATCGAAATTTATTAACGAAAATAATAGGTGTTCTAGTTTTTGTTAATAAAAAAAAAAAGAAAAAAAAAGTGATTACTATTATACGTGTACATATTATAATATGTTTTTCAGATAAAATGCAGGTATAGGATCGTTACCCTTCTGTGACCCCGCAGGAAGGTCGAAAACCTGAAATGGCTGCACTCCTATACGATTAGTCTTATACTTTTATCGTTTATGTTTGTCGATGATAAATTGAATCATTTATTAAAGTTAGGTACGTATACGCTGCGTGATTATTTAAATATATTATTTGTATAACTTTACGTTTCGATTTGCTGCCGTAGTAAGAATATATTATAACATAATGTCATGGTAATTTTTATTTACATAGTATTAAGTACTTACTAACCTAACTTAGAAAATATGATTACGCGCCTTAGTGATAACATTAATATCTAAATAGTTTTTCTACCAAGTGTATTTTAGTCTGTATACGATTTTACCTAGATGTGTTTTACCTCAAAACATACGTACTTCCAGAGTAGGTATAAAAAAAAATTGATAACAATACATTACTCTATAGGTACAACACCGGTTTGCAAAAGTTTAAAATTTAAATAATTTTGATATTTCTATTAGGGGCTTATATTGAAATTTTGGACTGTTTGCATACGTTTGAGTTCTACTTTTTCTGTGTTTCGGGGCTATACTGTTCAACTGCAAGCTTAATACAATTTAGTTTTTACTAATTCTTAAATGCAAAAAAAAAAAAAACTGCAGCGTTTGAGGATCATAGCATTAGACTTCGACACGGGAATAGAGAAAGCCTCACAATGAAAAACTTTTGTTTTAACGATCAGACATAATATAAGAAATAAATAAGAGAAGATTAACATGGACTAGACATGCATAAGAAAAAGAGGGCTCACTTTGTAAAATACCATTAAGTAGATCACATTTAAGGAGAGAAGTCCAGGTAAGAGATGGTGTAAAAACATTGGAACGAAATGAACTATGGAGAGAAGTGGTGAAGGACAAGAAAATATAGCTGAAAATTTGGAGGATTTAGTTTTAAAGGCCGAAAACAATGAGAATAAGAAGTGGAAAAAGAAGATAGAGAAGAAGGCTTTTTGCACAAAAATGGTGTTAAAAAGATGGAAATATTTCGCACGACGGGTGGGTAACTGTTGGAGTTGAGAAGATAGGTTAGGATACAGAAGAGAATTTAATTTATATCTGTATTCAACGATAAACCATTTGTAACGATAAATTTGCAAGCATTTATGTTTAATCTAAACATTTTATCCACAGAGTACGTAATAAAAATTATTTAATAAATTTGCAAAATTAAAATTTCGATCAATTGCTTCAAATAAATGGCAGAACTGTTTTGAAAGTTTTACAATATATAGAAAAAGCAAATATAAGTTTTCTGTGCAAATTTCAATTAACGAATCAATGAATATTTTCAACTGAATTACAACCAAAAAGCAAAATTGAAAATAATGAAAATATTATTTTCATACATTTTCCCATTGTTCCTACGTTTTTTCTCAGTTATTATGAAAACCGTTAGGAAAATCAACAAATTAGCTGTCCAAAGTACCAACTAGATAAAATTTCATTTTAGGAAATGTACTGTAGTTGATACACCGGAGCAAGATTTCTGGTAGCTGTTTACAGTATATTTATATACATAAAAAAAAAAAAAAACATTGTAAAACCAACACATTCCTCGCTACGTCCCAAATCAAAAAAAAAAAAATGTTCGCCCACGCATAAAAATTGACACTTTTTATAATACCTATTGACGATAATTACATTTTTCAAAAGGTTTTTCGCCATCGGGATTCCCATGTTTCCTAGACCGACAAAGCCGACATTTGATTTCCACCGTCTGCACCGTTCTAAAACAAAAACGCACACATTACGTCGGGTTTATAATAAAATCAATTATAAAAATACGTTATTCGGGTGGGTATTTCATATAAAGCACGTCGTTATAATAATCTTAACGTTTAACGTCTATTTTAAAGTCGAACGTTTACCCGGCTATATATTTTTGCCTCAGTGTGAATATTTGTCATACAATTTGTATGAGAGTTCGAAAAACAGAGGTGTTCTTACGGCTCGGAAACAAATGTTTTGGAAGTTATACCACGTCTAGAAAAAGCATATATAAAGTTTTGTTCGAATTTCAAGTCTCTACAATTTTTGAACTGAATTGCAACACAAAAACAAAATTTAAAACAAGAAAAGCAATATTTTTGTAAATTTTCTCGCTTTTTTTTAACGTTTTTTCTCCGGGTTTTCCCATTTATTAAAAAAACCCTTTGAAAAATCAAATAATGACCACCCCAGTCAGATTTCTTTTTAGAAAAAGTGATTCGCTTTAAAATCGGAGCGACATTTCCGGTTGAAAAGTAGTTGACAGGTAACAATAACATTCAAATTTCCTTTGCACGATTATATTGTTGTGTTAACGGGAAAGATCACGGGACGCGGGGAGATGTGATGGAAACTTTTGAAATTAACCGTATACACTGCCGTCGGTGACGTCGTAAAAATATAGAATCACGTATAATTGTAGCCGCCGTTAAACGAAACAATATTGATCGTGCATTACTGACTGTACACGTCGTCCTGGTAAAAAAAAAAAATACATAAACGTATATACATAAAAAAAACCAAGAACACAATCGATACGCTTTAAAAAATATGCGAATCTTATTGATAACATAAGAGGTTTGTTGTCCGATTATATCTATTTAAAGGATTTAAAGTTATAAAAGGACTGTGGCGGCCCGATCGAACGAATGAAGACGAAAAGGGAGACTCCCACGCAGATGGGTACTTGTCTAATTACTAATTGTTATTTTTCGATAGCCTATGCAGGTACCGCGGGGACCGCAGTTTTCGCGTCGATATCGACCAATAATTGACCGGCGTCTAAAACCATAAGCATCATGTTATAATAATTGACGATGTCATTAAAACGGCGGGTACTCACCGACGACCGGACGTCGGCAGGAAGTCGTCATCCTGAACGCGTTCAGACCGCATCCGCCGCCCAACATGCTCATTTATAATAATACGCGTGCGGTGAGTTTCGCAACAAATGTGTATTATTTTCGAGTTTCCGTACACTAGGCACGGTATATCATTGGGTATATTACAACGTTTACGAGTAAGACGACACGAAATAAACTGTTCAATAATTATTGTAATCGAATAAAATCGCACGGAAAATATTATTATCAAAACTACGTTAACTTTTCTGTAGTGGCGAAATTTCTTTTACCTACCGGTTACGCGCAAACGACGTCAACCACGCGGTTTGTACCGTGGCCACTGCTACAGCTGTTGAAGAAAAAAAAAAAAAATGATTGATTATTCATTAGGTACCCATTCGGCCGTTAAAATTATTACGTGTGTTATCGCCGTACCAATTGGTTATAAATTGTGGATTATTATTCAGATTAGGTTTCATAATGCGAGAACGTCGGTTGCCGGCTGTGCGGACGGGACACCACCGTCGGCACTTGTTGACAGATAGCGTTGCACTTATCCACGTACGAGTCATCTGAACGTAAATCAATCCTGAACAGTTTTCGCGGTGCATACCCAGTTCCGAAATTTCTTCTTTCGGTTCTTGATTTTTATTAAACCGTTACTTATTAGAACTAACCTGTCGATTTGTTTTATGTGTTTAACGAAACGTGTTTCATTCTTTGCATGAATGTTGTCACGATTGCGATTACCTACAATAACAAATTACGATTTTAAAGTTATTTAGGTAGGTACTAAATACGAAATAGTAAATAAAGAAAATATACTGTCCAATTAACGCAACCTAACCAATAACGCACAAAAACAATATTTGTTCAGTCCGTGTTTGTTCGATATTTGAAGGTGTGCGACAGCGATATTGACGGTCATTTTTGACGCCATTGAAGTTTTAATCATCATTCAAATTCAGATTCAATTCACAAATTATTAATTATTCGGTTCAAGAATTTTAAATTAATGAATAAAAAAAAAAAAAAAATGAAATGAAATTTCCTGATAAAAACGGGTAATCAAAAATCAAAAATCTATTCTTTGTAAAATAATTGTAACAATAATATTATTTTGTGAGTGAAAAAATATTGTGTAACACATAAAATATTTGTAAGAACTATCAAATATGATGTATATGATGATAGTATTACTATTTAAAAAGCCCGTCGATGAATAATACTTTGAAATTTATTCTAATAGCAATTGTGTACGTTTTTACGTGTTTAATCGTCTTATTATCTTTTTAGACCTTGCTAATAGCATTGATTATATATTTATATAATAGTCTATTCAAATAATTAAATAGGCAATTTTTTTTTATTACCTTTCATACAATTATTATTATTGTTGTTGATTTATATTGTAAAAAGTATTGATAATTATTAAAATGCTTATTGTTATTAAACATTATGATTATGATTTTGGCGTTGCATGTTGTCATTAACAAATTGGTTTTACTCGTTAAGCTAAATGTTAAAAAACAGTTTTAGTTAAAACTAGTGTTTTAATGATTTCACTATAGGTAAAAAAAAAGTTTATTGGTTGTACTATGATATGTGTGTATTTTTAATTTTGTTTTGTTTTCTGTGAACAACTTTTCTACTAGAAAACTTGCTCCAAAATATAACACCTATTTTGAAAGGTAATTTTCGCTCGTTGGTGTTTCGGAGAGGTCATTTTTTCCATGATTTTCAAAGGGATTTAATAATTAGTAAAATCCCGAAAGAAAATTATAGGTCAAGCGTCAAATATTTACGGCACGTCCCTTCAACTTATGTTTTTTTTTCCAGAAATATTACAGTTATAGGAAAAAGATAATTGTGTTGAAAGTACACTCGATTTCAAAAATAACTATTTTGGAATTCCATACATAACGCCCTAAATTAATTCTACTATTTAAAAGAAAACTGTCAATAAAGACATTTACATTAAATTGATTCTAACAAATAATTGATCGACTGGATACGGGTGTGGACACTGTTGTAGGTAGGTAGTTGGGATGGTGGGATAAATTAAGTTCTTTAATTTATACTTGTTATTAACGATAAACCATTGCTAACGAAAAGAGATTCGCAGCGTAGTTCGGTTATACACTTTATCATTTGAAAGGCCGTAATACTTACGATTTTTGTTAAAATTTTATTTTAAAACTTGTAGAATAACAAAAATACTAAATTACAATCAATTGTCGTATTTATCTCTGTTTAGTCTAACAATTTTATCCACCAGAGTGCCTACCGAATAAAAATGACATAAGATACTTGTAAAATTAAAATGTCTAAAAATAGATCAAAAATGATCAAATGTTTAGAAAATTTTATCACATCTAGAAAAACCAGATAGAGAAACAAAATCGATCACATGTCATTTTTCATTTGAAGGAAGATTTCTGGTATAAAATATCGTCTGAAAAAATTTAAATAATTAAACGGAGACGCCAAATCGCCGTAAATATTACTTACTTTTCTTTAGTTTTTATATTATTTATATACCATTTTATTTTTGTGAGATCGACTACAGTGAATAACATTATGTGTGATTAAGTGCTAATTGTAAAGTTGATTAATTAATACTTTACTAGCATTTTATGTAAGTTATTGTCATATTAACTAATTTTTTCAAACACAAAATCATAAAAATTAAAGTATTAAGAAAATGTATTATCATAATGTAAGTATTAAAATCTACTAATCTACGTAACCCACCGTGATTTAGAAAATCCATAACATGAAATGGCAACGTTGTATGCGAAATGGGTACATATGAACTATAAATCGACAGGTAGTACCTTATCTTTTGGGCGCATTTGTCCGCATCCCTTGGGGCGCAAATGGGCTGCACCCTTTACTATCACCAATAAAAACCCTGGTTTTAGATACTTTTGGTACGAAGATAAAATAATTTTTTTTCATTTACGGGTTACCTTGGTAATATACGGATGCAAAAACAATTATTATTATTTAACTGGCCTGTCATGGACAAATTCTTATTATGTCTATGGTATGTATTTTATGAGTGTGAATATAGGTAACTCCGATTTTTTTTTGTCGTGATTGTAGAGAAAATGTTTAATTTTAATTTCCGACGAAGAAATCAATATTGTGTATGCTTCAGTAAAGTTCATGGGTGAAAACATTCATAAAAAGTACGATATTATAAGACAAATATAAGACATATACGGACATACATAAAACATTCATAATGTTTTCATTGGTTTTTCGAATACTGCATCGTCGACAGTTATGCCCTCCAAATGGAAATCAATTGTTCGATCTACATTTGAAGCACGAAAGAGAAAGTCATTACGAGCAACGGAAAGCGAGATTAAAAAAGGGATATAATAGATAAAAAAAAATATTAAAAAATTGGCATTTGGCATTTATATATTATACATGTATTCGTTATATAAGCTGTTCTGTTTGGCGTAGCAAGTGCCAATTTTTTAATACTTTTATATATATAAAACAGTGTCATTTCGATATCCGGGGTAATCTCCGAAACTACTCATCCAATCGTTATGTGTTTTTTTTTTCTGTTTAAATGATACGTAGTATATCGTGGAGAAGGTTACAAGCTATTGAAAACATCGGTTTGACTAGTAGAAGTAGTAGACGACCTAACATGCAGTAGTTTGGGTTGGATAAAAAAAAAAAAAATGATCAGATATTTTTCATTTGTTATTAACCACATAGTTAAATTATTTAAGTTTAGAAATTAAAAAATTGTGCAGATAAAAAAAAATATTAGTCAATGATAGTCGATAGTCGATAGTCAATGATTGTAAACAGATACTAATCCGCATACAAAGATAATTGTGGAACTTGACATTTCAGATTCCGAGCGTAGCGAGGGAACTATTGGTTTAACAATGCTGTTTATTTATTTTTTTGTTCTAGTCTGTGGACACGTTTTCTCCTAGTAATCTTGCTTCGATTTTTACGTGTAGGTACTTTTCTGAAAGCTCTTGCTGTCTAGATTGTACTTTGACGAAGTCATTTTTTGATTTTCGACGCCATTTTTTTGAATAAATTTACTTAAGTGGGAAAAATTGTAGGAAAACGTACAATTTCACGATTTCATTATTTTATAAAAACACGAACAACGTTTGCTACCAGAAAAAATGATTTAATCGAAAACTCACATAATATCTTTTTTGATTTTCTTTCTTATGATATCTTTGACAACACTTTTGAGCTATTATTGAGATTTTAAGAAATTTTAATTTTTGGGAGTTTTTCTGCTGTAATTCGGTTTCAAATATAATTTAAGACTTAAACTTGGTATTAATAGTTTAATTGGACTTACTCAGACGTGATAAAATTTCTAAAATCATCGGACGACTTTTTTTCTTTTTTAAATTTTTTTACAATGGTACCTTATTATTATTTTTTTTATGTAGACAACTTTTATCCAAGAAAACTTGTTACGATGTATAAGTAGCTCTTTTCCTAAAATTAAATTTTATTTACTTGGTAAATACAAAGTCCTTTTTTTGATTTTCGAAACGGTATTTAAAATAAAAACAATTAACCAGGAAAAAAAATACGATTTTGGCACGGTTTCGTTGTATTAAATAATTTCCTACCACGTTTTCTAGCACAAATATGGCTCCAATTGAAAAACGAAAAGGGACCTTTTTTTATTGAATTATTAATCTCGTTTTAAAAAATGTAGTTTGATTTTTTGATTTTCGAATTAGTTTTCATAATAATCGGAAAAAAACGTAGGAAGGTTAGGTTAAAAAAAATTACGACACTTCAAATAATGTATAACCGATCTGCGCTCGGAATCGTATTTCGTCAACAATGGTTTATCGTTGTTTACAGATATAAATGAAATAACCTTATGTATCCTATCTTCCCAATTGTTCACCTATAACAGTGGCTGCACCCGTCCCCAGTAATAGTTCTTTTTATTTTGTATTCACATAAGATAACGCAGAAATACTGTTTTATTAATTTTATTTACTTAACAATAAAAAAAAAAATATTTTATTAAAAGATAACATACTGAGCACTACAATATAATATATATAATTAATATTATTCAATATTTGTATTTGTATGAGTGAGGATTTTCTAACACTGGCTTTTAATTTAAAAATAAACTAAAGGAACTGCATGAACGTAATCAACGATATATGCGTTTTTATATAACAATGTATAGCAAAATTATTCATCCTGGACAAATTTCAAGTTTTTTTGGAAAATCAAGCTCAAAAATTTCATTAGGTTTTCAATCTAAGAAATATATGAACAAATTTCTCTCATATCGACGAGGTGCACTTATCGAATATTCACTGATGTTCCTTGTAAATCGTATGCGTATTATTATTTATTTAAATTTTTGATTCGAAGCGTAGCTATAGGGATCTATTGGTTTTACAATGATGTTTGTGTGTATTTTTTTTTTGTGTCTGTGAACAAATTTTCTTCTAGAAAACTTGCTCCGAAATATAGATTATAGCACATTTTTTTATGAAAGATAATTTTCTCTTATTGACTCATTGGGGAGGTCATTTTTTGATTTTCCAAGGAGTTTTAAAAATAATTGGGGAATACCCGACAGAAAATTATTGATAAATGATAAATATTTACGATGCGCCAAGGCGCACCGTTTTCATGGTTTTTATTAAGTTTACAAGATGTTTTCACCAGAAATATTGCTCCAATCAAAAAATGAGTTGGAATAGATTTTGTTAGATTTTATATAATAATTGAAAATAATAAAAAAATATGAAATAGACGATTTTTCAAATTGCGGTAAAGCAATTTCATTAATATTTTCTGTTCGGACAAAATAATTGAATCTACATAAAACCTCATCAAAATCAAAAAACTAGAAAGTTGTAAATGCCTGTATAAAGAGGTCAATCGATTTTTGCTAGAGAATTTGTTAATGTGCAGGCACACACGCACACACACACACACACACATACATACACAATATAATAAAGTCAATCGTAAAATAGTCAAAATTAAAAAAAAAAAAAAAACACATTTGCTTGTTAATATTAATTACAGTTAAAAAGTTAAAACGTAAAAACGCATCGTAATATTAGAGTTCATGGTTGCGTATTTGAACATACCGTAGATAGCGTGGACATTAGACCAAGGAAATTGCGTGAGGGCATCAAAAACCGATTTTTGTGTTTTACGAACGCTTGTACAAATTACAAGGCCGTGTGAAGATTTATTTTTTATAAAATCGTCCATGTAATACATTTCACGTGTGGTGTTTATACATGACCTTTATTATTAATTGTACATATATTTTAAAGTCACGTGCATGCAACACGAAACTTATACAACCATCAGTGGCTCCCAAACTATATATTTTTCTAGTATAGTATACTAACTTTACACACCGTACCACCCAATCAACTACTCCTTATTTAATAGTTAATGTTTCGTATCTAGTAAATTAATATACTCACCTAAAATACATTTCTTTCTTAAAAGATCGAACTGTGAGGATTTATTAAATTTTTTCTACGCAGAAATTTGTGTTATTCGAAATATTACTATATTATACTTAATATTTACTATTTTATTATGAGCTATTATCGAGTTTTCTAAAATGTTTATCAAGAAATGAGAGGAGTGACGGTAGGGAGGGAGAGAGGAGCAAAATTACTTTTGAACGAAAAAACGCAATATTGCTTCATCAAAATATTTCAGCGATAAGAGGAAATTCGATTTTGGTTCTAAAGAATTAGTGCAACATGATTGAGACGGTTTTCTTAGGCTACGTTGTCAAGTTAAGTTAGTGTATATCTTTATGAATAGGTATGTTTGTTTTATACGGGATTTAATTATAAACATTATAACATTATATAACTACGTTACAAAGTAAAATAAAATGATTAAATTAATTAACTTTATTTTCTTGGTTTAAATATTATACGACATAAACGAATCATAAATAATACTTCACGGCTATACGAATCGAGCTGATTTTCCATCAAATTAATAGAAGTTTAGGAAAAGTATTGTAGATAAATATGTTAGTGTTTATTCTATATCGTATCTTATCACCCTGCGGAGTAGCAGAAAACCGTTGTTGTTAACCTTATATGATTTGATTATATGAAAATAAAACAACATTTAGAATAATAATATTAAATTCATATATTGTAAAAAAATAATTGACAAACGCCAAATCTGGCAACGCCGCACGTTGTTGTTAACCTTATATGATTTAATTATATGAAAATAAAACAAAATTTAGACAAATAATATTAAATTCATATATTATATAAATATAATTGACAAACACGAAATAAGGCAGGTAAAAACGTTTGCAATCTTGTTACGGAAAAAGGTCCGTTCGAAATCGTGACATTCACAATCGTATTTCACCCTAAAGAATCCCTCTCATAAACGCTCACAAGAAATTGATCAGGGAAGGTCAGTATCTTAGTAAAGTTTCGAATCGCCAACAAATTATAACAAAACTATATAAATTATCTAATTATTAAAATTATATTTGACATTTTGAAGTCTAGGGGGAGCAAATGCCCTGTCTTGCCCCTCTCCCTCCTCGGGGCCCGATGATCCTACCCTTTCAAACGTTGTACTGAAAAACTATAAATACATAGATCAGAGTATATGATAAGAACCAAAATAATAATACGCTGAGTAGTCGCCGACCGTTTCCGGAACACTAAAGAATAATAGTTCGAAACATATAAATTCAAAATACTTTAAACGAAAAATACATATGCGATGATATCTCCGGAACCGAATCTCTCGCTTGCAGACGTCGTATAAACTTCTAATTTCCGAACAATGCTCGTTCTCGTCCGTTTATGTTATTATAATAAGAATAAGAGAGACGAGTGACGCTTGCGAGGTTAGAAATATTGTATTTCTATTACGCAAAAGATTGAAACCGGGATGTTGTAAGATAGCTTTTTATACTTCAAAGAGAGAATGGTTAGGTTTTATGAAATAAGGGGAATATAGTAGGGGAAATAAGTAGACGTGATAAATAAGTGTCTAGTGAATACAAAATCATAAATAAATATAAATTTAATTCCTGAAGTTCTAATGTTATATGTTATGTTATAATTTATATATTATATTATTATTAGTTTTTAAATTTTAAAGTTATAAATTACGTCGTATACTTATAAACATTAAAAACGGTATGAGAACGATGTTCAAAAATAAATATAGAATGTTAGACAGACTAAAACTTAACCTCTCCGATACGCAATAGGGTACAATGAAAACGATACAAATTGTATTTTCTTCTTTTTTTTGTGAACACAATAGCCAGCGGGCCTTACAATTTCTACAAAGTATCGACTAGAACGAGAAGACGAACGTGATGAAAACCTTTTTATTTTATTAGTCATCACATAATAAGATTAGCCGATAGTAATCGAATCATATAACTGGTCGTTTCGCTACACAAGAGGAATTATTTGTGCTTATTTATTTATTATTATTAGTAATACGCAATCAGATTGATGAAAAAACGAATTTGAGAATCGAGGACCAAAAAATAATCAATTTTTATTTTATATTCTCTATCCATTCACGAAATGAAGGAAACCGGAAATCTTCCTCAAAAAAAAAAAAAACAACAACAACTAGGTATTCGATTTTTAAAACTTTATAGTTCAAACATGTACATATTCTCTACCTAATAGAAAATCAATCTTTGAAATAATGTTGTGTAATTATTATTAAATCTTAAACTTCAATTATGTGGCACATAAATTAATTACATAATATTTATCGAAAATTATAAATAAGTCATTACTGAAAAAAATATATAGTTCGGTAATTTAAGCATAATTTTCTGTATAATAAATGTCTGTACAAAATCCAAACGATTATTACTCGTTTTAGATTTTGGTTTCTGAGTGTAGCAAATTTTTTATCATAATATAGGTTATTTTTTTTTTTTAATGCGTCACATTATTAGGGCCACTTTCATTCAAAGACTTCCTGTTCATATAATACTGGCTATAATAGCTGTGAGGATAAAATACCACATATTTATTGTACTCGCTAGACAATTGTTGGGAATATGGGTAAATTTGTTAAGCGTGCAATATTCATTTATTCCAACGTGGTAAACAAATACATTATTATGATATAACAACAAAAACTAAATTGTTATCAAATTTTAGCATAAAAATCACGGGAAAAAAATATCATAATATAATTTTTGGCGTCGCTTCAAATCTCTTTCGGGAAAGGATATTCTGGATGGTCTTTAACCCTGAAAATAAAAATTACAGTCATAAGTGCTGGTAAATTTGTTGGTTTTTCTTGTTAGTATATTAATATTGGTCTAAACATTTTTTTTTTTTTAAACTTTGTCTTGTCCAATTTTTCCCCTTTATTTATTTGTCTTAATCAAATTAAGTGTATGTAAATTTAATTTTAAAAACTGTATGCACCTAGTGTTTTTATTTTAAAACTTATATGATGCTTTTATTGAAAACTATATAAAATTAACTTAAGCCTTTCTTCCTTGGGACCAAAGACATAATACGGACGGTTTTTAAAAGATAGAAAATAGAAAAAATGTCTATTTTATAGGAGAGCCAAGGCCTAAAATCTTATGAGAGTTTACTTCATATGACTTTATGACCTTTCTTATTTTGACTTCATATTAAATAAAAATTGATTGACATAGTCCTTGATCATAAAAAAAAAATAATCTAAAAACACTTATTACCAAACGCAGTTCATATGTTTTGACATCAAACCTATAAATCTGTAAATTGCAATGATACTCTTCAACGAGATTTGAAATGTCACATAGAATTGACCTATACTTTTACCGAAAATGATCAAAAATGACTTAATCGAATTATCAGATTTCTATATAAAGTATAATATTTATTAATTTATACTTGACAATTTTAATGCAGGGGATAATCAAATAGGAATAAATAAATATTAAAGATGATTCCTTCATTTTTCTTACCCCGCGAAGATCGTAAACCACCAGAGGCGTCCCTTATCTCCGACGTCTTGTCGTTCTAAATCTTCCACGTCCTGTGCGTCGAGTTCGAAGTCGAAAATCTATGGTAAAACTCAAACATGGTGTCAATTACGAATTTAGTAAACTATTAAACAGAGTAATTAATTTATATCATAAACCAGCGATTTTATCAGAGAGTTTCAAGTAAATTAAATTTCTATTTTTCAATCATTATGAAATCGTTTAAACTTTATTTGAACATTATTTCGTTTTTTACCCCAGACTCATTATACTCTAAATAAGTTTACATGTTTAATTTTTAAGTAAGAACTCCTCTCCCCCTTAAATTATAAATTTGAATAGACAATGTTTTTCTGAATACGAGTGCTTAATACTATAATATCAGATTTACATTTATGAGTTACAATAGTTTAAAATTTACAATAAAGTAGTAAGGATGAGTAAAAAACGTCATATCCATTTAAAAAATTATATATATATTCATTATTTGATTCTGTGTTTAAAGGGGAGGGTCCTATTTAAACATCAAAAGTGTATGCTAAGTTAAGGTAAAGGAGTGGGGATAAACAAATAAAAAATAATGTTAAAATAAACTTTATTACCCTATTCCATAATGATTGAAAAAACAAAAAGAAATCAAATTCATTTAAAATTCTCCGGGGAAATCACTAGTTCTTTTTAATAGATCATCCTGATTAGTTTAATATGATCCGATCTAATATTTTATTTATTTTACCTGTATGTTCTCGACCAACCGCTGTGAGTTCGTACTCTTCGGTATAACCACGACGCCCTTCTGGATGGTAAACCGCAACACGATCTGAGCCGGTGTCTTGCCGTGTTTGCTGGCCACTCTCAATACCACCTCATTTTCTAATATTTCCGGTACACCTTTACTGTATAAAAATATGCACATTAAATTAGCTTCAGGTAATCATATTAATATTGTAATTTTTCGTGAACCGCTTGTAATAGCATGGTCTTTATATTAATGCAATTTAACAATTCTTTGTATAATTCGCGTACCACAAATCATAGAAGTAGGTATATCAGTTCTTCATAGAGGAAAAGAGGCATAGAGAACATGAATTACCCATTTACCATATTTTTTAAAAAAAAAAATAGATTTTTCATAATCATTTTATATTTTTGTTAATTTAGTCTTGATTATGTATATCCCATACAGGGGGCAGGTGGGTGTATATTTACAATTTATTAGGCAATTAATCATTGGCAATAAAATTTAAATAAAATAAAATAAATAATGTACAAATATTTAATGTTAAAATAAAAATATGGTATTCACTAATTCTTTTAAACCATGTTACAACATGCTCTTAGGTAGTATACATCTATTATGACTTGTAGGAAGCATTTTTGTTTTTTTAGGAAATATTTCCTTTAAACATAATTTAAATTGTAAAAATGAAAAGCGACCAGAGTGATTATGATATAAAATTAAATATACAATGCAGCAAAAAAGTATGTAAACATATTTTCTTAGATGTTTATTTATGTTTAAAAAAATAAATAAAAAAATAGCATGTGAAGCTTTTCAAAAAAATTAAAATACTCATCTTTCAAAACATATTAAACTAATTAATCTAATTAATTAATATTCTTGCTTGGGTGCACCCTTGTCATTAGGTCAGTTATTATTATTTAACTGACGAATTATAATATTATAAACTACTCGTATTGTTATACCTCCAATTCAAGTTGAGACGTTTTTTACCGTCTTTCGTGCCCAGTGTCGAATATGCGGTCACAACGATCCCGTTGTCCCGGCAGAAATCAACGAGTTCCGTCTGTTGAAGGTATATGTGGTGTTCCACCTGGAGGTTGTCCGGTTTGATCCTGCTGTAGTCCAACAATTTCTGCACTTGTTTGGCGTTGAAGTTCGACAAACCGATGGCTTTAGTTCGGCCACAGTCCACTTGTTTCTCCATTACCTGCGGACAGTGACGTTGTGTATACCTATGTATATTAATCCAAAATCTCAACCGTATCCTCTCTAAAAATACTTGATGGGTATGTGAGAAACTCGCATAAATAAAATTAAGTTCTAGTTTTTAATGAGAAAATATTACAGAAAATCCCGGTGGGGTATAAAACGTGAAAATTTATCTCCGTGCTATTTAACTGCCACGCCGGTCAAATATCTCTAGGAAGAGAGATATATTTCACTAAAGAAATTTTATTCCTTTTGTGAAATTGCAGAATGCACAACTTCACTAAAGAAATTTGACCGGAGAGAGAGAGGAGAATTTCACTATTCATTATTGACTCTTTACCGAGAGAGTAAATCATGAAGGTTAATAAACACTAAGGCCGTCTAATTCAATAGTACCCAAATTTTCACGCTACAATTTTTATTTCTTGGTTTATGTAATAGATGTAAGGGCAAAATTAATGATATTACCCCTAAACGCCTACGCTTAGCCAAAGATTCCAAGTTAAGACCATATGCTATTTACTTTATAAATATTTAAAATATTTAATATACATTTATTTTTAATACTAAATTAAATTTATTTAAAATCTATAAAAAAATCTAAATTAAACTATTTTAATACTAAATCTGTGGTTAATGTTGTATACTTGTATTCATATATGTAAATTTTAAGGTGTATTTAAGTGAAATACAAAAATTAATATACATACATTTTACTCAAAATGCCAATTAAATGAACATATCTAATCAAATATGTACTTTTTTTATCTTTTATTATTAAAAGTTTATTTCCAATAAGAATATGGGCTAAAATATCATGAAAATAAATTACAGGAAAAAATAAATTCTCTTTCATATAAACAATAAAATAATTTCCGAATACCTTCCAAATGGCCAGGTGGTCCGTATCGTAATCGATAACCATTGTGTCCAGGTCAGTTTGGTCTTTGGCAAATAAGCCGAATGGAGAATGTATTAAATACATGTCAACATAATTCAGTCCCAAATTTTGGAGCGACTCCTTCAAATACTTTTCCACGTCCTCGGGTCGTGTCGCGTAAGCCGGAAGCTATATTAAAATAATATAAAAAAGAATAAAATTAGACGATGGATCACTTTATTAAAAAAAAAAAAAAATTAAAACCTTATGGTCTTACCTTTGTGACGACAAACAGATCGTCCCTGGTCACTCTGCCCGACGATATCCATTCGTTCAATACCTTTCCGATAGTGCATTCGTTTTTGTACAAGTACGCAGTGTCTATATGTCTGTAACCGCTTTTCAGAGCTTCATTTAAAGCATTTTCTAAAACATCGCCTGAAGCCTGAAAAAAGAGCTGATACTGAGGATAGGTACGCCACTGTAATAGGTGAGGAGTAGGAAAGGTATATTACATAAAGATATTTATTTTACACTTGTTAGTAACAATAAATTGTTGCTAATGAAAAACGATTCGGAGCAAAGTTCGGTTATATATATTTTGAAGTTACTCGTATATATACGATTTGACAAAATTTGACCACTAAATTCGACTCATGTTAAAATATCAAGCCTTTACGAAAATAATCAAATAATTATAAAATATATTTCCGTTCTTTCAACGTTTTTTTTCGGTTTTCCTCAACTATTAAAAAAACTACAAGGATAATCAAAAAATAACTTTCTTGGAATGCAATGAAAAGGTTTCTTGCTGTTTTTCTAATATTTCTGGTAGAAATACATAAAGTGTACAAATTTAAATTAATAAAATCGATTACGTGATGATGCGCAGTAAATATTTTTCGTGTTACCTATAATTTTTTTTCCGGTTTTTCCTAATTATTTTAAAAACTCATTGAAAAATCAAAAAGCTACCTCTCTATTGCATCAACTGGATCAAATTCCCTTTCAGAAAAAGTGCTACACTTTACATATCGGGATAAGATTTCTTTTCGAACAGTTGTCTACAGACACAAAAAAAAAAAAATGTCGAGTTTGATGGTTTAACAATTCATGTGGATTAGATCTGTTTAAGATTGTTTCATCGACTATCATAAAACAGTACGATGCGTTTTTATTATATTTTTTTAACTTTTCATTTATTGTGTACTCAACGAGCATACGCTCTTTTAAAAACAACTTCAGAGAGTAAAACATATATGGTATTTGAGTATTTAGACAGCTCAAATAAAATTAAATAAATTAAACAAATATAAATATACTCTTATATTATATCTCGATACAATTAAAACATCTGGTCGAGTGTAAACGCAGTTATAACAATCTACTTATAGACAACCTTGAAATAACTCTACGCCTTATTTCCGCTATATTTAAGTCCGTGAGATATAATTAAGTTAGAAAAAAATAAAAAAATTTTAATACGATTATGGTACGATATTCGAAACGTCAATAAAAATTATTTTTCTGTGTTGTACTGTACGAATACCATTTAAACGGTATTAGTACGGTACGACGAATGAAACATGTACACACAAAATATAACGTATAATAATAATTATTAGATTTTATTGCGGAATTAAGTTAAATTCAATAAAAATAAAAGCCGAACCACGTTGAAAAGTTAATATAAATTTGTAGAACATTAAAAGAGACGATTTAATTTAATTTTAAGAAAATGCGGAATACGAAAAGGACGAGGGCGAGGATTTGCCATGTACCAATATCAGTGGGTCAAAGTAAATTAGTACAGGTGTGTCATTTTCATGGTATGAGTATATACCTCATACCAGGATATTTATGTACTTTTTAGATTTGGAGCGTAATGAGAAATGTATTGATTATATATTGATGTTTAATTTTTTTTTTGAAATTTTTTTTTAACTGTGAATAACTTTTTTACCAGCAATATTTCTTCTATTTACTACCTTTTTTCAAAGGAAATTTTATTTAGAAGGTATTTACAAGCTGTTTGTATTATAATTAAAAAAAAAAAATGGTAAAAAATTTAGGAAAAACATGAAAATTTACATGCATGTGTGAAAGAAACTTCGCTCCAAATCGTTTTTTGTTAGCAATGGTATCGTTGCGTAAAGGTATAAATTAAATTCTTCTTTATATCCTGCTTTTCCATTCCTCACCTACAACATTGGCCCACACATTGTCCGAAGTATGTCCGTTTTTTAAATTCAATTTAATATAAATTTGTTGATTGATAGTTTTATTTTTAATAGTAGATAATTAATTTAGGACGGAATGTATGGAATCCCAAAATAGTTTTTTGAAATCAAGCGTACAATTGAAAATTTAGCATGGAGTGTAATACTAAGTATTTCACTAAAAAGAAATTTCAAAACCTGTTTATAAAAACTTACCGTCCACGTACCATAGCCGACGATCGGCATTTCACCGCCGGAACGCAATTTCAAAATCTTCATGTCGCCAAAGTTTCTACAATGTTACAATAATTAAAATAATATTTATTGCCGTTTTACTGTCGGCGACTGTGTTGCATGACGGTTTACAACGTTTATGGTTTGCGTCACGTTATGCACTGTCTCGGATAGATTACAATACTATAAGTTGGCTATTACGGCAAAGGAAACGACGATCGTTAGCGAGCGGTTTCACACGTATTACAATAGAATTATACGTCTAGATGGAAAACTCAGTATGATAACCAGTGGCGTATCTAATGTCAAGGTATAATCAGACGGCAATTTCGTATTTTATTATTTTGGTTATGATCTATTTTATTTTAATATCGGTCGGTATTATATGTAATTTTTTTCAATTTGAACATAACGTAACAATTTTTCCGCGCGCGAGTATCGGACTTTCCCTCTTTTACAAAACGCTAAGCTACTTATTGCGTCGGGTGTATGCGCTGACCTATCTATTTAGGGGTGGATAATTTCCGGTTGGTCCGTCTTCTGTATTGAGGTTTTGGGATCCTCATTTGTGTAAGACGATTTTGTTAGTTTTAAAATTTGACCTTTTGAAAATTTAACCATATTTTTAAGTATCGCCTGTATATTTTATGAATAAAGCTACGTACAAATAATTGTAGAAATGATAGCATATTATATAATATTAAGTACAATTTAGATTGAATGTTCATTAGATTTAAATATGATGAGTATAATATAACACTAATGTTATGTAATTATTAAATATAAATTATTTATTTAAATTTGTTGTAACAATTATTGTATGTGCCCGGCGTTTTCCGTTGTCTATACTGTTATTGTTATTTGTTAAACAATACTAATATACAACGGTTTATTACAAATATGTTTTGATGTATACAGCGTGTTTTATAAAGATTGTATAAAAATTGTACAATTATTTTTTAGTTATGATTCTGTTTTAATTTTCTGCCATTGTAAATTGTATATGAGTTGTGAACGCGACATGGAAAATGAAACTCCAACTTAAAAATCTAAACGCAGATCTGGTTGAGCAAGGAAAAAAGAAACTGATAAACGAAAATTAGCTGCCATTTCAAATGATAAAAAAAAAACAACTGAGATTAAATTTCTTTGTTAGTGCTACGAGTTTTAAACCTAATCTAAATTGTGACATGAAACACAATAGTTTTTTTTGCAGGTATAAATTTGGCTATAGAATACTATGAGCTTGAATCACAGGTAATAACCACAACTACACAATTCTTATAAAAACTTCTTTTCCAAGTGATGACGAAAATGAAATGCCTATTTTTATGGAAGAATCAAATTTTATAAATAATATGAAAATTAATAAATCTACAAATAAATTGTTGTCAATAGCCGTCATTATTTAATGAAGAGATCAATTTATTAATCATAATAACCCAATTCTATCGGTTTATAGAATCATCAAACTTATCCTTATTAGCTGAAAAGTTGCAATATATATTTAAGCACCCATGTTTAGTTTACTTCACTATTTAGTGGTTTTTTTTTATTTTTGGTATTTCTTATAAGCGAATGAGTGCTTGAAAACAAAATATCCTTGGTAATGCAATTGGCTCAGAAAAAATGTCACATTTACAGAAAATAGGAAAAACAAGATGGTTGGGCAAAGTTACTGAGTTCACTGAATTCAAAAAGTATTAGATAAAATGAACTAATGTAAAACTTAAAACTTCAGTGGATTACGAAATTAAAATCCAAGAGTTAGACGTAAGAAAATAATACCTGCAGGAGAGGAAGCTAATGAAGATGTTTCAGTGACTCGAAAAAACGATTTAAAGTAGAAGTATTTAAATTAGTATTAAATAACGCACTTAGTATTTCAGATGAACGATATTTTAAAAATGAAGATTTAATTTATGACTCGTCATTTTTTGACGCCATGGAATTTCTTTAAATTTAAAAAAACAGGTTTTACTTTTTCGGAAGATCTATTAAAAATATTGCGAATTTGGCATGAGAAGATGTAGTGGAGTTGCAAAATGAACTAGTGCAAATTGCTCAGAATTATGGTTTATCTGAATCGGTTCTTTTAGTTTCAAATTATATAGATAATGAAGTTAAAGATTCCGAAATTAAAATCTATAGTAACAAATCCGTTAAATGTGCTGTTCCAGAAAATTTAAACTGCACAGTATTATATATGAATTGTGCAATCATATTGGTTATGCATTCATCAAGTTTTAGTAATGTTTATTTGGGCTGTACAATTTTTTTATCATTATCATTCACTCAAGTTAGCTGCGAATACAGTTTTTCAATATTGAAAAAAATTAGAACTATATTAAGATCTTCATCGTCCGATGATAAATTAGAAAATATTTTGTTCATGAGTTGGGAAAGAAAAGTTAAAGTATGTTGTGATGAAAAATAATGTGCTTGCTCTAAAAAGTTTAAAAGGTTGTTAATGGTATAATATTAGTATGATTATTACTACTTTATTAAATTATTATTATTATTCTGTAGTTTGCAATTTAATAAATTTACTAAATTCAAATTAAGTATTTTTAAGTTTGTAATTTAATATCTATGTCTAGAGTAATAAATGTTATTTTTTTTATTAAAGAGAAAATTAATTTTAAATTTTCCTTTGTTTATACTCATAAAATATTTAAATAAAATATATTTATAAGTAAGAAAATGTTAAAATAACTTTTGTAAAAAAATTAGTTTTAATAAGGTTAAATACCTATACTCAATAAGTAATGTTAATTATGAGTATACGTAATATAATATGAGTAGATTATTAAGTAAATTGTTAACTTCAAAATATGACCTGTAATTGCATTTTCGGGTTCTTAGCATGGTTATTGGGTATACAGATATAAATTTAAAGAAATTGAGTGTTGTCACTATAATCGTTTTTTTTTTTATTAGTTTTTAAGCCTATTTCTTATGGCCCGATATATAAAAATCACCGGTTGGCATTTAACCCAACCGGTTCGCCCCAGTATCCATTATTCTATTATCTATAATCAAAAGTTAAAAAACTTTTCATTTTAATAGGTTTGAAACTTTTCAACCTCACATCTGTAGGGACACCGGTAGTGAACGGAATCTATAATATTAGGTCAGTTACATATTAAAATCTAACCACTCCGTTTGAGAATAAAGAAAAATGTAAAAAAAAAAAAATTCATAATGCATAATTTTATTTATAATATTTATGGTATATTTGTTGTAAATAAAGTAAATAATTTTATTTCGTAAATGATAATAAACGGCGGCCGTCACGAGAGTGTAAGAGTAATCATTAACGAGCGTTTATTATACTAAACATGTTAAAATTATTTTCTTTCTATTATACCTATCTAAGTATAATAACAGCAAAACATTTTTTTTTTTTGACATTTCAACGTTGGTTGGTTTTCGGGTGGGACCTACGTGCCAACGAACGTCCCGTGAACTATACGTAATTATGAACATGAAAATTGTGGACAGTATCGTTTGAGTGCGTTCCGTTTGTGTCTTTGTCACAGTTAGATCATGTGAGTATACCGTCTCAAGCTTCTTTCGAGAACGGATATTCTGGATGTTCGCTGATCCTGAAAAATTGAATTAAGGGTATCTTCGTTATCGTGTTTGATTATTTTCTATTTACTTATATATAAATTCGATTAATACAGATGGTTACCAGAAATCGGGAGGATTAATTTACATGAATTTAGTATAAATATTATGTACGATATACATAGGCTCAAAAGTCGAGGCTTGTATGAAGTGAAAATTTTAAAGTATGTAGCGAAATTGGACTAGATAAATATTTCTAATCTGTTCGTTTTTCGTCATTGAAAATAATTGATACACGACGATAGAACGTCGACAGTAAAATAGCGCAAATAATAAATAGCACCGTCGTCACTTACCCCTTGAAGAATTCGAACCACACGATACGTCCTCCTTCGCCGGCGTCTTGTTCCCGCAGAGTTTCCACGTCTGCCGCGTCCAATTCAAAGTCGAAAATCTATACCGAAAAATAAAAAAGACATAGTTACGATGTCACGAAAATTCCAATTTGTCTCTGCTCACGTCAAAGACGAACTGTACTTACCTGAATGTTTTCTGCCAACCGTTGTGGATTGGTGCTCTTTGGTATAACGGCGACGTCTTTCTGGACGATGTACCGCAATATGACCTGGGCTGGCGACTTGCCATGTTTTTCCGCTATTTTCAGCACCGAGTCGTTTTCCAGCATTTCTGGCAGTTCTTTACTGCAGTATATAAAACCAATAAAAGTCAATAGATGTTACACAATGGACAATCACTGTTGGATTAGTAAGAATTTTATTTGATAATCAGTGCATGGAAAGTTAGGCTAAATTTGGAGGGCAATAGAGTAATGTTTACTGTGTATCATATGTTATGATATTTATTACAGTTAACTTGTTGGAAAAAAAATGATGAAGCACAATATGTTTTAGAATACACCTTATAGTAAAACTAATTTTTTAATTGGATGTATTTTTTTTTTTCGGAAAACACTTATTAGGTTAGTGAAAAAGCTCAAATTTGTTCATGTATTCCCTTAAATGATACTAAATCTTCATTCTGTGGTACTTAATTTGAAAAAATTTTAAAAATGCTCAATATTACATACCCTTCACTCTCAGAATCATTTTTTTATTTGCAATGATTTAGCGTGGTTTACAGTACGTGTATTATAAATCAGTCATTTATTCTACTTTGTCGCTCACTCATATAAAGGCAAATGCCTAACACTCATGATGAGAAGTACATATATGTTGGCTTTTAAATATTAAAATTCGACAAAATGCATGTTTTTTATACGAAATAAACGATGAGTACGTTACCTCCATTTCATGCCGATTAGATCGCGATTGCCTTTTGTACCTAGACACGAGTACGCGGTCACAGTGATGTCGTTTTTTCGGCAAAAATCTACAAGTTCGGGCTGCTGGAGGTACAAGTGGTGTTCAATCTGTAAATTGGCCGGTTTGATCAAGCAGTTGTTCAGCAATCTCTGGATTTGTTTTATGTTAAAGTTCGACACACCTATGGCCTTCGTCCGGCCGTCTGATACTTGTTTCTCCATAACCTATACAACAAATTCGTAAATTGTACGAAATACATTTTTTAATAGGTTTTTTTTTCTGACGTACCTTCCAAGTAGCCAGATGGTCCGTGGTGTTGTCGGGATTCATCGCGGCGAGATTCGATTTATCGTCCGTGGCGATCACGGAGAAAGGCGTATGTACCAAATACAAATCAACATAGTCCAACTGTAAGCTTTGTAGGGATTTTTTTAGACACTCTTCCACATCGCTGGCCCGATTTGCGTAAGGCGGAAGCTTTACGGATATAAGTAATTTAAATTATAAGTGCATTGTGTTTTTTTTTTTTATCTTAACAGTACCTTGGTGACGATAAACAGTTCGTCCCTGGTCCCCTTGCCCGAAGCGATCCACTCGTTTAAAACCTTGCCGATGACGTGTTCGTTCTCGTAAGCGGTCGCCGTATCGATGTGACGGTAGCCGCAATTAAGCGCTTCGTTCAACGCATCTATCAACGCACTGTCCTTGGCCTATATTATAATAATATTACGATAAAATGAATAAATTAATCGAAAAATTATATTCAAAATACAATATGTCGTGCGATAAAACGTGACAAATTGAATACCTAGTATATACAACGTGTTTTATTTTAAAAATCTATTCTAATAGTTCCAACATGTTTTAGTAAAATATGCAGTTAGATTTAAAAATATCCCATAAAGATCCACAAAAGGAAGCGCCTTATAAATGCGAAATTTTAATAATAAACGTAGTATGTACCATTTTTATATTCCGAGCGTAGCGAGGGAGCTATTGGTTTTACAATGCTGTTTATTTGCTTATTTTTTTTATTCTTTGTTCTAGTTTGTGAACAGGTTTTTTTCTAGTAAATTTGCTCCGATTTTTACGTGTAGCAACATTTCTGAAAGCTCAGGTTCTCTTAATAGGTACTTTAAAGAGGTAATTTTTTGATTTTTGACACTATTTTTTAAATAAAAACATTGAAGTAGGAAAAAACGTGGGAAAACGTAGAATTTCACGATTTGAGTAGAGAGAGATTTTAGATTGGAGGAAAGTAGTGGTACATTATTAACATGCCGCGCGTCGCACCGCATCGCAAATGACACTCCACTGCTCTCCTCTAATCCAAACTTAAAAGTGGAATATCTCGTAAAAGGATCGACGAAAATCAAATATTTCAACGCTAAAATGTATTTTAACTAATAGTCCATCTATTTATGGACTTTTAAATATAGATTTGCCATTTGGAAACTAAAAGTAGTGGTAGTGGTTTTACATGTAAAAATAAGGGTGACAAAAAATAACGTACATATACAATTGTAGAGCAGCTTGTTTATTCAATATTCTAGGAAACAAATTTCGGAAAAAGTTAATACTTTCCAAGACACTTAAATGGATCACTTGGTACGAGTATGGGAAATATCAAAATTTAAAAACGTTTATTTTATACTTCGCTTAAAAAATGAAATTACCCGAAAATAGCGCCAGCGTTGCACAAATAATGATGTCATATTTAAGTTTGATAATAAATCCATTTACTCCTAAAACTAACAGCCCACAGTTGTCCCTGCCGAACGCAAATTTGCTATACCGTACGTTTGTGTGACGGAGCTGACTCATGCGGGTACCATGTCCTCTTAAGGTTATCTACAATGCAAAATAACATCCACTATTTACTTATACTATTTATTGTGTCTGTTAATTTATGCTGCCAGATATTTGGAACCATCAACCTTTCAAAATTATGGTTTTTTATTTTAATCTCTTTGTGGCAATCCAACCGAGTGTAATAATTGTGATGTTCATTTAGTTAGGTACCTCTTATTATAATTATTATCATTATCATATTGGTGTTTCCTTCATTCGTCATTAGCCCCGCTAATTTTATAATAACTATTTATTGTTTTAAAAAAAACCGAATGCCGTTTATTCGTATAAACAAATAAATAAAAACACACCGATAGTTATTAATCTAACTCTACTCTGCTTTTGTTAAACCGAAAATGTACCGATCATCGATTCGATTCTTCGGGTACCGGCACTCGGCGGAACGCACTTGCAATATTTTTTGACAAAGAATCGTTTTCTCTCTATGGTATTATAATCGTCGGCATATTTTCTACTGTTCAAGCATAATAAAACAAATTAATATTAAATACCCGTAATAATAATCGATTGTACGTATCGGTATATAAGTGTCGTGTTACACCTATTGTAATGCGGTCGGCAGCTGGCCCCCCTGGTGTGGGATAGGGGGATATTTCAATGAGTTAAACCGTGTCATAGTTTGCGGGACGTTGAATCAATATCGAAAGTACACTAATTATGTACTATTATGATGTATGTAACGGAAAAAATACAATAATATATTACGTCATAATAATATACATCAATCGAATTATCGGTAAGAATACGTCCTAATTATTCCCGCAGAGGTCTTAGTTTTTTTTTTTTTTTTTTTATTTTGTGCCAAGGTTTTTTTGGCTCAATGAGGTATGAAAAACCGTAAGAATACGGTATCTCGTCGAATTGTTGTTGAATTTTTTTTTTCTGTTCAATGATAAATATCGATTTTTGTAGTAGAAATCTGGATAAAATTTATATCGAATAAAATTATGGGATTATTATAAAATCGAAAGAAAAAACCGGTAAATTAAGATTTGTTAAGGATATAGGTACCAATATTATGTAATAGGTAGGGACTTTTTAAAAGTGTATTTCGAGTACGAACACCGCGATACAAAAGTATATGTATAGAGCTGGCTGCAGTACTTACCTCCTAGTGAAATATTCAATTTAATTTAAAAACTCGGGCGATGCCGATAAAAAAAAATCTAAAAATAGATGCAAACATATTCATATTGCATACATTTGCATTTTTTTTGTTATTTGTATTAGAAATTATGTTCAAACTAGGAAGAATATGATATTTTTTTAAAAAAAATGCTCATTTTTCCAAGGAAAACAAGTAGGTAGGTATATGCGATGTAGACATTTTTTTATATGTTCGGTTTTCGAAATATATTTATAGGTACCTATAATGACTTTCGAGCTCTATATAATAATAATACTAGTATTGTGCCATGATCAATGGATTATCGTATTTAAATATGTGCATATATATGATTAATGAATTATGTGTTACGCTATAAATTATTTACAATTTAAACGATCGCTTTTTCACAAACATTTTGCTGCGAAAGTAGGTGCCCCTATACGGGTACTAGTGAGTACTTCCATAAATCGCAATAACTTGTTTACCAAAATGAACACAATATCATCGAAGATTACCTACTGTATTACAATATACAATATGCATAGTTTTTGAGAATTGTACGTCACCAAACGAACGCTATAATTATATAAGGTGATTCTTTTATCGTTGAATATTCATTATTTAGCAAAATTGACTCTTTGACTTTTATAAAAAAAAAAAAAAAAAAAATTAATTTGTTGACAATTTAAGAAACAGGCCGTTATAAATAAGTTTACGTATTGAAATTTTTGATTTCCGTCAACCCGTTTTGGAGACATTTCACTTTTAAGTTTAGGTAGGAAGAGAGTAGTGGAGCACTAATAAAACATCGCACATCGTGCCGCCACACAAATGCCACTCTACTACTTTCCCCCTACCTAAACTTTAAATTGGAATATTCTGTAAATTGGTTTACGGAAATCAAAAGTGTCTATACCCAAATTTATTTTTTTTAATACTTCATCTATAAATGGAACTTTTAATATAGGTTTACCATTAGAAAATCAAACGCCGGTAGCCGCTTCACCTCCAAAAATAAGGGTGAAATGTAATTAATAAAAAATAATTGAAATGTGAAATTTTAGATTTACTTGTTTTTAAATCAGCAAAATATTTTTTTTTTTTGAAAAGTATATTTCGCTAAATAATTATTGTTAAACGATAAAAAAAAAAATCTTCTACTATAGACAGCTAAATAGAAAGTGGTGCGACACGCAGGTAGGTTAGATTTTATAAACCAATCCAAATTTGAAATATTTTTGCGTAATAAATTACACGCTTCGTCTATTTAGTAATTTATCGGAACAAACGTCTGGGATTTTTTTTTTGAAATATATAACCCCCGGTAATCAATTTTTGTTGCGCCATCAAATTCATCGGGTGCGTGTATATTATTACATATATTACAGTTTGTATCGGTCGTCAACACCGTGTACGTACGTCTTGATTTTCGCCTTTTTCCGTCTGTTCAGATCCGTATTATGGTTTGTCAGCAAAACACCGAAACACAATAATACTATAAATTATTATAATGGAGGTATCACTTAAGGACGCTATTCGGGGATGGGGCAGAGTGTGCACTCTCAACACTTGCATTTTTTGTTCTTAGGCCCATAGCCTAGGTGTTAATCGATAGCATGGTCGTGGCATTTAAGTTTAAATATTCATATTTTATTTGTTTTATTGAAATTTTGTGTAACCACATTTACATTTTAACAATAATTGGTCCGGCGCCTGGCGGGGGAAGGACATCGGCTTCATAAAATGTTTGCACTCCCCTTATACGAAACAGAAACAGCGCTTTTGGTATCATTAATGATATTATTATTCGAAAACAAAAATATTATAATACACCATGCAATGAATGACGTTTGATTTTTATCGTTCGTCAGTCAGTTTGGCGGTTCAACTATAATGCCGTGACTATAATATAGGGGTTAAAGTTTTTTTTTTTTTTTTTATAAATACTTACCCTTTATAGGACAAAAAATAATATTATTAAACATGTTTTTTTTTTTCAAAAATTACAGCAATCGTTTTAGTATTCTGAACGGTTTCTAAACCTAATGATGTCTTACACACGTTTATTTTGTTGAAACTTGTATAAATCATGACAAATTCTGTATAATACACAGGATTTTTTTATTATTTATTTTTTACAAGATTATATTACCAATTAATAAACATTTTTGAATTAAATTTTAGCACAAAAATATTGTATGTATCTACTCGAACTCCGTACAGAATCGTACTTCGTAATTAAAATAAAACATTATTCTATATCCTACATTTACAACGTTCAAATTTTACAAAACATAAACTTACCTATCGGCGGTATCGGTTCTTTTAAATAAAAAAAATAATACATTTCTAACATTCAATGATTATATGATTATGTTGTACTTTTGGACATAGACGGCGATCGGAGGGCTTACGGGGGGTTAGCTTCCTCAAATGTTTTCAAGCTCCATAAAATAATATGCACCTATTTTTAATAATAATGATATGTATATTGTATACATATTCTATACCTTTTTTTAATAAGACGTATTTTTACAAATTTGATACTGATAATCAAAAATTATTTTACGTTTTGAAATATAATCTCAGAAACAATTTAATCTTATATTAATCCATGTATATATTTCGCACAAATAACTTGCTATAGACTTTCTAACTTGTCGTGTCTAACCAAATCGAAGAATTGAATCTACTTATAAAATAATAATTGACATCGAAAACGGAAGTATTTTTAGAATATTGGTTATGTTCTTTGTAGTTTTGTTGTTAATAATAAATAATATATTAAATATTAATATTTATAATTAAATAAATGTATTATATTTGTAGGTATCTAAATTGTTAGGTAAGTATGCAGTATTTTTGGAAAATCGTTTGGGGGTGTGAAGGCGTAGCCCCCGTGGCTTTATATGATACAAAATATTGAAGCCCCCCTAATATTTTCCAGGATCTCTGCCTATGCTTGTGGACCCCGTGGTCAATAGTGGCACTGATGGATAAAAGTTTCTAACAAAAGTTGCCGACTTTCCCGCTTCCACCGAAAAAAAAAAAATATAAAAATATTTCTAATGATTGTTTTTTTCCTTTTTATTTAAAATTTGATATAAATATCGGGAACGCGATGATAATATATTATTTATTTTTTAGTATTATTTTAATATGAAACTATTGTACTCACCAGCCACGTACCGTAGCCGACGATCGGCATGTTTCCACCGAAATTCAGTTTCAGGTATTTCATCTTGTTGTTGGATAAGGAATTATAAAAGAGAAGAGGTGATGCGGTAGTGTTATTAACGGGCGAACCGACCGACGACGACTGTCAACCGTGAAGCAAACAGTTCGCGTCCTACGAATATCCCGCTCTTTTTTGTGCGGCAAGGTCGTACCGGTCTATAGATTACACGACGTGTTTACTACTATTATACTTGTACAAGTTGTCGGAGTGAATAACATTATTGAGCCAGGTACTTTCCCGCTGAAAACTAACTGCTGTTATACGTAAAATGATATTCCAGACGTTAATAGTATAATTGCCCTGATCATCAATTTCCGAAAGTACATGTTGGCTATTTGGTGCATTGGGATAATCGTTCGTAATACTCTCGGAGCCGATTTTCAAAATTTTCTCCAATTTTGTAAAACTTAAATATTATTTTTAACATTTTCACGATCACTTAAAAGAATCAATTTGTCCACTGATTAACTGCCTTATACCTGTTTAGAAGGAGTGGTACGACTGGAAAAACTCTCCGATTTAAATATTTTTTATTTACAGGCCGTGTTGACCTCAGATTTTCGATTAATCTATATATAATTTCAGAGAAGAAAAGTTAAACATTTTTTTAAAAATTAAAATTGTTTAGATGCTTAATGCTATTAAAGAAATTTGAATTTGAAATCTATTACTCGTATCTTACTATGACATGTTTTTGTAAAAATTGTACGGCGGGTCCGGTTGTTCTAGATCTCCTATTGAACAAATTTAATGGAGACCAATTTTTATTTTCGTTATTAAGACGTTATTTTATAAAATATGAAACATCACATATGGTACACGGGAGGGGTGCACGATCATCCCCTTAGCCCTTCTTAGCGACGCGTCCAGATGCTACTCAGAATCTTAAAGAAATTATTACAATTTGATTGATTAAACTGTTTACTTACTATTAGTTTTTGGTTTGATACCAAAATACTAAAATCAACGTTAAATTAATTAATTAATTAATCTTTTATACAAAAACCGGTATTTTTCGGTATAGATTATTTTATATCTTTCAACTAAATATTATTAATTTCTATTCTATTAAGAGTATTGTCTGCCATTCGATTTGGTTAATGGTAAAATATGTATCATTGTTACTTGTTTGTCGATTACGTGTGTCTTTCTTTAGAAAATATAAAATCGTACGGTTTCTTATGTTTATTATTACATACCATTCCGAAAAAAAGTTCAATAATACTAATTTATACAAACCTATAGATTGAAATAAAAAACCTTACACAATAATGAATAACGATAAAAACATACTAAAAATAATAAAACTGTTTTATTTTTTAAACCAAAGATCATATAGACAACAAAATTTTGTTTTTCTTGTTTACAATACGATTTTAAAATTGTATGAAAAAAAGACGTTCTAGGATAATGGGTATGAGTGCAGCCATTGTTATTTTTAATTTAATGTATACCTGTAAGCAACGATAATCCATTGCTTTCGAAAAAACGATTCTGAGCGAAGTTTAGTTGATAGTGACAACAATATATATATATATATACTATATTATACTAAACTAATTAAATAGGCTTTATATATTTTCTCTAATAATATTTGTTTAATGTTGTATCGATTTTTTCGGTTTTTCTAGGTTTTTCTCGGGCTTCCCAAGTTTTCCTCAGTTTTCAGATTTGCAGGAAAAAATTCGGAGAAGATTGAAAAATAACCTCTCTAACGTACCTCTCCAGTCAGAATTTTTATAGAAACATTGCTATCATTATAAATTTGAGTAAAATTGTTGGTAGAAAATCTGTCCACAGAAAAAAAAAACTTGATACTTTACTAATATACTTTGTACATTTTTCCATTTTTCCTCAGATTTTCTCGCATTTGATGAGAAAACTCTTGAGGAAATTGAAAAATGACCTTTTTAAAGTACCTCTTCACACAGATTTCTTTTCAGAAAAGATGTTACACATAAAAATTGGAGCAAGATTCCTAGTAGAAAAGTTGTCCGCAGAACAAAAAAATAAACATCTTTGTAAATCATAAGCTTCTTTGCTTTATTCAGAATCTAAAAGAAAACCATATCAATATGGATTTTTGTTTGATTTCCATTGCGTATACTTTTAATTCTTCCGCGAGTGAAATAAGTAAATATTATATTCCCTCGAGAGAATTTTGTAAGCTTGATTGCGTTTTCTACATAGTAATCGAATACGGTAATTTTTCAATATCATTAAATATTATAATAGATATACTATCTATCTATCTATCTATAATTATCTCTATAAATAATAATATAATTATGTTCGGGTAATCGTATCGATATTAGCTGCATTCAGTTAAACGTTTAACACAATAAAAATTTTATAGAATTACATGTCATAATATTTATTACCATAGAATAAAATACGTGTACACGTAGCCGCAATCTATTAATTTTTATTTGTAACGAAATTAAATAATACGAATTCTATGTCGTTGTACTGTGACGAACGTACGTCATGCATAAATTATAATAATGCGAAGAGAATAATATCAGTGGCGGTTTTCGAACTTTTTTTCTGTTTGGGGTCTTTTAATAATAACTTACAATATATTTAGTATACATTACATGTTTATTAATTTATTCTATTTAACTTAAATATTATTTTTTATTTATCTACATAAATATACCTATACGTTTTAATCAATAACAATATTTAGTTTAATTTAAAAATTATAACACGAAATCTACTTTTCGCTTTGTTTTACTTAATTCGTCTAAAATTTCGTCAGTCATTAATTACGGATTCTTGTGTGAATACGTATCATAGCTAGATCATTTAGTCTTTTCTGAAGTATTTAGTGAACAATAAGTTAATGTTTAAATGGTCAAATACTAGACCATTTAGACCGGAGTTAGGTATAAATAGTGATGGGCTCGACTGAATGAAAATTATTGAACTAGACGATAGTTTAAAACTATCGATTGGTTTATCTATGATATCCAATAACCCAGGTATGTTATGTGCCAAATTATAAAATACACCCGAAGACAGGCGGATAAACAGAAATAATTTATAAAAATTAATCAGCATTTAGGCATATGATTAACATAATATTGTTACTATCTAATAGTTCGATACAAATTATCGAATACTTTTTTGGTAGTTAAAAGCCATGCAACTAAATTTTATTCGTATGAAATTCGATAATTTTTTTTTCAAACCATCGAATGAAGTCGATAGTTGAAATTATTTAGTTGTGCCCATCATTAGGTATAAATATTTTTTAAATTTGATTATAGATGATCTAAAAACTTGTATAAATAAATGGTAATAAATTGTGAAAAACAACTAAAATATGATTATACGTTTATGTTCGACGGGTTATTGCTAAATAATGAATAGCTTATTTATTATCTGTGAATTTTACGCCGCAAATCTACATTTTTTTAAAAAACGCCGCAGTGGATCTTCACACACACTGTACATAACAGATATGTTACTAATTATAACCGACGATAAACCAAATTTCATCGAGAAAAATTTAATCCTAATATTTGTCTGGTTTTGTTTTTAATATTCAATGTCAGTATTGTTTCAGCGAACATCACGACGATAACAATAAATGACAAAGGTCACCCTATGTGGCCGGTATAATTAATATATAATATGTTTACCTACATAATATAAATAAAGGATTATAATTTGTATTGTTTTGACAGTTATTTTAGGTTGTTTTTTTTTAAATTTACAATGAAAAACTACTTCATAGTTTAAACTCGGAGTCTGGAGGGGTCCAGATCCCAGGACCTCCTTCCCCCGTAAAACTGCCATTGCTTAAAATAAAATTAATGGAGATATCTAGGCATTTTTAATATAATAACAATTGTTCACTGTTAATCATAGTTGTGTAAACTATTATAATAATTAATAGTAACTAATTATCGTTAATAGTAACTATTTAATTATCGTTAATACCTACTGCCTACACATTCCCTGTACCCATGCATAGTGACGTATTTAGTATCTTGCTAAGGTGAGAGATATTACCCTTGGAAATTGTGTTATATTGTGTAGATAATGTGACGGTGATATTTTCCTCTCAGAGTGTACATTTTATTGGGGGAAAAAAGTGAATTTTTATTATTTTTCAATTATAGCAGATAAGTATCCAGATAGGTGTAGCAAATCATGATAATCGTAATAATTCGCAAAATATATAAAATATTTTTTTGTTGCCAAATTGAATTTCAAACCTCCTTCGAAAACGGATATTCTGGATGATCCGCGGCCCTGAAAAATGAAAATTCGGTAATTTCTAACAGTTAAGAATATTTTTTAATAACGAGTGTTTATTAATTTTCAAAAAAAAAAAAATTATGTAATAAAATTGATTTATAATCTTATAATCTGTATAAATCCGGATTTCTATACACTGGACGTATATATTTTTCCGGAAAAATACGGTCCGCGAAAACACATTTGGTTACTTTCCGGATTTCTAAAGTCCGTGATAAGACGGTATGAATATTTTGAAATTACGGAAATATACGGTCCACAACAATACGGTTTGTACGTTTATTTTTTCTGGATTTCTACAGTCCGTAAAAATACAGTATAAAAAAGTATACCGAATTTCTAACGTATAATATTAGTAAATAATATTAATCAGTTTATCGACTCGATATTGGCAGTATTTAAAGGTCGGTGATCCCCTATTTTTGTTCACATTCTAATACCTAGGACGTTCGTGAAGATGCCCCACCTCCCACTTTGTTCCAGAGATTTCAAATTAACTGTACAACAAAAACTAAATTATTTTATATTATTTCTAATGACAGGGCTAACTTCACGAGTGGTAACTATCAAATTCACGTGTATTAATTATACACGAATAGGAATTTTTCATTAACGAGATCACGGAGAACGTGTTTACGTAATAATTCACGTATTAAATCGAGACCTCTAGTGACCTGACTATTATAATATATACATGAAATAATGTCCAACTCACCCCGGAAAGACAGTGAGAAGTATGATGCGTCCTCCTTCGTCCGCGTCTTGGGCTTTCAGCGTTTCCATGTCGTCCTTGTCTAAGTCGAAATTGAAAATCTGCAATATATGACCATAAATTGAACGAAAGTTTGTAAATGTTTGATTTTGTTTTTATAGAAACCAAGATTTACCTGCATGTTGTCTGATATCCGTTGGAAATTCGTACTCTTCGGTATGACCGCGATGTCTCTCTGGACCATGAATCGCAACAGAACCTGGCCTGGTGTCTTATTGTGTTTTTCCGCAATTTTCAACACCACTTCATTTTCCAACATTTCGGGAAGTTCTTGTCTGTTAACAGACAATACGTGATTACGTATTTCTGAAAACCTACTTTTTATGTTAGTTATTACAGAATCGAAAACGAATCTATCAATCGTCATTCATTGAAAACTTGATTATTTCTATAATGTATTACCTCCATCTCACTCCTAGTAATTTTCTACCGCTTTTCGTGCCCAAAGTCGAGTATGACGTTACAACAATACCGTTTTCATTGCAAAATTTCAAAAGTTCGGGCTGTTGAAGGTACAGGTGGTTTTCCACTTGTAGATTGTCCGGTTTGATCCGACAATTGTCCAATACCCTCTGGATTTGTTTTGCATTAAAATTTGATAGACCGATCGCCTTTGCTCGACCGCAGTCCACTTGCTTTTCCATTACCTAAAATAAAATAAAACAAGATACGGTCGTTGTACTATGAAATAATAATTATTTTAAAATTTGACTGGGTGACAGCAGTTTTTGTATACCTTCCAAGTCTCTAGATGGTCTGTACTGTTGTCAGGAACCATGTTGCTGATATCCATTTTGTGTTTGCCCCCGGACATAGTGAATGGAATATGTATTAAGTACAGGTCGACGTAGTCCAGTTGTAAATCTTGCAACGACTTTGCCAAACATTCTTCTACGTCTTCAGGTCTATTCGAACTGGGCGGAAGCTATAAAGCACCAAAGTGATTTATTACTATTTACCTATCTGTATATAAAATACCGATTATACCTTAGTGACGACAAACAGTTCATTCCTGGTTACTCGGCCCGATGTTATCCACTCATTCAAAACTTTTCCTATGACGTGTTCGTTACAGTACATAGTCGCCGTGTCAATGTGCCTGTAACCGCATTTCAGAGCCTCGTTCAACGCGTTTTCTAAGTCACTGTCCAAAGCCTATAAACATAATTTATGTATGGATATAAATGGATGTCTGTAGGTCCGATTAATAGACTCAAAAACTACTAAAGCGATTTTTACGCGATTTTTTTGCAAAATGTTCCACGTTATCTGGAAAAGTTTTATGGCTATAGAAAATATACCATTCCCTAAAAATCGATTTTAAGGTATTTTCATTACAAAAACCTAATCATTTTTGTTGACTTATGGGTTATCTTGTTAGTATGGATGAAAAAAAAACTATTATTAAGTATTGTGGTGCAATATCTGTGCTGTCCTGGTATCTAGGGTAATATATAATGATAATTTGTCTATTCATTTTTTTTTTTGATTACTAAGTTTAAATTATAATAAGAATCGTGTCCTTTTTTCAGATATTTCTGCGTTTAGTCAAATGATTTTATCTACAAATATATCTACATAAGTAAATAAATATACAAATTACAAATATTTATTTTGGAAAATTGGCAACCTCTTTTAAATTTTTTGAAAATTTAAACGTATAAAGTAGCCCACCTCATATAGCGGAGACGAAGGCTATGGAAAAGAAGAAGCCACACATATTATACATATGCAATAATAATAATAATAGTCAAATAGCGAATGCGATTACAGCCTGCCGCTTAATTTCAGATTATTGGAATAATAATTAATTTAAGATTTTTATTGTTATAGTTAATATTAATTGTATACTCTTTTCACTGAACTTTAAAAAACTATTAAAAATGACTATCCTCATATTTTTTCAAAAATAATAAAATATAGGTATTTTTTTAGTTTTTTTTACCAAGCCATATAAATATAATTCAAATATAAATATTAATTGTAGTCCTTATCCTTGTGAGTAATATGAATATATATATATAAAAAAAAATTAATTTGATTATCTTTATTACTTCAGGAGATATTTAATATGGTTATATCTTCGTGAGACACCTTATACCATGATAAATAATTATTGTTTACTACGTTTCTCTCTAAATAGGTACTCACATTCCACGTACCGTAGCCGACTATCGGCATGTGACCGCCCGAACTCAAATTCAGATATTTCATGTCAGCGGTTCTTCTATCTCACGTATGTGGTGTCAACTTGACAACGGACTCGCGATGATTGAATCGACTTCAGTGTGCGTAGTGGGTAACTATTATTATTATTATGTACACAATTTTCGTGTACGGTCGTTTCGAACGGTCAAACCGGTAATCATTATTATATTATAGGTCACATGAAAAATAAACAACAAATGTAGGTATTGTAACGTGTAATTATAATATCCAAATTATACGTATTTATTCAACAATTCCCATTAATTATTAAGATCGATCAAGCAATTTAAAAGTACCCTTATTATTATGTTATTAAGAATGCATCACGTGTATTTTTATGGTTATCTTGATTAATAATTTGTTTGTCCCATAAAAAAGTATTTCATCAAATTTCTTCGTTTTTCAAATGACAAGTTTAACATTTTTTTTTTAAATAGGATTGCTATTTGAACCTCGCCAAATCTTTCGCCAAATGTTCGAAATCTTTGTTTCTAATCAAGTTTAATAAAGTTCAAATTTCGACAAAATACAAACAAATCATTGCATTTCATCAATTTTTTTTTTTGATTAATGTGGATAAAACTTATTTAGTTCCATATAAATACAATTTTGCCCAAAATACTATGATAATTATAATTTAATTTATAGAAATGAATACGGTTTACATTTTACGAAGTTTATGAAAACACAATAAATAAGTATTTTCTCAGAATTACTGACCATTATAACCATTTATATCTCATGTTATAAAAAATTATGTCTTTTATTTTAAATAAATTCAATTGAATTGGATAATAAATGAAATAAATTAAAAATTAATTAATCTGATAATAAATTTACTAACTGTTAAAATTTTTAAAATTAAGTATTTTTGATTAGAGATATGTTTATTTCAACTAAACCAATGATTCCCAATTTTTTAGATTCTGAGTGGAGCAATTTTTTTCTTTTGTAAACAACTTTTATACCAGATATTTTTTTCCCGATTTTCAAGTATAGCACATTTACGAAAGAAAATTTTACTATGGTGGTACTTTATGGAGGTTTTTTTTTCATTATCTCAGTTTTCATAATAAATAGGAAAAAACCGGGAAAATGTACGAAATGTTTTATTTAAAATGATAAATATTATGGCCTTTCAAAATATGTATGACCGATCTCCGCTCAAAATTAATCGTTTTTTGTTAGCGATGCAATTAGTAATTTTACCGCTGGGTACAGATATACATTAAATTTCCCCTTTACCTTCCCAACATCTGACCTCCAACAGTGACCCACCAATCGTGCAAAGTATGCCCGTTTGTTTTTTTTCGTTTAAAAAAAAAAGAAATCCCACAGATGCCCCTCTCATAGAACATAGTATACAGAGGTATGCAGTAATAAATTAATTTCTTGTGTATAAATAAAAACGATGTACCCTAATGAGATGTATCCGTCTGGTATTTTGGTAATAATTTACTGATGACTCGATTTTTGTGAGAAACATTGGTAAGGTACTACGGAATTTTTGTCTTCTGCTAAATTAAAATTCAACATTCCTCTCAAGGGTTCAAAATAAGTGTCAAAATCAGTGTGGAAAAACAACTCTACTCGTCTATGGTTAACCAGAACGACGGAGTTATATCTATAAGTAAACAACATATAATATTGGTTTTTGTAAACAGGTGTAAAACTAAATGCCATGCCCCGGATTGGTGTGGATTAGGGGAGCGTAGAAATAGTGTAATTTCAAGAGAAATTTATTTCCAAACATTCGTTTTTTAATACACCAGCGCAGCAGAATACTTCATGCGCAATCTGTAGTCATGCGACCTAAACCCTCCGACTAAACAGAGAATGCTGGCTCAAATCAATTTTGCACTCGTTTGCTTTACTGAAACCATCGTGTACCTACACACCGAGAATAATGTTATATATATATATATATTGTTGACAAAGCAATTTTTAGTTATTATAGTTGTTATTTATTTTATATTTTTAATTATTATTTTATTTATTACTTAACTATTTATTTACATTTTGTGTTAACTCAGCTATGTATATATATATATATATATATAGCTATGTACTTACAGTCTACATATATCATACTTTATTGTAAATTGAACTAGTCCCGTTTAACTATAAAATGAATAGCTGTAAAAATTATTTTATTTAAAGCCATATCAAGTGTAACTAGTTGTATATAAAGGTATGTTCTGGAACCGTACCACCACCATCACCAGCACGATCACAGCCACTATAGTAGTGATGGTGGCGGTTACAGGACATACCTTTATATACTACTGTAACTCATTAGATAAATATAACTATCCCCTTGGTAATTATTAATCAAATGGAGAATAAGTTAAACATATTTTTAACTCTTAGAAATATAATAGAGAGTAGTTAAAAGGGTTGATTTATTAAAATAATCTAAAAATTCACTTTTGAAAGTCTAAACGCGAGGTAAAATTTAGATTATTTAATTTGAAAAAAAATATTAGTATATTTGTTTTTTTCTTCTGATAATGTGTGATCTAATGATCTCTACTTAAATATTATTATTTACACAAATAAAAAATAAAAACAAAAAAAAAAAAAAAAAACAAGAATATATTTTTGGATATACTACCCGTTAAGTAGACACAGGTGACAAATTCACAATAACACTACTATAACTATAGTAAACTTAAGTTTACAGTCATTAAGAATTATTTATTAATTACACCATTAATCGTATACAACATAAATAACATTATTCTCGGTGTATATATATATATATATATATATATATATATAAAATAATTAAATAGGCATTATATATTATCTTTAATAATATATTTTTAATGTAGTGATTTTCCTGTTTTTTCACCTCTGTTGAACTCTTTAAAGTTCCTTCCCATACCGATTTCTTTTCAGAAAAGATGCTACCTGTAAAAATCGGAGCAAGTTCTCTGGTAAAGGAGTTGTCCACAGAAAAAAAAAATTAAATAAATTAAACGTCTTTGTAAAATCATAAGCTTTTTCGTTCCACTTAGAATCTAAAGTAAGGAATTTGGAATAGTGGTTTCTCTAATACTTTAAATGCAAAATAAAAAAAGGATTTAAAAAAAAAATATTGCATTTAAGGGGATTAATTAATAATAATAATAATCCATCGCTAATACGTATTAACAATCGAGTTATTAATTTTTAAAATAATCGGTAAATACGCACATAAAAGTATATAAAGATATTATTTATATTTTTTTATGAATTACCATAGTAACACGCAGGGTTGACGTCAGGGTAAGAGAGGTAGGACTTACGTCCAGGGCCTCGCACTTTTAGAAGCTCCGTGCTTGTAGACCAATGAAAAAGAGTGGCATAATTATAATAGGCGTAAAACTGGAATACTAATTTTCTTTAGAAATGTAACGATATCTTTGGAAAAAACACGTACACGCGCGTTCTTATTAAACAGTATTTCCTGGCCAGTATTTATTGGTTGTGGCCAAGTATTGGGTATTATTTCAGTTATTAGATGAAAGGAGTGGTACGCTTAAAAATAAAAGGTCTCAAAAAAATATATTTATCTAGGGCCTTGGAAATCATAATGCCGGCCTTGGTAACACGGATGAAATTTATTGTTATGGAATACCACAGTAATACGAATGAAATAAAAACCATATTTAAATGTTTGTAACATGTATGAAAGGAAAAAAAACCGAGTGAAATATAAAATAATAGGTATTCAAATATTTTACATTACAAAACTATCCACGGGCGAAGCCGGGTAATACAGTGAATAATTACATATGTATTAAACATATTATTTAGTACCTCTTCAGTCCGATTTGTTTTCAGAAAAGTGCTATAATTGTAAATCGGAGCGAATGCAGGTAGAAAAGTTGTCCACAGAAAAAAAAAAAATAAACAACATTGTGTAAAACTATTGCATTTCTCGCTTCACTCAGAATTTAAAATTAATACAAACGTTTTCTTTTAAATGTTCACTAGTTATACCTTAATTGTTTATATCATCGTTATTAAGTTATACTAGTACATCTTTTTCACATGACAAGCATAAATGCTTCAAAATTAGGTTGCTTTAAAGAATTTATCAATCTGTTTAATATAGACTTTGGGGTAGAAAATTTCTTTTACAAATTATTTGCGAAGAAGGTAAGGTAATAAACTTATAAATAATAATAAAGTTTTTAAATAAAGATCATCCTAAGTAAAATATCTTAAGTTTTCGCATAAGTCCATGGCTTACATTATTATACTGTAAGTGAAACGGTCAAACAGGATACTCATTATTATATTATTAGTATCATAGAAAAAAATCGTAACAAATAAAGCTATTGCAAATCACAATGTTGTAACATATAATTATAAATAATATGCATACGTTATTTTGCAACAATTCCCAACAATCACTCAAAACGTTCAGACAATTTAAAATGTACTCATATGATATTATTATGAATGCATCGTGTGTATTTTTGTGGAAATATTAAGCGTTTAGAAAATGTATAGGTATCTACAGAGAAAAAAGAAGGTTTTAAAATTTCTATCTGCATTTTTATGATAATATATATGACAATATTATACTAAACGCATACGTATGCTGCGATTCCTTAGGAAATTTTACTGGTTGTCGATTTTTAAGTTGAACCTGATTTTATTTTATGATTTTTAAACACATGATTCGGCGACTACAGAGTACTAAATATCCTTTAGACTTAGATATTTCTAGTCACTCAGCCCTATGATATTCATTCATCCAACATTTTTCTTATAATGTATTTGTTTCTGTATCTGGCATCTGTGACATCGTGTTTGGGTCCCGCAGACTTTAGAGTCTCGTTCAACTCATTTTTCAACGCCTATAATATTCATAGTAATATTATTAAAGTTGTTGAATTTTAATATACTTGTATGTTGAAATTTGACAGAAATTCATATTTTTTGTTTTAATTGTAAACATATGATCCAGAAATTCAAGACCGGAACACCGATTAACGAATTGTATCTTCGAATCCTTTACTCCATCTCAGTTGTCCAGGAAAATCAAAAGAAGTTAAGACCAAAAGTCCAAAAAGGGTTTATCTCTCGTCAACTTTCTTGATGGGCCCAGTACAAAATCTCAAAGATCTCGGAACTTTATTTTCTTTCAAACAAGAGAGTCAACTATTTACGGGCACCCCTTCAAGTGAGCCCGTTACAAATTTCCCAGATGTCCTTTCATCTACTCCTTAACTGTTCTTCTATGTGGCATGTGACAGTTAGATCCACCGACGAAGGTGGAAGCCCGAAATATTTACAAACTACTACAAATGTCATCACTGTCCTCAGAGGTATCGATGGAAATCGTTGAGGCGGTACGAATTAGCGTAAAAACATTTAGGTTTTTGATATTTTTCAAATTAGTTATGAAATTCAATTATATATAAATTTAAAAAAAATGCTGTTGACTGAAGAACATAAACAACGCATGCAGTGATGCGTAATTATTATTCATCGCACTCATAATTATTCTTTTCATAATAATAACATTTTCTACTAAAGTTAAAACATTAAAATTAACAGGAAATTCCTATTGGTATTATAACAACGGTATACACGTTTTATTGCAAAACAAAAATTGTATATAACGTATTATAACACTACGTTATTATTTATTATTTATTCTAATATTAATATTACATCTCGTCACAATACTTGTCCTTTTAGCTTTTAATTATAAGAGTAGTAATTTTTATAATGCTCGCAGATCTACATATTTCTATAATATTTTACATTTTAGTGTAAATTCAAACTAATTTCTCGTCGAATTCTATTATTTTATGATGACGTTTCCTTCGTAAATGGATAATTGGGATGGTCTTTGGCCCTGCAAAATAAAAACGCAGTCATCACAGGAGAGAGCGAATACAAATTCATAAAAATACAACTTTTAAATTAACGAAAACAAATTCAAGCGATATTTCTAAAGTAAATTAACTTTGACCGATTAATCATACCCCGGAAAGAATTCGAACCATAATATGCGTCCTGCTTCCCCCATATTTTGTTCCCGTAGTGCCTCCATGTCTTCCTCGTCCAACTTGAAGTCCAAAACCTTTCGAAAATATCACACTCCGTGGTTATCGTATTCATAATAATAATAATAATAATATAAAAATACCTGTATGTTTTCAGCTAACCGTCCCGGATTCGTGCTCTTGGGTATGACGGCAATGCCCCTCTGGACGACGAATCGTAACAGGATCTGGGCTGGAGTCTTAAGATATTTTTTGGCCACGTGCACTACTATATCGTTTTCTAACATTTCCGGTAATTCTTTGCTGAAATATGGAAAAACACGTGTTGCTAAATATCAAATGTCCTTAGTTTTTATAAATTTGAACCCAACGCGTTAGGTTGAAATTACGGTACAAATATTGAAATACTGATGAATTTTAAAAAAAAGAGCTGATACTGGGGATGGGAGCGGCCACTGTTGTAGGTGAGAATTTGAGAAGGTAGGATGCATAAGGTAATTCTATTTATATCTGTAAGCAACGATAAACCATTGCTTGACAAAAGACGATTCCGAGCGCAGTTTGTTGATACACAACTTGAAGTGCGTAATTTAATAGCGATTTATTTATTTATTAGTTTAAATTTGATTTCAAAACGCTAATTAAAAAAAAAAAAGTCGTCCTGTAGTTTTAAAAAATTTACCACATCTAAATAAGTTTAATATAAGTTTATTATCAAGTTTCAAGTTTCTAAGGGTATTTATAACCGAATTGCAGCAAAAAACTCCAAAAAATTAAAATTCCTTAAAAGCTCAAATATATCTCAAAAGTGTTGTCGAAGATATTGTGAAAAATTAAATCAAAAAAAAAAAAAAAAAAGGTATTTTGTGATTTTTCGATTAAATCATTTTTTCTGGTAGAAAAATTCGTTCGTGTTTTTATAGAATAACGAAATCATAAAATTATACTTTTTCCTACAGTTTTTCTCACTTAAGTTCTTTTATTTAAAAAATGGCATCAAAAATCAAAAAATGACTCTTTCAAAGTACAATTTAAACAACGTAATCTTTCAGAAAAGTAGCTATATGTAAAAATCGGAACAAGTTTACTAGGAAAAAACGTGTCCACAGACTAGAACAAAGAACAAAGAAAAAAAAATAAGCAGCATTGTAAAACCAATAGTTCTCTCGCTACGTTAGAGATCTAAAATACATTCTTATTTTGGTATTTCAATAGCTTCATCACGATTCATTGCAAATATTGAAAAATACTAAATTTACGTTTATTTCTTTATACCTCCAGGGAATTCCTAAAATGTGTCTACCATCTTTGGTGCCCAGAGTAGAATAAGAGGTAACAGTGATTCCGTTGTCCTCACAGAATTTCACGAGTTCGGGCTGTTGGAGGTACAGGTGAAGTTCTACTTGTAGATTGTCTGGTTTGATTGTGCAGTTGTCCAACACCCTTTGAATTTGATTTGAGTTGAAATTTGATAAACCGATCGCCTTCGTTCGACCGCACTCCACATGTTTCTCCATTATCTGCAGCGACGAAATGAAGGTGATTTATTATCGAATTATTTTGAAAATTCATTAATAATCGTATATTATTGCGGTTATATTTCGTACCTCCCAAGTTTGTAAGTAATTCGTACTGTTGTCTGGATACATGGTAGAAAAATTCATATTTTCTCCAGGTTTTACTCCAAATGGCGTGTGAATCAAGTACAGATCAACGTAGTCTAGTTGCAAGTCTTGTAGGGATTTTTTCAGGGCCTTTTCCGCGTCCTCGGGGTGATGTGCATAACCAGGGAGCTGTAATTGTAACAATTGTAAAATATTATAATTTTTTTTGTCATTTAATTCGTATTATATTTTTTGTTTTACCTTAGTGACTATAAACAATTCGTCCCTGGTTACTTTTCCTGAAGAAATCCATTCGTTTAGTACTTTTCCGATGACGTGTTCATTTTCGTAAACCGTAGCTGTATCGATGTGCCTGTAGCCACATTCTAGAGCTTCGTTCAAAGCGTCTTCCAAAGAACCACCCTTAACCTACAACAACAATACTAAAACTATTACACTTAAACTGGACATTTTTAAGTTAGGAATAAAACCATAAATAAAATTGCTGTTCACTTTTAAATGGTCTACAGTTTGAGAAACGAAATTAATGTAAAATACTGAAACTAAAAGAATAAATTTAAAAACATTATAATTATTTTTAATTTCTATATTTCTCAAGTATAATTTTTCGTAGAATCTTCTTCGCATAAGACTTTATCCTTTCCTTAGCTGAGCTACATCCACCTCTATTTTTCCGTATGTCCTTGACCGTTTTTTTCTTTTCTTCATCTACTCCATAATAGATATTATGTCTATTTTTATTATCTATAAATCTTTTCTCGTAATATCTGGCGAGGTTTTTTCCTTATTATTTAATATAAATACTCACTTTCCACGTCCCGTAGCCAATAATCGGCATGTTTCCGCCCGAACTCAGTTTTAGATATTCCATCATAAATGTTTTCCCGAGTACGCCGAAAACCGAAGTGATCATAGCCACGGACAAGTCACACGAAAATATCTTAAATTAAACAGTAATACATTAATAATTTATATTCAAGGACAAATAATAATTATACTATATTATAATAATAACATATAATTTTGTTAAAGGATGAAACAAACGGTGCAACGGCGACAGGTTTCACCCCTTTGAAAATGGTAATAAATAAATAAACCACGGTTTTCGGTTTATAAGAGCCAAATTATTAAGGGACTGTATTATAGGTGTGTGAGTATTATACTGCCCTCTCCCTTTGCTATATGATTCATGACTTTTAAAGAATTCGATGGTTTTAAAATATTTAATGTAGGTATTATCGTTTCGAATAATTTGTTTTTTCGTCCTTTCAACACGCACCAGTCATATTTGTTTCATGCATGGATGCATATGTTGTCCGTATAAATATAAAATACTTTTCGGGGTAATAGACGCGTGTGCACGGTGAAAAAGACAAATTTTGATTTTCAAAAAAAAAACAAGACGGCCATACTTCGTACGCTGGGTGGGCCACTGTTGTAGGCGAGAAGTCATGATGGTAGGATAATAGAGAGGAACTTATGTATACGTCTGTACGCAATGATTAATAATTACTAACGAAAAGCGATTCTGGGTGGAGTTCGGTTATACATGTTTTGAAATGCCGTAATATTTACGATAATCGTAAAAATTTGATATTGAAATTCTTATAACAAAAAAAAAAAAAATACTGAACAATCCTTATTTTTTTTTTTTTTGACCAAGCTTATATGAATTTTTCGATTGTATATTATCTATCGTTTAGCTCAAATTCTACAAGAATGCAAATATTGTTTTGGGATTATAATTGAATTACTTATCCCCTGAACTCTCTGAGTAGAGATGAGATGACTTAGATAGTCAATAAAAAATAAAATTAAAATAATACCACATTTACACCATGCTATTTAGTATGTTTCTGCGGTAAATTAAAATTTCAAGGCCATCGTAAAAAGGCAAGGAAACTCATTCTTTATTGGATTTCTGTTGTAAACCGTACACCTTATCTGAAAACTTACGATTAAACGCAAATTAGTAGATTTTATTTATTCATATGGCGTATAATGTGGTTTTTGAAGAAAGTGATTCGATTTCCGCTGGAGAATAATTATTTTTCGTTCGATCGCCGACCGCCTGATCTTAAACGCCGTCACGGCGACGTGCGAAATCCGAAATCGAAAAGTTAAGATATTCTTCCTCCAGAAATTCATTATTATAGTATTTCGCGCTACGCGTGTATGATTAACAAACCGCCGCGTCGCATAATATATTGGAAATTCGTATGTAAGTACAATTATTTCGGGTGTATAAATTATACATTTCGATTATGGCGGTCGTCGTCGAAACGCAGAATTCAAACGGGACCGTACCACAAAGACGTTTTGTATAATTTAATAGCAAAGTTTTTGCGCTTCGATCACGTGTACCTATAATGATAATTATCATCTTATGTCTATAACTTTTGACGGTATTTATCGATTTCTCTGTTCGAACGTTGAGGGTTTTAATCAATTATTCAAAACTGTGCGGCAAACAGCCGCCACCGTAACTGTAATTATATACCCGTTAAAATATTTATATTCGACGGTCGTATTTTTATTTATTTATTTTTGTTCTACCTTTAGTAAAATATATACTAAAATATCTAAAACGGTCGCTGAAAAATATAAATGTACGGTTTGTTTAGCAGGTTGGTACAACAAACCTACTGCAAAATATATTGAAAAATTTGAACAAACATGGGAACACTTAATCCTAGTACAGGTGTAACACATAAATCATAACATAAACCATTCAGCATTTGAAATAATGTACTATTAATAAAACAATAATCATTGCATATTTGTAATACTTTTGCTTATCACCAGGTAGAAATATATTATGTACTACACAATTATATATTTTGTAAAAAAAACTCAAGAAAAATGCTTCATGTAATAAATGCGGATACACAAGAGGATATTATAAATGTAAATAACAACGCCATAGACATAGTCTGATGTTAAAGAGAAACCATATAAACCAAAGAAGCAACGATTTGTTACCACTTAATAATTTTAAATTATTTATTTATGCTTTTGTTATATTATCCTTTTTTGAAAGGAAATCTGACTGAGGTGGTACTATAAGGAGGTAATTTTTTGATTTTTCCCAGATATTTTTCCAATTAGTGGGAAAACTCGATAAAAAAATGTGAAAATCTACAAAATGTAGGTATTAGTATAACCTTAAGCTCTTTTCATAATAAATAGGAAAAACCGGTAAAAAAAACGTGATAATGTAAAAAATGTAGATATTAGTATAACCTTAAGCTTTTTTTTATAATAAATAGGAAAAACCGGGAAAAAATGTTTGATAAATAGAAAAATAGGTACAATATTAATAAATATTATTAAAGAAAATAGAAGTAGTAATAGAGTAGTAATCGTATATAATACATATGTAACTATTTTACCATAATATGATATATATATATTGTTGACAAAGCAACACTATTAACCGAATTCCGTTCAGAATAGTTTTTTCCGTTAACAATGGTTAAGTGTTGCGTACAAATGTATATTCAATTTCTATTATCATCCCAATTTCTGACCTACAACAGTGGCCCACGTGCGAAGTATGTACGTCTTTTTTTAAAATTTACTATGTTTAGCTCCTTCCCCCCATTTGTAAATTAATAGTCCTAATGTCACACTGATATATACAACATATCATCAACATAAGCATAATTCAAGACATAATGTAGACATATATGTAGACCAAAAAAAAACAAAATGATTATACGGATCAATATGAAGTGAGAAGAAATGCCAAAATAAAAGAACCTTTCGGAAAAGAACACATAAAATGAGAAAAATGATCAAGTTAGGGGACGTATATGGATGTTAAATGGCATAATGAAAAATAGAAAAACCAGTGAAAGACCACTGGGTAGACTAAACAAAAATATGGATTTTTGGACTAAGCCGAGATCTTCAGATACTTAGAGTAAATTACCTGAGGGTAAAATTCTCTCCGCTAAGTTAATAATAATAATTGTCCGTAACGACTTAAAACATACATAGACATGGGGATTTATTAATACTCCGATGAAATCCATACATACGAATTATAAATAATTGATTATGAATAATTAGTTATAAACTTACAAATTATTTACGGGTCCATGAGCGTTTGTTGTAAACTACGCGTACACGAGTAGTAAAAATTAACTCGAAATGTTTCACAGTATGTATTTTATCCGAAGCCAAACAGGATCAGAGAGAATATTTAATAAGCATGCGCTTAGTAAGTGGTTTTTGTAGGCAATATATATATGAATATATGAATAATATAACATACAGAACCGTGATTTTTGGAGCGAAATAATATTTCGTTTGTTTTGGATCTGTTTCATTTCGGGATGGGTTAAACGTTATTTCGTTACGATCTTTTCATTTTATAATGTATTCAAAAATGTATTTCTTTTCTCAATTTCCACCTGTTTGTACGGGTAAAATACACCCACTCCACCACTGTTCCCACCACTAAAGTGTCATTTTTGTTAATACTTTAATTCGTACGACTATTTAGGGTGCTGGAACTTGGATGTTAGGAGATAAACTGTTTGCATTTTTCACGTGCACGGTGATGAAACCGAATGAATTTGTATCGAAATTATTGTTGACTTCTTTATTGAAAATGAAAATCACACAATACGTTTATCAACTACACACCAACCGGCAAAAACAGCTAGAAATACACCAAAAATCAAATGCTTTAACCATTTATGTCCTAGGTATAATCATATTTTGAACAAATAAATTTAGCAAAACAACACTATTAAACATCAATAATATAAAATTACGCTAATATTATTATTAATAACAATTAAAACGTAAATATAACTTAGCATGTGCAACAATGACGACGAGTCCACTCAAATACATATAATATTTTTTATGATTATAAATAGATATATTTATAATACGCCTACTATACAGTGTAATTAAGTATTTCACAAGTTGAATTCGACAGAATTATTGTTGGCGTATAATAGCAAAACGTCTTCAAAACTGAATTGGAAATGGGTATTCCGGATGTTCTGTGATTCTAAAAAGTAAAATAAGACGAAATATAATTTGATATGCAAATATGTAAAATGTTAATAATAAAAAAGTTCAATACAAAATTATCATGAGATCTGCCCGATTTCCACTTACCCAGGGAAGAACAAAAATCGGACGATACGCCCTCCTTCGCCCGCGTCCTGGCTTCGTAGAGCTCGCACGTCTCCTGGGTCCAGTTCAAAATCGAAAATCTTTTTGCAGAAAACACAGAGAAATTATTGAACGTGTAATTTGTGTATAGTTTGTGTTAAATTACTCGAATGTTTTCCATTAACCGCTGAGGATTTGTACTCTTAGGTATGACGGACACACCGTTCTGGACGAAGAACCGCAATAGCACTTGGGCCGGAGTCTTTCTGTGTTTTTTCGCTACCTCCACTACTACATCGTTTTCCAACATTTCGGGTAACTTTTCGTTGCTATTTGTAAAATATTTGATCAACATATTATTAGTAAAGTCAATGAAACTATTGTCATTCAGATATATAATTACGCCCAAGAGAATCCCAAAAGTTTTCTACCGTCTTTCATGCCCAGACTCGAGTATCCGGTCACGGTGATCTCGTTTTTCTGACAGAATTGTATGAGTTCTGGAGTCTGAAGGTACAGATGAATTTCGTTCTGGACGTTGTCCGGTCGGATCCGGCAATGGTCCAGTATCTTCTGTATTTGCCGGACGTTGAAGTTCGACAAACCGATAGCTCTGATCAGACCCTTGTCCACTTGGTCTTCCATCGCCTACGAAATCCGTTTTAAATTATGTATTATGAAAAAACATTTATGATCCAAAACATCAGCATATTTTCAGTAAAATATTATACAATTTTATTATTTTCACCTTCCATATTTTCAAATGGTCCGTACTGTCATCTCTTTGCATCTTGGTATAGTCGGTAGTGTCACCTTGAAACACGCCGAACGGAGTGTGTATCGAATACATATCGATGTAATCTAACTGAAATTGTTTTAGAGATTCTTTAATGTATTTTTCCACGTCTTTTGCGCGATTTCCGTATATAGGGAGCTGCAAATGAATTCAAATTATAATTTTTTTTTCTACCCCATATTCGATTTGTGATATTAAAAACCGAATTCTTACCCTAGTGGTAACGAACAGCTCGTCCCTGGTTACTTTGCCGGACGAAATCCATTCGTTTAGTACTTTTCCGATTGATCGTTCGTTCCCGTAACCGCTGGCTGTGTCAATGGATCTGTATCCGGCCTCTAGTGCTTTGTTCAGAGCTATTTCTAATTCAAGTCCCGTAGTCTACAAATTAATTCCAAAAAATAAAACAAGAGGGCTGCTGATTCGTATACAGGTATAATAGGAAATTAATCAAATTTCGACTGACCTACCAGATATGTACCGTAGCCGACTATTGGCATTTTACCACCGGACCGTAATCGCAGATATTCCATTGTGTCGTTTCTTCTGTTGCTTTTAACACACTATAAATCCGTGACTAAAACGTAGTGAAATATTAATAAAAAGCGCTTGACAGCTATTTCCCATGTTATATTAGTGCAATATATAATAACTAATTTGGTTAAAAATAGATTACATACTGATCTGGAAATACGTTCTGGGACAACGATTTTCACACGATGGATTCGATTAAAGAAATAATAATAATCACCACACGAATATGACAATCGATAATTACAAGTATATAATATTTTAACCGTGTGAATAAATTTGCAATTACGACGTAAAAACTCGTAATTAATACGCTAGTAGTTTTAACTTCCCACCAATTGCAGTAGTACCTACACCCATCAATAATATAAGCTCTTTTTCTTTAGTATATTTTATTTTATTTTAATAGACTGCATTTTTGAGTTTTTGTTTTTCGTAAATTTTTCAAAAAGTACGCTATAATATACAATTTTATCGAATTTGTGGGAAATATTACGAAACAAACGGTTTTCTATATTCCGCCAGGCGCGCGAAATTGAACATACGTTGGTTGCTTCCGGTTCGATTTTGTTTCTTCTATTTTGACGGTGTACTCGGAATAACCGAGAGAATGATACATATAAAAAAACAACAAATAAAATAAAAAACAAAAACATAAATCGATTTTCCGAGATATCATCCGCAATTTCCCGTCCACGCGGACACACGGATTACGCCGGAAACTTCTCAGCGATTTTTCTGCAAAGGACGACGGAGAATAACTATTTCCGTTTAAAAAGAAAATGGGGTAGGGGGAGGAGAGGTCAATATTGACGATCTGACGCGTTTAAAAACATCAGTTGTTACTGTAAATACAATATTATGTTTTATTCATGCTATATACGCGTCTACACCGTTTCGTTTAAATCCCAATAACTGGATGATATGACATTTTGTGTAATCTATTGTTTTCCCCTCAGTAGACTATTGTCGCAACCCAGTGGTTTCGTTATCGACAAAGATTATTTTATGAAAATAATGGGTAACTAAATGATTTTGAGTTTTTCGTTTGTCCGATTATTTTTGGTTCTTCGAGTACAACCAGATGACTTTTTCGAATATAGACAAACTGATTCTTTCGTTAGCTTTTGCTACAATACAACTACTATTGTATTGGGTGTATAGTGTATACCAGGTGTGGCGGTGCAGGACATAAAACGGTTAAAAATGTTGATTTTAGTAAAAAGCAAAGTTACTTTTACAGTTTTATTTAACCTAGGTAACTATAGGCAGATTATTATTTTTGTCGTCAAAGAAAGTTTTTTACAGTTATGCGTTTTAACTGGTCGAAAACTAATGGTTAAGTCTATTTTTTTTTAAATTCATATATCCATTAAATTTTAGAATCAGTTAAACTGCTAAGGTGGTATTAATATAACCATATAACGTCTGAACATTTTAAAATTCGTAAATAGGAGAATTATTATTACTAGCTATTGAATATTTTAAACATTCATTTTTTAATAAGAACAAATAACACTTTTTTGTAACTACGTAACCAGCTTTTAACTGACTGTTTTATATTCAAAGCGTAGCAAAGGATCGGTCTATTGATTATACTATGATGTGTCTGTGAGTAACTTTTCTACCAGAAATCTTGTAGCTATGTAACAAGGAAATTTTATCTAGTTGGTACATTGAGCAGATCATTTTTTGATACTCTAACCCAGGGATGGACAGTATTTAAGATATGTATCTTAGATACATTTATATATTGTATCTTTTAACGTTAATAAATTGTATCAATTTTTTTGTATCTTTTTTTTGTTAAGATTCTAGATACTAGATACAAATCATGATTCATTTATTTTTCCATTCTAAAGTTATTTATATTAATTACATTTAAACGGTTACATTTTTGTGATTATATGAAATTGTAGGTATTATATATTCTGATATTCATATTTTGCTTAATAATATAATAATAGAGTATTATTTTTTTCACAATATATGTAATATGTTTTTATTTTTTATTTCCTTAAAAACAAAGTTAAAACTTGACATCATAGGCGAATATACTACACGTTTTTTTATTTTTAATATATCTTGTATTTTAGTTACAGTATTTAGTATCTTGTATCTAAAAGGAAGGAAAAAGTAATATCCACTATCAAGTATCTTTTGGTAAATGTAGAATGTATCTAGTATCTATACTTTGTTTCAAAGAAAAACATACCGTTTTCGTGACCAGTTTTCGTTCGGTGGCGGGCATCTCCATCAGGTAGCATCGGTCACGACCATAGACATGTTAAGAAACACGTTTCTTACTTCCGCTGATGGGAATGCTCATCGCTGAACAAAAACTGGTCGCAAAAGTGGTATGCTCTCTTTTGAAACAGGGTATAGATACTTTTTTTCAAGTATCTTCCCCATCCCTGTTCTAACCCCTTTAAGGGTCCCGATTGTGGCTTTTCTCTTTTCTTGATACTCATACGTCTTAAGTTATGTTAATCACTCTGTATAACATGAGTATTATACCTATTTGTATAGTCATATAATATGATCATGATGAGGGATTTGCTTACAGCACTATACGACTGAAAACGTTTTGTGCAAATATATATTAACATTATATTATAATGTTTGATTTCGATTTGTTTGATGTATCTGTTCGATATTATGTGGTTGGATACAAACAGTTATTTCCGGATATCTATCATCAAATACTGTAAGTATGTTATGAGTCTTTGAAATAATCTACAATATTTTGGTGACATACTTAATCATGGTCTCCCAAAATTGTGTAGTTGGTTGCCTAACTATGCTGCTTAAAATAGTAGACAGACAATAAGTATTATTGACACTAAGTAATTTGTGGTATATGTTTTTGCATTATAAGTGTTTTATCACGTATCACGAAAGCTCGACACTGCACAAACATTAAAATTGACCATGTTTATGGATATAGGTAATAAAAAAGAAACATAGTTTTATTATAGTAATAAATGTATCATCATAGTAATATTCATATTGTTAAGATTATTTGTGTAAACGTAAAATTTAATTAATGTTTTACTTCGTCCGAGATATGTTAACACAGGTCATGTGTAAACTATCCCAAAATAAATTAAATATTATTTCATCGGATTCATTTAATTATTGACAAGTTTCGTGATTCTCCTCTCCAAGGGGCATGCTGCATTATGGACTTTGTGGTTGTAGGATTTGGCGTAAAATTCAAATGAAGAACATAATTAAACGAACTGTAAACATCTGCACTAATTATTAAACGCACATATTCAATTCCTTTAAAGTTGTACTACATCAACCGTAACAAAAATGACGAGTTATATTTCGATCATACGAGTATATGTATGTTACAGCGATAGACATACTCATTGACGAAATGGCTTTGGTTTATTGTAGCAAACGTCTTTAATATTAAACGACTTTTAGGTACCTACTTCGGGAGTTCTGCAGCGTGTAAAAAAAAAAAACAAATCATGCACTAGATACTGTATATTAAATAATACAATAAAAGTCAAGTACAGTGAACGGTATTATTTGAGCGGGTCATTCGAGTGTTGACAATGCCCCGTGAAATTAAAAGGGGACACTGAAATTCAAAAACTTGGTTGTAGAAAAACAGGGGGAAATCTAATACTTTTCAATCACTTGAAAATCTACTCAAACGTGTATATTTGTTTTGTTTTCGTTATTGATCTTACAATACGTTATACGTTGTATTGAGAGTGTTTTTATATTCCCCATCAATCAATATCATCCAAAGCGAGTGTGGTAAGCTACTCTGTTTCATACCTTCTAAATATTCCTCTAATATCCTTATATACTTCACATACACTAGCATCTCCTTTAATGAACTCTAAATTTAATTTCTATATACCCAGCGAAGGAAAAAAAAATAAAAATATTTCTGTCTTTTTGTAAAACTACACATTGAATATGGAATACCCAACTAAAATTAAGCAAAACTGCAACATTATAAAATAACATTATTAATATTAACAGCTATAAAGTAAATACAATTTGTTGTTTAACATCCACAAAAACAACGATACAAATGCACAAATACATATAATATTTTTTATGATTATAAATAGATATATTTATAATACGCCTACTATACAGTGTAATTAAGTATTTCACAAGTTGAATTCGACAGAATTATTGTTGGCGTATAATAGCAAAACGTCTTCAAAACTGAATTGGAAATGGGTATTCCGGATGTTCTGTGATTCTAAAAAGTAAAATAAGACGAAATATAATTTGATATGCAAATATGTAAAATGTTAATAATAAAAAAGTCCAATACAACATTATCATGAGATCTGCTCGATTTCCACTTACCCAGGGAAGAACAAAAATCGGACGATACGCCCTCCTTCGCCCGCGTCCTGGCTTCGTAGAGCTCGCACGTCTTCTGGGTCCAGTTCAAAATCGAAAATCTTTTTGCAGAAAACACAGAGAAATTATTGAACGTGTAATTTGTGTATAGTTTGTGTTAAATTACTCGAATGTTTTCCATCAACCGCTGAGGATTTGTACTCTTAGGTATGACGGACACACCGTTCTGGACGAAGAACCGCAATAGCACTTGGGCCGGAGTCTTTCTGTGTTTTTTCGCTACCTCCACTACTACATCGTTTTCCAACATTTCGGGTAACTTTTCGTTGCTATTTGTAAAATATTTGATCAACATATTATTAGTTAAGTTAGTTTACTGTTGTTCGTATAGATATTTACATCCAAGACAACCCCATTAATTTTCGACAGGCAGTCATACCCAGACTCGNTGAATTTCGTTCTGGACGTTGTCCGGTCGGATCCGGCAATGGTCCAGTATCTTTTGTATTTGCCGGACGTTGAAGTTCGATAGTCCGATAGCTCTAGTTAATCCTGCGTCTACTTGGTCTTCCATCGCCTACAAAATCCCTTTAAACCGATTAGTACTCAAATTGTAAACATATTGCACATTTTTAATTTTCTATATGCAAGGTGTTCTTTGACACTTGAAATAACTTTTATTCTGTTCAATATTTTTTTTAAAATTATTAGATTACCTTCCGACTGCAAATATATTCAGTTTTTTTTTTATTTTTTCTTTAAATTTAAAATGAAAAATATAACTATAATTTTTTAAAATAAATATTAAGAAAATGTTTCGTGTTCGAAACTATTTATTTAAGTATGATATTTTATTTTTTATAACTTTTTGAAGTTTTTGCAAATATAAATATTATTGTAGTTTATAATCTTTCTACTGAACTATAATATTTAATCATTAGTCAGATAATATTATTAGGGTCTATATCTTTTGCCGTCAACTTTTCGCTGCCATCGTTTCATTGCCGTTGAATTCGCTACCAACTATTCTCTGCGAAACATTTTTTGGTTTGAAAACAAGCACCGTTGTTTTTCAACGTACATTGGTGGGATCTTCACTATTATGCATAGATCTATTAGAAGCATTTTATATTAAATACACCCCCTCCTTCTGACTTTTGGATAAATTATACTTTAATGGGATTTGGTGATTAGAAAGTGATTTTAATGCCAACAAATTTGGCTTGAAACCCTACACAGGTTCCCTCTGTAGTTTGATATCAATAAATCCCTTTCAAAAAAACTGGTATGAGATTCTTCCGATTACTACCAAACTTTAGATATGACCCCTAGATCACCTCTAGACTACTCTAATAAAATTTATTATCGATCGGAAAAAGGAATTTTATTCCAAAGTGGTTTGTGGATCATTATTAACCGGTGGTGAAAAGATCGCGGCGATGTGCACTAGCAAAGCCATGTCGTTTCGATTTTGCACCCGGACGCAAGGTTAAAAATTTCACCCCCTCATTCATTAAATTATTTACACGATAATTTAGATTTTAGACAGGAACAGTAACGTACGTATCGAAAACACATGTTTATAATAGTAATATATACTGTGGTATAGCATAATGAGAAAATATTTCGATCAGAATACTTTAGAATCGAATTATTACCTTCCATATTTTCAGGTGATCCGTACTATCATCTCTTCGCATTTCAGTGTATTCAGTTTTTCCGTCTTTAAATACAGCAAACGGAGTGTGTACCATATACATGTCTAAGTACTTTAACTGAAGTTTATTTAGTGATTTTTTAATATATTTGTCTATATCCTCTGCGCGATTTCCATAAAAAGGTAGCTAAAATAAACAGAGTTAAGGTTTTGGGGTTTTTTTTTTGTGGGGTAGGCTTTCAAATCACGACAAAAAATTGAAAGCTACCTTAGTGGTGACAAACAACTCGTCTCTGGTCAATTTGCCAGACGAAATCCATTCTTTTAGTACTTTACCAATCGTTCGTTCGTTCCCATAATTACTGCCCGTGTCAATTGATCTGTATCCAGCTTCCAGGGCTTTGTTCAACGCTACTTCTAATTCGAGGCCTACAGCCTGCAAAAAACAATTTGTAAAAATGAGTTAGCGAACAGCATAGTTTCATATACCTGAGATAAAACTATCTAGATAAAGAACAAACGCTAAGAGAGACCCAATGAACGACGAACAGGGAACGACGAACAGGGATGGACGGACAGAGTACAAGATGAATTGAATTCGAAGTTTTATCAAAAAGTGATAGGAAGGAGTGAAGATATTATAGCCTTATATTAAGAGAGCGCCTGAAATTGATTGTAATAACTATTTTACGTGATAAAAAAAAAAAAACAACTAGCGCAATAAGAAATCAAATGTTCACCAAATAAAAAAGAGAACATTAATTTATGGAATGTTAGTTTTAATTTTTCATTTATTTTAAAGATAAAGAAATATATTACTGTTAACAAATTTGATACCTATTTTAAATTGTTCAAAACTGAATAACTTATTTCGTAATAGTGATATCGAAAATCTAAAACCAATGTTGCACAATACAAGTCTTCTTTATTTTATAGAATTGGATTTCGTATAAGCTTGTTTTAACTAAGAAATGGCTTAAGACGTGTGTTTTTGACACGTTTTAGATAGTACAGTGAGTTTTGCTTAATGCGATCACATTGATTCAGGTCATTTTGATTCTATTAACCGATTGATTCCATACACATTTTTTTTAATGATTCTTTATTTATACGTTAACTAAAAATAAAATAAAGAAGCTATCTAATTTCGATTGTGCTTGAGAATCTTCTAATTTCATTTTTATATTAGCCTGAAATTTAAATATATATTCAATTAATATACATATATTTAAAATTAAATACATATGAACGTATGTACATTGTACCTGTAACTTTTGGAACACACAATAAAAATATACAATATAAATACATATAACTATAATAAAAACATACAATACCATAAAAACGACAAGAATGTTCATATAAGCGATTCAATTGTTCGGTATTTGGTGATACTAATAAAAAGTTAATTTAACATTAATAACATAAGATTTGGTTTTGGATTTTAGTTTTTGATTTCAATAAACGGTCGATCCTATAAACCAGTGATCACATTGAGCGGAATTCATTGTATTATGTAAACGTTATAAATATTAAATATTCTATTTACGGTGACCTTCGTTTTTATATTTCATTTTTTTTTTTTTTTGCAACTCAGGATAATATTATTTTAAAAATATTTTTCCGCAACCGTTTTTCTTTTTAACTCTTTCAAAAAAAAAAAAAAAAAAGAATTACGAAAGAAGAAAGATTTTTATTAAAATAATAATAATAATAATAAATACAGACATTAAAAAATATGAAAAAAAAAAAAAAATAAATAAATTTCTACTAACTGCGGTATATATACGATTTTACATTATTATTAAACAGTTTTTACTGGGTATACGGTTGACTGATCGGCAACAATAATTGTTTTAATAAAAATATCGTTGTTTGCCAGACGTAATAAGTTTAAAACCCGAAGTTCCTTCAGTTGTAAATAACACAAACCTCTTCTTTTTTATCTTTCTTTCTCAAAGGCATATCCACGCGTTCTTATGAAGTATCTAAAACTTTCACCGCGGTTTCTTTTTGACATTAAAAAATATAAGAAAAAAAAAACTCACCTACCCACCTGCCTAAGTATTCCGTCGGCGGTGTCAGCGGAGATATGTATGATTGATATATATATATAGTATTCATTTTTTTTTTTTTGTTGCTCGTTTCGTAAATAATAATCATCGTGTAACATTGGTTTTTTTTGCAGCTTTATATCTCACTGGTGCCACTGCTGCTGTATATTCGGTGGCGGCGGCAGCGGCGGAATACCCAGAACCGGCGTGTTTTATTTTAAGACAAGTCGAAATTTTTTGGAAGAATTCAGTAAGTATATTATACCGTATACGTAAATGTTCGAATAAGTAGGTATACTGTTGAAGTACTGTATTTACTCGCGAACAAACTCGAGAAACGCTATATATACACGAGTATAATGTATGATACCTATATACCGTTCGTCAGTCAACAGCACTCAAATTTATATGAGATTAAAAGATACACGAGAGCATTTATTATACGTCACACTCTGAAAAAGAGAATATTATATATAAATGTGTATACCTATATACTTAATTGAACAAAAACGTTCTTCGTGAGAATTGCATTAGGTGCGAGTCAGAGTATTATAATTGAAAGGAGCTTGGTTTACCTGCAGCAGCAGTAGCATCGGGTAGTCAAATATTTGTTGTGCGTACACACGGCTGCAGTAAAGGACGTTTGATTAGCAACGGATTAATATATTCGGGTTTTGAGTATCTACTTATACTGATTATACGATTTGATTCTTTTATTGAATCGTTGAACAAATATAGAAACAAAACAAATGTAAAAATAGCTGATACTGGGGACGGGTGTGTAACTGTTGCAAGTAGGAGATCGAGAAGCTATAATACATTTATACCTGTAAGCAACGAAAAACTGTTACTAACGAAAAAAGTTTCGGAGCGAAGTAACTTAAATTATATATATACATATTTGAAAGGTTATATTAAGGTTTATGATTTTTGTCAAAATTCTATTTTAATACTCTTATAAAAAAAAATTGTGTCCTAGAATAATAAGGACGTGTGCAGCTACTGTCATTGATAAGAAGTTGGGAAGGTAAGATATAGAGGGGCAATTAATTTGAATCTGTAAGGATCGATAAACCATTTCTGACGAAAAAACTATTCTGAACGGAGTTCAATTGATAGTGATATGCTTTGTCAACAATATAATATATGTCATATTATGGTAAAATAATATTAAATAGACATTATATATTTTCTTTAATAATATTTGTTTAATATTATACTGATTTTCGTTTTCCTACGTTTTTCCCGGTTTTTCACATTTGTTGAGAAAATTTTTAGGAAAATTGAAAATAAACCCCCTTAAATACCTTCCTATTTAGATTTCCTTTCAGAAAATGTGCTATCATTGTAAATTGGAGAAAAATTGCTTGTAGAAAAGTTGTTCACAGGAAAAAAAGGCCAACATATTTTACAACTAATACCTACATTTCGTATACTTTCCCGTTTTTCCCGTTTGTTGAGAAAAATCCTGACAAAATCAATGCATGATAACATGACAACATTTTTCGGAAAATATTACATTTCGTTATGTGAATTTCAAAATACGAGTTGATTGTTGAAATCAAAATCAACTTATAATGATTTTACATAGTTTTAGTATATATGTACAGAATATAAATTTAAATATTAAATAATATTAAATAAAAAGTTTTAATATTCCAAAACAATTTTTGATATTAGCGTTTTATAATTCTTTAATGTACGATAAAAAAAAAAAATACCCCCGAAATAAAATTTACACTCAATTTTCGTATAGATAAGGATCGCTGGTTGAATGTTCAGAAAATGTTTAATTGTCGATTCCCAAAATGTCCATTTTCCTAGTTAAATCCTACAGTTTTTCTTGGAAAACTTAATTGTTTTTAATATGATGTGTCCTTTATGGCACATTTATAATAAGAATTATGATTTTGGAAATACATTCAGGTTTCTAACTCCTGCAGTTGTTTCGATCTCTTGTACTTACCAGGTATGACCCGTAGCCGACAATAGGCATTTTACCACCGGAACGAAATTGCAGATATTCCATTTCACGTCTCGAGTACTTTACTAATTCTGAACAGTCTAACGAAAAAAAAGAAACAAAAACGAGGGTAAAAAATATTAAATATATATGTATAGTACTTAAAATAACGATGAGCACAATTACTAGAAAGCGAAAAATTGTTGTAACACCGCAGTATTTATAATCAAAAACACAATCTACTGACTTGTATGAGAAACGTAAATAAAGGAGTGATATTTTTCACACGGTACACGTTGAAGGGCAAAACGATATTTATTTTTTTTTGACACGCGTCTCTAATTCACAAAAATGTCACATCGCATGTATCGATAATAAACAGTGTGTTATAATTAACTAGTAATTACGAATACTAATAAGCAACTATATCAGTACCTATATAATTCGAAAAAAATAATTAAATTCTCTGTCGTCGTTGTATTGGTGGCCATATAAAATACTTATATTTTAACAGAAAAACGATAGGTGTGTATTAATAAGACCGTAGAAATAATTGGCTTGGGAATTAAAGGGAGAGACCGTCGAAAGAACAAAGGCAACGATCAACTGAATTTTAACCGAGAAAGGACGAGAACTGAGCTGAGAGATGAATGAATACAGTAAATGAAGACGTGGATCAGCTAGGCATACAAAAACGAAAAGAAAATACACAAATCAGCTACAAGTGGCTGGCTTGTGTACAAACGTTTTGTTTGTGCTCTTTGTCCCATTGTTAATGTTCAATCTCTTAAAAAATTGTAATCAAATTACTTCAAAAAAAAAAAAAAAAACGACTGACATACTTCGTACGTGGGTGCAACCACTGTTATAGGTGGGAAGTTGGGAAGTTAGGCTACAGACAGAAATTGAATGTATATCTTAAGCAACGATAAACCATTGCTATCAATAAAAACGATTCTGGGCCGAGTTCAGTTAATAATGTTGCTTTGTCAACAATACAATAAATAGTATATATCATATTATGTTAAAATGATTATAACAATGATTGTTTAAAAAAAATTAAAATAATTAAAACTTAAATATAACAAATAATAAATAAAAACGGTTGCCAATGACAACCTTATTTTTAATCTTTCAATCTTTTTTAACCTAAAGGTTTTCCTTATTATCTAGAATTTTAATGAGAATTTCAAAAATTATCTCTTTAAAGTACCACCCAGAGGAAATTTCTTTTTTGAAAAGGTGCTATACTTGATAATCGAAGTATGCTTTCTGGTAGAAAAAGTATTTGCATACAAAAAAAAATAAAAAATAAACATCATTGTAAAAACAATACATTCCTCGTTCACTCAGAATTAAAAAAAAAAAAAAAAATGAAATTTCAGATTTATACTACGTAGTATCTACTGTGCGATATTCAGTCCCAAGGATACCATAATGGTGTATTTTGAATTCATGTGCTAGGGATTGCTAATTCCCGGTTGAACGACATTTAAATAAACAAGCTATGAAGGGTATTTATAGTCACAGAAAAATATCCTATTCATACAACAACGGAGCATCAAAACAACTAAAATAAATATGCAGAAAATATCGCTATTGTGATATTTTAACTATTGACATTACACAATTGATTTTTGATATATGGAACGCCTCCCTATTTATATTTGCATAATATTTGTTTAGTGTCCACCTATACATATAATAAAATGCATTGTTCAAATAAAATATGCACCTAAACGCTAATCCGTTGCATGATACGAATAGGCAAATAAAAAATAGGGACGCACCAAACCCCAAACTGAAAATGGGAGTACCAAGGGTGCATAGAGATGTCTTTCTAATGAACCATGAGTGAATATCATTTTTTTGGGTAGCAACTTCCACCAGAAACCTGGAGAAATTGATTATCGGATTATAAGTATTCTAGTCGAAACATTTTTTATTGCAAGAAATTGCAATAAATGTTATTATGTTGATGAATGATATTATTTTGACAGTAAATTAGACGATTTTATTCCTTAACTGGTATTCTTATTTGTATTCACGTAACTGGTATTGTCGGGTCAAAAATGACTCGACATTTGTACTACTTTTAACTTAAACATTTTTTTTTTCTTATTATATTCTATGTAGGTATTCAAACGAATATTTTCCATCTAATGATACATTTTTTTTTTTTTTATCAAATATAGGTACTTTTTACAGTGAAAAATGTGCGATCTAATTGAAAAAAAGTTGAAAAGTCATGGATCTTTTTTGATCCAACAATACCAGTTAAAAAAAAATAATAATTATACATTTTGATGACCACGATATAACACGGTGATAAGGGTACTGCGAGGATAAACCATCTACGGGCAAATAATATATAAACAATTGATACTAATCGATTACCACCATAATGAATACTACTTTGTTTATATATCTCTGATCTATAAACGAAGTTATCAATAGAACCGTGTTATCACTTAACCTCTACAAAGTGTGTTCCAATGGAATTTTTAACCTAGTATACTAGGCAACATAAATATCACGCCAGGAAACATTTTTTGTCTTCTAGTAGATAATATTTTAACATTGAATGAAAATATTACGGCATTTTGCATAATATTTTGTGATTTATGATGTTAATAAAATTTGTTTGGCCCGGCCAAAATATTTGAAAATTTAACACGATGTTCAGTATTAGTGTAAGTTGTACTTGTATATTTTAGATCCTAAACGGAGCGAGGAATGTATTGGTTTTACAATGATGTTCTTTTCAATACCGTTGGTATGGATATCACCCGCGTGATATTTAAAATACCATTTTTATCGAATAAGATTTTTGATACCATCACATTATACGACTGTTGAAATCTAAACAATAAAAAACATTTATTTTTTTTTTCAAAATATACGCCGACGTGCAGTATATTCGTGAAAAAAACAAAACCACGATGAATAAAATCGGATTTCATTATAATACTATTACACTTACTACTGTATAATTTAATGTAATATGTTCCCGACGATGACGAAAAAAAATTTGTACGTAAACGAAATAATATAATACCTTTATACATTAGGTCAGGTACATGAATTATTATAATATGTTATTCGTCTGAATATAGACGGGTGATCGACGCACGTCACCAAATTATAATGTTTCGATGCAGTCCAGTGGTGCCGAACATGTTTTTTCATGGATAATTTTTTAGTTGAAATGTGTAAACAAATCGGTTCCGGTTAATTTCGACCGAATTTGGTCAACTTGTACGGTGTGTCGGTTAGGAACCGTGACACATGTATACAGTTGAGAATATCGTCTCACTTGGTCGCTTTGTATCGTACTACTGGTTAATAGTTTTATCTTTAATGTGTACTTCTGCTATACCGTTGACACATAGATTTTCCGTTCTTACATTACATTATGATATAAATGATAATCGCCTTTTGTCTCTTCAAACGTTCCATGTTTTATCGCATGGAAAAATAAAATAATATACCACTGTTGAAGAACGATCCAAGTTGAAGTGGCGAATATTTTTAAAATTACAATGGAAGGATATGTTGATAATACAACTCATACAAATAAATAAATATACATTATTGGATATAGAAAACGAGGCATTGTTACAAATAATTATTATTATCTGTGAATTTTGGGCTTCAGTTATCAGTAATTATTTTGAAAATAAAACAATTTTTTTTCTGTTTCGGGGGAAATTCGATTAAAACATAATATAATTTTGTTAATCAGTTAGGTAGGTATAAATGAATAAAAAATATATACTTTTTAGCTTGAACCCGACAATAACGTCTGCGGTCCGCGGATATTGGGCATCACTGTTGCGGTAGTATATGAAATAAATCCATATCGATATTGTAATTTTTTATATTATTATTGTTCATCCGGTTTCGTTTTTGTACATCGGAATACGTTATCTCACTCAGTACACGAACGAGAGACCGCCGTCGTCGTCGTCATTCATTCTCCCAGTGTAGGGGTTGTTTGGTTTGCATTCGTAAGAAAAGAACCAAAAATGAAGATTTTCGAGTCCGTACACTACATTCGGGTGAGTAGTTTCGTAAAAATATTGATAGAATATTTTTGGTTTCCCGTTCCTCCCACTAGCGCCTTCAATCACTTCGTCAGTTTTTTGAGAGTCTTCAGCTTCCACGGGATCCGTAGCAATTCATGTTCTTGAAGTGGCTTGAAAGATAAAAACACTTACTTTTCGTTACATGATAATTGTCTATTTCTCGGTTGGCACGCGAAAAATAATTAAATATCAAAAGTAATTAACTGAAAAAATTTGTAACACGGCTAAATAAAGTCTTGTTTCAAGAGTAAAAAAAAAACGACAAAGCAAAATTTTAAAATATGTTCCAAATTATGGCCATTATGGGTTGTTGTATTTCAGCATATATTTAATAGATTATATTAGATTATGAGTGGAAAGAGGAATGTATTGGTTTTACATTGATGTTTATTTTAATTTTGTTTTAATGTAAACACTTTTTCTACCAGAAAGCATACTTCAGTTATCAAGTATAGCACCTTTTCCAAAAGGAAATTTTCTCTGGGTGGTACTTTAAAGAGGTAATTTTTGAAATTCTCATTAAAATTCGAGATAATGAGGAAAACCTCGGTCTTAAGGTTAAAAAAGAATGAAAGTTTAAAAATAAGGTTGTCATTGGCAACCGTTTTTATTATTTATTTGTTATATTTAAGTTTTAATTATTTTAATCTTTTTTAAACAATCATTGTTATAATCATTGTAACATAATATGATATATACCATAGATTGTATTGTTGACAAAGCAACATTATTAATTGAACTCGGCCCAGAATCGTTTTTATTGATAGCAATGGTTTATCGTTGATAATACATTCAATTTCTATCTGTAGCCCAACTTCCCAACTTCCCACCTATAACAGTGGTTGCACCCACGTGCGAAGTATGTCCATCCTTTTGTTTTTTTAGTTCTTCGCTATTTTAGTTTACAACATTTTCTGAAGTTTGATTGAAAATGAAATTGTATAATTTAAGAGTAAAATAATTTACTTTTTCATAGATTTTTAAAACAAAAATCTAATAAATTTGTTATTTATCAATAATTAATTTGTAAATATTAAAATGTAATTACCTAGTTTAACAAATACCAACAAGTTAAAATTTCGCTTGGACATTTTTTACAGGACAGCGGTGATTTACAAAATAATGTTTTGTAGCTACTATTGTGGTTTTAAAAAAGAAAAAAAAAATCACGTTTCGCACGTTCAATTGTCAGCTCAATAGTTTTGATGTTCCGTTTTAATTTAAAATCTCTTCGAAGGTGTCCTTTTATTTTCCAATTGAAGCGAACGCGTTTCCGAATGAATTTTACTATAACTCATTATCTATTCGTGATGTATTCGTGACCGCTTGTAAATATTCTGTTTTAACCGAAATACTCGTTTACTTATAATATTTTTCTATTAATAAAATTGTTTTTTCTTTCTTTTTTGTTTATTAACCACTGTAGCTGAAAGTCTACCGGCACCGACGGCGGGCAGTCTGTTTTGGCTGTGCTGCTGTAACATTGGCGCTGCTTCTGATGATGAAATGCGAGATAGGCATGCGGTTCGTCAGCGAAATGGAGAATACCGAGCCGCAGGACATCTGGGAATACGTGTCCGATTTTTCCAGAATGATGGACCTTAACCCGACCATGTGAGTTGAAACGCATATATTTTGTCATAAATGAATTGTACGCTAAAATAAGTAGATATGGGTGCATATTATAATATATTTTTAGTTTCAAGAAAGAAGGGCTTAGATACATTTTGTACAGTTTTCAATAAAAGCAAGTTACATTTATAAATGATTAAATGACAATGCTGTTATATTTTTAATGGCCTAACCTAAAAAAGGCATTCTAAATGATTTTAATCATACACCTTTTGAATTATATGGTTTATGCACCTTTGTTGAACAGAAAGGACATCATAGGAACTTTTAAGGTATACTTTCAGAATATCACTTATAAGAAATTTAGAGTAAAAATTACATAAAAAATGGACCTAAGTCATTCTTCCCTGGGACCAAAGATATAGTTGTCGTGACGGGATACCAACGATTATCTGTGATACCATTATTTTCATACAAACGAAAAGTCTTTTTAAAGTGGTTTTGGAGAGTTGAAAGCCTATAAAGAAATATTTATAATTAAAAATTGGGAATGTATTTTTTTTTTCTAAACAATTATATTATTAGGTATAATTTTATACCTAAACAAAATATTATCGATTTAATAAAAAAATAAAAAATACTATTTAGTTGGATAACTTTGATGAATAATAATACACGTGTTGAATTTTAAGAGTGATATTAATTGTTATTTTTGGTTCATTGCGTGAACATGTTTTGATAGAATTTTATAATTACATAATAATAATAATACTATGATAATAATTGCGATAATGACATTGGACTGCTCGTTATCAATGTCGAAAAACGATGATAATAATATCTGAAATAATTAATATTTTCGAAAAGAAATCTGCATCGTTTCCGTTCCGTTTCTATAAATACAAATATATATATATATATATGTATATATGATGGTTAAAACTAATGCTGTATCAATATTTTTAATCGACAATTTTTAATCAATAATGTTTGCCAACATTGAAAATGTACAGTGTTCAAGCGGCGTTGAAAATTAAAATACAGAAAAAAAACGTGTTGTCTTTTCCTTTTTTTTTTTTTTAAAATCTTTTAATTAATGCGATTTGTTTTCGTTTAATACTGCAACTGTTGAACTCTTTTTTAAACAATAATAATAATTAAAAATGGTGGGCGTTCGATAAGATAATTTTGTATTTGTGGGTGTAGTTGTGTGAATTATTTTAATAAACGCGCTTTATTGATAAAATTTCGGGCGAATGGCGATGACGATTGAATATAAATATCCGTCAAGCAAAATATTTTGTATACGTTTCGGCTAAGTAGCGTATTAAGGATATTTTATCAATGGTTGTGTAGGGAGTTTTATTAAAATTCGTTCGGAAACCCGTAAGCATTTTCAAGATTAGGTTTTTATACTAATACATAGTACGGTGATGCATTTTGGTTATTAAAACTACAATAAATATAGAAATTAATTATTGGCCCGGCTATCATGAACAATAAAAACAAACATTTTCTTTTACTTCTCCTTTGTCTTTTTTTTCTTTAACTATTCGTGGTTAGAGTCAGACACACTATTGGTTCCGAATGCCCACCAGACATGAATCTGACGTTTGCAGCATCTTTGAACTCCTTGTACCGGTATTGTATTATCATTACTCTCAATCGTGTATATAATCATGTACACGTTTTGATCTTCCCCAACTCCTCTTGCGTTAACGTTAACGAATTATAAAAACTCTTGCTAACTTCACAGACTTATCGACAAATACAGTGGACGCCGCTTATAAGACTCACGGATGCACGGTTCAGTCACTTATTAAATTCAAAATCACTTGGAACGGTCCGGTCATTCCCAATATGTTCTATCTTAACTCCACTTCGCCTCTAAAGTTCATTTGATTATAAGAGTCCTTTGGGCTGTTCTAAAAAGTGAGTTTTATAAGCAGCGTCCACTGTATTACGTATACGAATCGTTTCAGACACTAAAATTATTCGTCTGTATAGAAGTGATTTTTTATCATGAACCAACAATTATTTCGGAGAATTTTAAGTGAATTTGATTTCTGGTTTTTTGAATTGTTGCGGGATCGTTTAAGATTTATTTTAAAATCATTTTTAGTTTGTATTCTTACTCCGTATACCTTAAATAAGTATATACTTCTGAATCCACTTTTGGACACAGATTCGAATGGAAAATATTTTTTAGTCATTTTGGTACACACAGCACTAATATCAGGTTTAATGTTTATGAGTTTAGAGAAGAGGATCAGTGAAGATTTATCAATTAATCATTTAAAAATCGATACGCAATTTGTGACAAGCAATTATTGCTTAAACAATTCCACAATGATAAAATAAAACAAAAACCAAATTTACTTAAAATCCGAGATAATTGGGGGTTCATGGTAAAAAAAAAAAAATTAAAAATCACCCTGTATACTGAGACAATAATGATATTTCATCGGACGACGGTAATATATTTTAGCTATTTTCATTTAATTCAAAAAGTTGTCATTTGAAATGTTAGAAACGTAGTTGACAGGCTCGACGATTTTCGTTATAAAATTTTACAAACATTGGATGTTTAAAAGCATTGAATCCAATAATCAGTAGGTATATACATTGGAAAAAAATGGGAAATCGTAATAATAATATAATGACATCCGCATAATGGATAAACGTTGTAATTCTTTAGTTTTATGACAGTTGTCGTAGTTTTTCGTATAATATATTAATTAGCCACAGCAATAACTACACTTTCCACGGTAATACAATTATTCTCAGTAACGGTTGACTGTTTTTTCCTATTATAGCCGTCATCACTCGGTTAAGAAATCAGAAATAAGCCAGTATCGGGTATAAAATATAATACAAATTAAAATAATAACTGTCCACAAAACTGTAATATGGAAATCTAAGATTTATAGGTTGGATATTGGGTTAGTTTAGATAGTACACGGTAAACATATTTTAAATGCGATTTCAGACTTAAAATACTCACAAGGCCTTATTAAGGAGGAAGTGAGTGTGCAGGGCCCAGGTCCTGAGCCCCACGCCTTTTACTTATATCTGGGGCTTTGCGTTCAAAAAAAAAATGTCGAAAAATATTTCAAATTTAACCCTGGGCATCACAAAACCTAAAGACAAGTCTTATTATATGAAATTAATAGATTAAAAAATATTTTTTAAAGACACGGGGCCGTTTGTGCATTTATTTGATATTTTCGAAATTACAAATTTTGATTTTTTTTTTTTTTTATCAAAAATTATACGAAACCCTTTAGACACTGAGCGTGTGAAGTCCAATTAAGACTTCTGTGGTGTAGGTATTTAATATGTTATGTATGAATAAAACCTCCATAAAACGGCAATAATCTTAAACTTTACGGGCAGTAATAAGATTAAAACGGCGGCGGTCGGTTATCAGCTGATGAGAAATGAGAACGAATTAAATGTGACACGTCGGACGTATATAAAATATATCATTTTAAACACAAACAAATTGACAAATCGAAAGTATAAAATAAAGTCATATTTTTTTTGTCCTTTATAAAGCCCCTCAAAAAAGTTTTCGCGATTATAAATTGTCGGCCGTATTTCGTTTTCTCCCCTCGTCTAAAGTCAACTGTATATATAGTAGACGTACTTATATAATAATAAAATGTTGCACCGCGACTGCAAACGATAAGTATATTGTTGGTGTTTTTTGTGATTTTGCCGAAATATACTCGAATAATTGGTCCGCCGAGTCATGAAAAAGTTTAAATTAAACATTACCGCGCACCTATTTATATTTTTCATTTTAAAACTTCACGCCTGACGTTCAATTGCGGTAAATCATACATATTATATATATTTTATTTTACTCAATTTAGCGTAACTATTATCGGTTGAAATTATTGCACTTATAATAATCAAAATAATAATATATAAAAAAAAACACTCGTGAGCAGCAGAGCTCTGTTACTGAAATCGAATTTTCGCTTATGCCTATTGTGTATAGTAGAAAACAGAAATACCTACTCTTTGCAAAATAATAAATAACCAGTAACGTGGTTATGGGGGAGGGGGGAATGTTCCTTTAATCTGAAAGTCTTTTTTATTTTAAATAATGTACCTCAAAGTATACATATCCGTAATGGTATCTATGGTACGGTTAATAGTGGTCGCATCTCAAAAGTGTTAGAACCATACAACGTATAGTTTTCAAATTTTACAAAGTACGAATAAATTCACTAATAGTAGGTAACAAGTTTAAAAACTATTGGATAATTTAATTTATATATTAAAATCGTTGCAATCGAATATAGACTCTCATCAGAGTAGTATTAGAACTATATGCACCCGTAATAATATATATTTTGTCGTATAAATCGTTTTTGGTACCATCAGGGGCAACAATTATAAATTATATTCAACTAATAGTTTCTTCGCTACACTCAGAATTTAAAACATAGATCTTATGATGGATATGGGGAACTCTCGAACAATATTCACTTCCTCTCCCCACAACAATATTATTACTATGCAACTATAAATGACCGAATACTATACTATAGTCTATATTACAGTTATATTACTTCCAAAACATGGTAAAATAGTCTTTATTCTAGGGGGAAAATTCGACAAAAACGTTTAAATAAGCGAAAAAATAATTTGCAAAATTGTAATTCTTCTATGCGAAAGAAGAGGTACTAGTAGATATCCAAAACGAATACCTATGAGTTGGGTATTTCTACTATAGCGACTAGCTGAAAGTTTAGGTAAAATAATTTAATGACGAATTTTTGTTCTTTTGAAATATTCTCTTCCGCGTCATTTTTTCTCTTCTTTTCCCGAGAATTATCAACATAATTTCGAATCAAGAGTGTTGTTATTTCGTATATTGGAGACAGACCAGTGTCAACTTTTTATTTTTCGATGGGTAATTACAGGCATACAACGTTATACCTTATGTGTGTTATTATAATGTTCTTATTAAAAACACAAACACAAAAAAAAAAAAAATGGTTTTTCGTGGTATACGTTTAATATTTCTCTTAAAAAAAAACGTCTCAACAGAAATAACAAAAAAAGGCGCGAGATAAAACATGAGAGTTGTTTGTAATTTTCAAAATTAGTTTAATAATTTGTGTTAGGATAATATTATTGTTTTAGAATTTCGTTTAATACTTTGCGCGAACATCATATATGAGACGTATCGAATTTCATAAGTGAATTACAGAAATACAAATTGGATAATCTATACAAGTATTGTGTCACATCTCAAAAATGTAGAATGTATGTAGGGTAATTGAGTTTTATAATGTATGTAACATTCAATCATTGCAATCGAAAACAGATTTTCAGATTTATCCGCTTGTTGTCAACGTAACCTAGAACTGTAGAAAATGATTTTGATATATTTTTAAAATAAAGTACCATTGGCTGTAAATCCTGAATATTTAAAGTATCTACTAAGTGAAAAAATTTGAGTACTATTTACTAGCCGAATAAGTGTTTTCGAGAAAAATAAAAACACATCTTAGCTAAACTATGATGGGTCTTGTCTACACTCAGAATCGAATACACTTTCATTATGGTATAGTAAAAAGAAAATTATTAATTTTAAAAAAAATCAGATATGTTAAAGTTTAACATAAATAACAAAGGTTATGACAATTTTTATGTTATCAGTTTCCTTTAAATATTTTCTTATCCCAAAAAATTGAATTATTTTAACTTTTAAGCGTTTGATATATCGTCAAATATTTAATTATATCGTAATTATTGCATGAGATTGATTATTGTAAACAATAAAAGCTTTACAGTGGAAACCTTTTAAAATTATAAAAATTGCAAACATCATTAAATCAGGAATAATTGTAAATGATTTTGAAGAGAAAAAAATATCGCTTCACACGACATAAGTGACGCTTTTGATCTTTTATTAGATACGGACGGTACCAGAGCTGTTAGACATAAAAACGTGATATTTTTGTTTTTTTAATATACACAATATTAACAGAAAATACGCAGGCGTTCTCTACCAGATGGCGTTACGATGTTGTTTTAAAATGAATCGTCGATGTTTATAATAATATTATTTGTCAGATTAGTTATTAACGTATGTATAGTATTTAACAAATCGAGTGTGTACAATTTGTCTGTTTTTAAAAACCGGTTTCGGTAAAAAATAATTTATTTTAATTTTTAATAAGTATTTTGACAAGTTCGAATAGAGAAAATCCTATATAATATGACCAGTCCAAGATGGACATTCTAAAAAAAAAACAAAAAAAAAAAAACAAAAACATTGTATAAAAAGTAGATAAGAATTGTTCTAAAAATTGAATTTCACGCGTAATTTTGTTTTCTGCAACGGACAACTTATGATAAACGGACGTATAGTTATAAAATACAATATGCTTGTACGATATTCTACGTTGTATCGTAAAAAATCAAATCATTCATCGATTCGATCTCAGATAAAGGATTTAATTATAAATAAAAGTAAAAAAATTCGTAAGTACGATCGGAGAATGAATATTTCCAATCCCATAGTAAAAATTGTCATAAATCATTTTTTACAAATATTTAAGAGAACAAAATTAAATTAATTCTACTTTAACTTTTACATTTTTTAAGTTTTAGATTTTGAGTGAAACGAGTAATGTATTGGTTTTACAATGATATATATATATATATTTTTTTTAACAAAAAACGTAACAACTTTGAACAACTTTTCTACCGGAAATTTTGCTCCGATTTCAATGATAATATTTTTTCTGAAAAAAAAAATTCGACTGGCGTGGTACTTTAGGGAAGTCATTTTTTAATTTTCCCAGAATTTTTTTCAACAACTGGGAAAAATTGGGAAAGAAACATGGGGAAATTGGGAAAAACGTAAGAAAAGCGGGAAAATAGGTACAATATTAAACAAATATTTTTAAAGAAAATGTATAATGCATAATGCATATGTAATTTTTTTATCATAATATGACATATATATTGTTGAAAAATCAACACTATTAACCTTTGCGTTTAAATATACATTAAATTTACCCTCTACCTTCCCAACTTTTCACCTACAATAGTGGCCTACCTACATGTGAATTAAGTTGGACTTTTTTAAAACTATTGTAGTAATATTCTTCATATTTCTTCATTAATACTTTTAGGTAATTTTTTTTTGTTGATCATTAAAAATCAAAAAGTGAGTTATAACGATTTTTGTTGAGTTTGTCAATCTATACGATGATTTATACTCATAAGTTTCTTTTTTTCATTTTTTTTTTCATTACAATCTAGAAACGTTTCTAACATCCAATTTTTAACATTTTAGAAATTTTACTCTTATTCCGAATACGACAAACATTAAATATACATAACTACTTAAGATTTTCTCGGTATTTCGGTTAGAATATTGATGAAAAATCTTAAAACCAAAATCTATAAGAATAAATATTGTCTAAAAAAAAACCAGAAAAAAAAAATCGAAATCTTCTCAAAATATTAAGAATTCATTGATTTAAAATAAGAATCACTCTGTACAGCAGGTATGTAGGTATTGCCTTAAAAACGATTTCGGTTTTCGGTTTAGAGAAAAATTATACGATTTATTTTCTACCGTTTTTTTTTATACACACTAGGTGAATCATATATTTTAATATCCGCGGTATTTGACGGGCGCATTTGCATTTCAGAACGTTTCTAACGCATATAAATATTTAAATCCGATCTCTATAATAATAATTGCTATTGCACACGAGATGATATTTTATTACATGGTACGGCTATACTATAATGTAATATATCCGTGTATTTTACCGCAATCGATTCGATCGGGACATTAATAATGATAATAATTAAATATGTACTGCGCCGGTGACGAGATACTGGTGCAGTTACAGGCGAACATAATATTATTAATGCAACCATTTCGTTAGTATAATCGAATAATTCACATATGTGTCCCCTCTCTCGTACCCGTAAGTCTAAATTTTTTCCACAAACGATACGTAACTCAATACAACCACGCTCAAAAACCATGAGCCGGGGTTCTTGTGTGCCATCTTCTAAGGAGTAGGTATTAGGTAACTGATGGGCCAAGAAAATCATGTCAATGTGTGTAAAAGAACATTTGCATGTGCGCGTTATACATCGTAACGTATTTGACGTTGTTTACAAACGGTCTTGAACTAAAAATGTTTACTAAAAAAAATGAGTTGGTACTTCGTTCGGTTGTATATGCTTATGAATTATAGTTATATCATAAATGAACGGTCCAAGGTCCCAAACCTAGTTTACCCAAACCACGGTAACTGTCAATAAAAATTATATTATGGTGTGATTATTATCAGCCACCGTCTTAAAACAGTGTGCTATCAACAAGGCGCGTTATCAATGAGCATCTGTGCATAATAAACAAACGATATTTGTTTATAATCCTACAAACCACCCAGCAAACAAATATTTACATAATACGAACAAAATATTATCAGGAACATTTTATAGTTGTAAAAATATTTTCGATAGTTTGTTTAATAATAGTGTAAATGTTATCGAAATATTTTTTGCCCGAATAGTTCATGTTTGGAAAATATTTTAGAATAACATTCATCAAACATTTTAATCTTATGTTTCTAAAACGTTAAATTTGTATAAATCATGTAACAAAATATTTTAGTATCGTAAGAATAAAATATTTATACAATATTATTAGTAAAATATTTTTTATTTAACCATTTCTAAATATTTATAAAATATTATCATTTTCCAAATGCTGTGTAGGAAATAACCTCTAGCTAATTTGTACGCTTCCCTGTAAGAATAAACTAAATAATCGATGAGCAATACTAACAATATCACAGTAAAATCCTTGGATTTGATGCTCACTGCAAGCGGCGACTACAACTATACGGACCGTGTATTATCGCTTGGCGCTAGTTACGAGCCAACAGAGATTCGATGGTTCGTCCTATCAAAATAAATAGGATAATTACACCGCGTCTAGCCGCCACGTTGTTCTATAATTGATACAATGATGGAAGGGTGTATCACCGAGACAATATTATTATTATTATCGGTACACTCAGTAAACTGATAAATTAAACGCGTTAAAAACGATATTATTGAAAATTTCAGACCCAGATAGTGTTAATACCTATATGTGCTATAATATGCACTTCAAGCGCGCGTGGGTCGACCGAGTGGGCGAAGAATCGTGAAGCCAGCAAACATGAAAACAAAATAGTTACGATGCAATTTATCCATAATATATGCATATGACGTCACCGACAACGGTAATTTATTGGTTTATTCACTGACACTGATCGCGTTTTTCGTTGACCTATCTTAATATTCGTATAATGGAGATATCCGAAAACGAAACATTTATTATCGTTCGTTGGGTAGTAAAAATGTATCTTTCATCTGTTTGCATTGGTTTTATTATACGGTGTGGTTTTATGTCATCTGCAAACGCGATTTCGACCAGAGCACATCAACCAATCGAAAAACTTTTTAAGATAATTACGGAGCTTGTTGTTATAATAGGGAGGTAATATTATTAAAATTGTTCGTACATTCCTTACAATAATTATAGGAGAAATTTACAGTTATATAGTATAATGTATTATAATTAATATAATATATATATTATACATCTTATAATCTAATATTTGGCCACCGAGGAAAATAGACAAACAATTATTGCCGAAAATCTTTAGGCCGGTGTAAAGATACATAGCAGTCAACAAGAGGGGGAGGGGAGGAAATAGAAAAAAAAAATTAGACCAAAGATAACGTTTGAAGAAAATAATGTTTTAGATATCATCACAAAAAAGAATACTGTGACTAGACATTCCTACAAAACACAAAACTCCATCACCTTACTCTATAAATGTAGATCAGAATTATTGCTGAAACAGAACCCAATAGGGGAAATATATTTGGAAAGTCCAAGGAAGAAGAGAGAGCGCTTAGTAAAAAAAGGACGTAATAGCTTTAGAAGCTGGACCTAATTGGACAATTTTGGCGATGGAGAAAGAGATAGCTGGAGGACTGATTTTGAGACGAGACGATCTTAGAAAATGAGAATAATTATGTCTAATAACGAACAAATTCAACGTGTATTTTAAACATTTTGGAACTCAGAAATTGGCTATTAAAAAGCACCGCAAGAGTGTAATAAACTCGTACCTACATAAATAGTTTATTGTTTATCGAATCCTATAGTTTTACGATTACCTACGACCTACCCACGTCAAAACGGTAGAAAATATAAAATGGGATTTTTTTTTTTTTAAATATATTAACATTTGTATACGATACCAACTTACTAGCCACCAAGTCAACGTATACAGAAATACATAATAAATGATATGTTAAATATGTTATACGAGCCACAGAATCGAAAAAAAATACTCTTCGCCTACCTACATGCATACGTACGCATATCTAAATTGAACAGCTATGAAATATACAACTCGTACCTAAATTTATAAAATATAGAGTTTGTCGTCTATGTCGGCTTTATTTCATCAAAACGATAAATTATTTAAGTTTTATATTATTTGTATTGTATATGATATGATGGTACTGAGACAGGTTTTAGATAGTCATATTGAGTTTGAGAACACAAAGTTTTAGAAAAGACATGTTTTGAAATACAAAACTTTTAGAATGCAGACTTTAAGGAATATTTATTTTATTTACTCCAATTAAATTGTATTAAAATGTATTAATTTACAAATAAAATATAATTAGAACTATAAAACAAATAATTCATAATTATTATAGTTCATATCTATTTACAAAAATGAAAATAAAAATAGTAATGATTTCCAATTAACAATAGATCTCAGGATTCATCTAAATCATAATTTGATTAATTAACTATTCTTTAATAAATTTGTAACTAGTTATTATTCTGTGTTTTTCTAATTTTTTTCTATTATTTTCTTAATCGTTATTCTATGCTAATAGTTGGCAATTGCAATTAAATCCAAATTGATAATAATAAAAAAATAACACAGTATTAAATCCAAACAAATATTCTAAAACTCAGTTTTTCTAAAAGTTTTACATTCTGAAGCGTAGCTTTTCTAAAATATGTCATTTTATGACTAGGTTTTCTAAAACATGCACCCAAATCAATTAATATTATGATTAATTTACTGTAGACTTTTTTTCTCTGAACTTTAAAAAATTATTAAAAATCAAAAATGAAATGAAAATATAAAACTGATTCGTCAAAATTATTTAAAGAATAAACTCGATAAAATGGCTTCAAAATCTCCAAACTTTTCGAAAATAACAAAATAAAAAGTTTTTGTTTTATTTTTTTTTTTATCAAAACATACAAATTTAATTAAAAAATAAATTTTTGTAGTCCTTATCCCTGAGAGTAAATAAACATAATTTGACTATCTTCACTATCTTCGGAGATATTACAATGGGTACCTATATCTTTCTGGGATACGCTGCGTATTTGATATCTATTTTCAAATGATACATTGATAAAACTTCCCTATTCCTTATAAACTTCTCAATTTGAAACTGTTATTAGTTATATTTATACGCCATAAACAGCAAATTTCATATAAACGTTATGTATACAATTTATAGAAAAATATTCTCAATTCAAATCTGTGTTTCAAAAAAGAGAACAGGCTTACTGCCATTTAAAAATCCAAAATTTATGCTTATTTAAAGCATATGGAGTGGTGTAAAAAGTATTAAAATAAAGCTAAAACGATTCCACGGTGCCTAAAAAAAAGAACAGATAAAACCATCACTTAAAATCCTTGGAGAAAATCGCATGAATAATGGCAAATTTATTATACTGAATAGAGATAACAAATTATTTGCAGCACATTGGAAATCTTTTTTTATATATAGATCCATGTTATACACTTACAAAAGCAAAATAAAATCAATACCATCGTTATAAAGTTCTACTTATTATTGGAATAATATTATGAAATGTAAACTTTCGAAACAAACCAATATTGGTATTTGTTAAATTAACAACGATTTTTCGAATTTTCGATATTATTAACTATATAAAATAATAATTATAACTGCTGCAGTAATAAATAGTTCGATAAATGGCTGATTATACATGATTATACATAACTAAACAGTTTAATGAAAACGTTTTTTTTTTTTTTTTTTAAGATTTTAAACGTAAACCTATATCGGTGTTATAATATCAGTAGATATTTTTTGGTTTTCTCGTAGAGTCTATTTACATGGGCATTTTAAACATTCTATTCAATTTATATTTGATTTAATAAATATACGGTTATTGAAAAGAAATTCAAAACTAAACCATTAATACATTACAATTTCACTAATACATAATATAGATACAAAATTTGCTCATATATATATATTTATATACACACACACAGAATTGCGCAAGATTTTAAATGCAACGTTGCCATAACGTATTAGTTATACGTGTTAACATATTAGTTATACGACCACAGTGTAAGACACAACAACAGTTAATGAATACATAATTATTTTACATATTTTAAGATGGCCATGGTTATGAACGTTGATAGTAATTTTTTTTTTTAGAGTTAACAATTTGTTATCATTTTTTCGAGTATTTACTTTAATATGAATAGTATAGAAGTTTAGAGAACCATTGTTAAGTATTAATACTAATACTAATAATAATAATAATAAATAAAAAAAACAAATATAATAGATGTATATTAAAAGTTATTTTAAAACAATAGTTTTGGTCAGTTTGTTAGTAAAATTCAATATTAATAATAAATATATAACAGCTATACAATTATAAAAATAATTAAAATATCTTATATATTATAATGATTTTCCCTGATATCTAGTGTCAGTTAGTGACATATAACGGAGTAAATTATCTTCAGATTTACACGATTTATATCTATTATTATGCCCTTGCTTCAATGCGTGCTGTCTCTATAGGAGTCACCTATTTCATTTCGTCATTAGAAACTGTGTTTTTTTTTTTTTTTTACTTCTGTTTCGGACTGCGTTTCTAATAAGACAATTAGTACTAAATATATCGTGTAAGGTCTTCACACAGAACGCGGTTTGTAATATATTATGATGTTATACTGATATATTTATCTAAATATGGAAACGTTGCATTTAAAATCTTGCACAACCGTGTATATATATGAGAAATTTGCTCAATCGGGTACGTATTTCGATAGTTATTGAGCAAATTTCGCTCAATCGTTCTTAACCGGTTAGAACATTGCGGAATGAAAAAGTTGTATTCGAATTTTAAAATTAAATATTTTCGTTTTATGGGTTTTTGTAATAATTGATATCACCCAATAAATTAATTAATGTATAGATAAATACAACAATAACCATATGGCTTATGAAATAAAAAAATTACACTATTTAAAAATAAAATAAAAATAAGTAGTTACAGCAAGGATATTGGTCATAGGTAGCGAACTCTACCTAACTTATTTTTATACGAAGTAAAATAAACAGTTAGTTGAATACCGTTCACGGGAAAGTCTATGGCATTAACGGATTAATTATTTTTGATTTTGATTTTTTTTTTTTCTAAATTGATTTAAAATAATATTAAGAATCTGAAATTTTCACAGAATACTAATATAAGTTTTTTTAAAAATTATGATTTAAAACCATTCTGGTCATTGTTGAGCTATTTATAAATATTTGATATTTTCGAGTTTTTTATTATTTTAATGTAGATACAAATTGTAAAGCCAAAAGTAATTCTTTACAATATTTAACACGAAGTTTGTTATAAGTTAAACTAAGCAGTAAAACAAGTTGAGTTTTTTATAAGCGTTTTAAGATGAAATGTTGACGAAAATCATAAAAAATTATGACATGTCAAAATATATTTAATTGAACTACACCATACATGCACGCATACTCGAAAAGTTGTGGATAGTATACAAATATTTTGCTCGTTCCGTGATATTATAAACGAAAAGAAGGAGCCTTCATGATGGTAGTCTTATTTTTAAAAGTGCATAACACGATAGTTTCGATGGTTTCCGTTATCAATCGATGGTTAAAAGTAAAAAAAAAAAAAAAAATAGAAAAATTTAAACCATTGTTGTAGGTTGAAAGTTTAATTTAGTTCCATTGTAAACGAAAACAATTTTAAGCGAAACTCGGTATTCTGATAAGGTTATTGGTATTAGTATAATTTTTGGTGTTAGGTTTGTATTAGTCGAGTAGTTCTCCCTAGTAGACTAAGTAACCCAGACACCAATAAAAATAAATACATGTAGCATAAATTGACTTTGAAAAAATATTAAGGGTCTAGAAACATTGTTCAAATAAAGAATATTATCGGTCGAAAAATCAGAATCTTAAAAGTAATAAAGTACGAAAAAACCTGGCCATTTTTACTAATCATAAAAGTTTTTTTCTTAAACGCATTCTAGTGAAACTAATATTACTGGTTCTTCGCTACATTCAGATTCTAAAAGAGTTGGGCAGGTTAAAGGATTATAAAATGGTTTAATTTACACTGGTACGCAATGTAAACTTTTTCCAAGTTTTTCCAAAAAAAAAAAAAAATAAAAAAAAATACTAATCATTCGAATGCATAAACTACAATTAAAATTCAACGAAAAGTGTCTCTTATTATTTTTCGACTGGATCGAGATTTCTGGAAGAAAAGTCGTTCATATATAATGTCAATATACCGCCATAGTATTTATATCGCGACAAAGTACGAGAGAATATTTGGCGACTTAAGAAAGTTACAACTACATGAAATAATATGAAATCGACCTATATATTATATATATGTATATATAAAAAATTATATTATACCTAGTATTCGATGTTCGATTGCATTTTTTCCATGAAACGGTTATTACTCGTCATATGCGTTCATGTAATAACGCACGCGAATAATATTAAGTCATCTATGGGCGAATAAACTGTATAAAGTACCATATATTATTTGTACTTTTGATTATTAAAAAAAAAAAATGTACGGTGTAAATATTGAAATACAAAACGTGCGCTGAATACGTACGTAAAAAAATATACTCACGTGCATATAAACATAATATTATTATACTATTTGTTCCATCTATATACGCAAAATGCAATAGTTTACTCCGATCTGGATATTTTTTCAACACTGCATGTTGCAGCTGTTTAACCACATCGATTAGTTTTACTAATAAAAACATCGATAGCTAAAATCAAAGCGTGCAGAAAATAAATCGCAAAACCGTCGTATAATTTTGTCGAGTATTCTTATAATATATTATCAGCATATGGCATCGGCATAACAAAACAAGAATTAAAAATAAGATACAATAGAATGAAATAACTAGGTAAATTAGATAAACAATTAATAATATAAACTAAACAAGTAAATACGTACATTTTTTGTATTCTTTTTAAAAATCGTGGTAACGATGACTTATAGTCGGACATCCAAGTTGATAAACCATTCAGTCGTTGCAGTTCCACATAGGTGGATTCGAGTTTGGTTTGCTGTTTGGGATAGGTTTTGAAAAAATTGTATCGACCGACGGTTTTTTGTGATAAAAGATATTTATAGACGATAATAGATCGGTTGAGTCTATATTGTACTAAGATATTTCTAAGATATCAATCTCGTAATGCCCGCTGATTGGTTGGCCTATAGTTTATATCTAAGGACCGTCATATTTCACCTCATATAATACGTCATAATGTCCATAATGGATATCGGTTATCAGGCGGTCCTGAATCTGCTGGCCCAATCGCACGATTATAAATACTATATTGCTCATTGACCTATGATAAAGTGTCCACCTACACCAACATTTATTTAAAGTAATACTGCGTCAATTTATGGAACTTTGAATATAGGTTCTCATTTGAAAAACTAAAGTTTGTATCACCACAGGATACTCCTTAAATGTTGTGAAAAATCTAAGTATTCGAAAATATCGGATTTAACCACACTTATAAAAATTCCGAAAATCAGAATTTGAATATATTATGCAAAATTTAAGTAAAAAAAAAGAAAAAAAAAAGATGAGCACGCTTAGTGAATCATCCCGTATAATGTATATAATTTATTATTACACATTAAATTACCACTTAGTTCTATGATAATATACCTATTAACATTTTAAAGTTTCTCGCAACAAATAACTACATTTTTTGTACAATTAATAAAATTTGTTTCATCATATAATATCATCAAGATACGTCACCTACGTCATTAATTCACTACAATATGATAATTTTTCTGAATACCTAAATAAAATAGCGGTCCATTTAATAGTAATAATTAGCTGTAGTGTTGACCACGCTGAGTACATAACGTCATATAACATCTCTCTCCGTTGACATTTCGAAATGAAATTATTAAAATAAACATTTAGTCACTTTTAGCGATTCTTTTGTAAAATAATTAAAAACAAATCAGCTTTTCCTTTGGATATTTCAAAATAGATTTACAATATTATATAGATCTATTTAGTCAAATGACAAACGGATTTATTTCCATCTATCGCCTAGCTATAACTCAAAAGTAAATTTATGAATCTGAAAGTGGCAGAGGAATGCTCTTCATCATATTGACATCGACACCACTTCAACGGATTTTTTTTTTTTTAATGAAACCACTGTGAAATTACACATTTAAAATAAAACCAACACGTCATAAAGTCCTAGAGAACGAATGGACGAGAATGTTGTAATATTATTTTGCTGACCTAGTGACCCGACGAGATGTTCAAAACAATATAAACCGTTTCGACGTTCTGCGAATAAAATAAGAAGAGCTCGTGTGTTTCATATAATATTATTCAACGACAATGATAATATTTACAATAAATCCAGTAATATAATGAACAGTTTGGTTCATTCAAATAAGTAACATGAGATATGGATTTGGATTGAAATGAAGCTTATTTTATAAGAAATATCGAGGGTACCAAAATTCACATTTTAAAACTCTTCTCGACATTTTAACCCCCGCATTCCGCACACATGCGAAATAAAAACATTCAGTTTTATTACATTTTTAACGCCAGAATCGATAGTCCGACTCAGTTTTTTTCAAGTAACTTTGACGAATTAAATGTATGATGAAGTCATCCATAATTTAATTAGAAAAGATGTTTGTTTTTTTTTGATATTACAAACAATTTAAACGTAAACAAATTTGACAATCGTTTTATAAAATAAAAAATGATAATGAATAAATATAGATATAACTTTCGAATTACACATATATAATAATAGCAATGTACGTTTTACAATTTTCGAATAATTTAAGTAGGTATGAGATAAAATCATACATTTTCAATGCACTTTTACTAACGGTTATACCAAAGAGAAATTTCGAGATAAAAAAATATAGAATTATTCGAATCTGGTGTTAAAAATCTAAGTGTTATTGTACACCGAGAGTGTAAAAATTTTGAAAATATGTAGTATATGTATATGGAAGTTTCGAAATCCCTAAAAAAAAAAAACACCTTATTTAAATATAAGCTTATTTGATTGAAATATTTCGAGTTAAACTATTTGAGTGAAACACTCTGTTGTTTCAGTAAATTGAGTATAAGTTAGAGCAGTACTCGTATATGGTTTACACCGGGAGACAGATTAAGTTTCCGTGCAGTGTTATACCAGGACTTTGATTTTCAGAGTGAGCTTTTTTTACCTATATGAAGTTTACAATATTCGGAACACCTACAATCTACAAAACAAAAGTCTTATTTATTAAGAGGGTTTAAGGAGACCACTTTTTCATGGATAATATTTTGATCAAAATACGTAGGAGTATTCTTCATAAAGTGTAGTGTCAATTTGATAAAATGTGATAGATAACAATTATTTTTTGTTTGGTATCGTAGATGTCTCTCTTGTTTCAAAATTTAGAAAATTCAAAAATAATTAATTGTATTGTATAATGTATATATTACTATGTACAATATAGTATTATTAGTCTTATTTTTTAGTACGCACTTCTCAAATCTGTAATTACACATACTGGGAAGGTACTTTAAACAAGTAATTTTTTGATTTTCCCAGAATTTTTTACAATAAATGGGAAAAATCAGGAAAAAACAAGGTAAAATTGGTAAAATATTAAACAAATATTATTAAAGAAAATATATAACTCTTATTTAATTAGTTTATCATAATATGACATATATATTTTTGATAAAGCATAAATATCAACTGAACTGCGCTCAGAAGCGTTATTTCGTTAGTAATGGTTTATCGTTGTTTACAGATATACATCCGTCTTCATTATCCTAGGACGTCTTTTTTAGAGTTTATATTATTTTGGAAATGTTGACGTTACAATTTTTTATTTTCGTGATTTTTAATAATTTTTCAAAGTTTAGAGAAAAAAGTGTACAGTCAATTATCAATAACAATAATAATAATAATAATAATAGTCAATTAGCAATTACAGCCTGATGCATAAGTATGGCAATTGGATGAATAAATAATATAACATTATTTTTGTTATTATAGCAAATTATTAACTGTACAATTACTTTGAACTTTAAAATACTTATTAAAAATCACGAATTCGATGAAAATACAACGGTCAGACATCAAAATTTTTAGAAGAATAAACAATATAAAATGACTATCTATAAATTGTTCAAAGGTTATTTTTTAAATTTTTTTATTAGAAGATAAAATTTGAATTTAAATATAAATATTTGTAACTCTTATTCGTGTGAGTAACGAAAATTAAAATTTGATTATCATTATTATCTTAGAATATATTGTGTGGTGTTGAAAACATACTCATCTTCTTGAAACACCCTGTATAGTGTTCTGGAAATTGAATGGAAAACATTATATAATGCGGTTGGACTACATTCAGTCTTTGCTTTCAACCACCGCCTTTCTCAACATGGGGTCAACAGCTCTTATTCTCGCCCTCCACATCAGCTCCCTATCCGTCACGACTGTTTCTTCGTCTAGCCCTGTAGTTCTGTACATAATACAATGTCTCACATCCCTCTTATATGAAACAATAATAAATCGTATACTCATATATCCAAGCATATATATAGGCACCTCCCGTCGTTTTCCGGTCATTAAATATCGTTAGAGTTGATTGATAAACTTCGCGATCGTCGGCGATTTAGATTTATAGTATTCGAAAATCATGCGTGGTTTTGCGATGGGGAGTAAATCAAATCATCGCGATCGGTAGAAAAATTCGAAAGACTACCGGAAAATATAAGTACGTCGATAGTTTTTAAGGACATTTTTTTTCGATAGGGAGGGGGGGAAATCATTTATTTTATTTCGTTCCTTTTTTAATTATTTGAAACTTTTATACGCAGAACCACATTTACAATAACCCACGAATCGACTAACTACAAACAATGGAACTACACGGTCGTGTACAAAGAATACTTGTCTCAACTTCCGTTCGTGACCAACACGATTGTTGGCGATTTCGTGATAGACAAACTGCAATCGCGATCCAAACATCGCACAATCAAATCGACTCATCGGACGTGTTTCGCAAAGATTTACTGCCGTGAGTAATGTATCTACCTACATACTTAATTACTGTTCATTAAAATTAGAGTACGGATATCGAAGTACTAAACAAAATAAGTATATAGACTATTATTAGTTAGAAATAAGTAATATATTATATGAGAGATATTGATAAGAAATTTAGAAATATAAGAAGAAAATGACTGATAGTAGTTTAGTTATTATTTCTAAACATAATATACTTAACGATTTAAAAAGATTTATCTAAATATTTCTCATGAATGATTTAATTGTTTGTATTAGATAACAGCTTTGATAACTTATTTATCTCGTTTCTCTAGATAAGATAAAAGTGGACATGTGAAGTTGAATGATTTCGAAACTTTTCGTGAAGTTGAAAAGTTTGAAGGCTGTTGAAATGAAAAAATTTAAAACATTCACTTTTCTTCTATTAATTACAATTTTTACTATTACAAAAAAAAAAAAAAAATAAATTTCAAATACTATGTAAACTGATTAATATTTTATGAAATCCGTAAACAAATAAATATGAATGTCTACAAGAGTAGAATTAAAAGTTTGCATAAAATGTTTCATGGACCGATAAATTTAAAATTTTAGTTCTCTGGCATTAAAGATAAATGTATAATTGTTATCAAGATAAAACACAATATTTCATGTTTTAATATTGTATTAATATGACGCTCGTCCGTTAAGAATTTCGTGGTTTTTTTTCTACAGTGAATACTAAATCGGAAATGATATTCCTGGAGAATCCGAACGGCACCAAAATTGTGGAGGAAATCAAATACGAATGCCCGTGGCTGTTGACCAGGTTTTGCAAGAACGAAGTCACGTACCAGAGGGAAAAAATATTCGGACATCTCCGGACCGTGTTCGTGCATACAAAACGTTAGTTTTTTATAACATGTATATGTATTTTAACATTATTATTAATATATAGTATTATTATTATTTTTCCATTTTATGAGCATTTTTTTTTTTTTCATAATTTGTATCCCGGGTTTGTCGTTGGTGCGGCTGCAGTTTTCCCGCGGCCCGTTTAAATTAATAGCTTCCGAGAATCGGGAACGACTTGCAGAACCCGCGGCCACGAACAAAACAACGAAATAATTTAAATTGTTAATTTTTATTTTTTTTTCTCGAATTTTCTGTATTATATTCTTTATACTTGCAGCAAGCCGCGGGTAAAGGACCACGAATAACAATAATATTATCAACGCGCGTTATTTCGCTGGATTTTCCTCCTTCACGAGTTTTCACCGATGAGGGGAAAATATATTGCAAAAGATATTATAATATTGCGTTCCGGTGGTACTTTCCATAGAGTACTCAAACCGAATACAAATGAAAAGCAACGATTTATGATATTAAGGCCTAAGGGAATTGGATAACGAAATAAAGTCTTTCTATGTTTGATACATTCGCAAACACACATAAGTAGTGCATTTTCCTTCAGTCAGTCCGATGATAGTGAATTTTCAGTCCTTAATTTATAAAAATTAAATTTAAAAAACTATCGTGGCCGATCTCACGTACACGTTGAATTAGAATTTGTCTTTAAAATTTGTATCACTTTAATATACGTCAATCAAGTTGATAGAAATAAATTGGTCTAAATATTGCTATGCTACATATGTGTTTGATATTGAAAAGATAATTTCCGTTCGTCTAGAGCAGCGGTTCTCAACCTGCGGTACGCGTAACCCTTACGGTACGTGGAAAGCTCGTAGGTGGTACACGAAGACATTTTTCAACAAGCGGAAAAAACAAAATGTTTAGTTATAATGTTCATGAAATCTATAAATAATAGTCAAAATAATAACTGTACTTTTGTAGATTATATGCTAATATTTTTGTAGATTTAGTAATAAAAATTTCCATAGGTGTAAATGACGTATTTAAACATTTTTTTTTTTCTATGGCGCTCAAATAGTCATGTAGAATTATAACAGGCTGTTCTTAGATAAAAGAAATACATAAAACTCACATTTTAAGTGGAATAGCAAACCCGAACAAACGCAGGTCAACGACAACCGAAATTGAAACATACAAATGTAAGCCATCCACTTTACGGGTATACTGCTGCGGTAAAGCTCTAATAATTAAGAAGGAGTTTTATGCGTAGTAGAAAAAGATATCGTTCGAGAACTACAGAATATGTAAAAAGAAAAGAATATATGACGTGAACCAACATGGATACGAGCAATAGAAAACCTACTGCCAGGTCTAAACATGAAATATGAGACATGGAAAACACTTAATCGGCTGTGAGCATGGGTAGCTAGAACAAAAAATAACTTGGTGAAAATAATAAAATTTAAAAAAACCTTGTTCAAATATGGATGCGTCTAGGACGAAAACCTACTATTGCAACGTCCAATGATGCGGACTCATTATGACGCGGTCACTAAAGTAATAAATTACTAGACCTAAGAGGAATACTATTCATGCTAACTGATGCGGGATTAATGTACTAATTATAACGAATATCATTTTCGCTATATTCATGATCAAAAAATGGATATTTAAAAATTAGTATTTTTAATATAAGTGTGTTTTGAAATTGTACATTGTGCGTTCAATTTTCGTTGTTACGTTTGAACTTTTATATTAATCCGTTTCGAATATTAAAATATACGCCATGTAGCGACACGAAGCGTTTTATTAGCGTACACCGCGCCAAATCGTTGGGGCGATAAACGTGTGAAAATAAAACACCTGTTCGTGAAATATAATTTATCGAAGCGAAATCTCGACTTTTATATTTAGGGGCGACGGAAAACATACCGAAATACTCGTAAATAATTTTTCGTAAATTATATAGTCGTTGTGTGTGTTTTTTTTTTTTTTTTTTTTTTTATCGAATACAAATATATAGAGTTGGTGGGTCACATTTTTTGATAACAAGATAAATGTAAAATATTAAAAAAATATCGTAACACGGTATACTTACAATAAATCACGGCCGCGGATATTAATAAAAATAGTTTGCAGATTATTGTTTTAAACGGCAGCAGCAATATAGCTGTTCCGTTAACTTTTCACAACTTTTCGCCGAGCAATTTAATATATAACATCGATATCGCGCGTTTTTGTGTAAGTACGCATACATAACCCAATAACATAATAACATTATAAATTATTACAGTCTGCCCGAGAACGGCGAAATACGTCGCGTGTAATTTAAGTATACGGTGAGATGTATGAGTTAAAAGTGAAGGTGTAATATGTAGATCGGCTTAAAGCTTTAAGTGTCGTTCTATCTGGATCGCTTAGTTTTTAATGGCCAAGTTTAATGATTTCCAATATTTATCAATAACATTTTCAAAATGATCAAGAACAAAAAAAAATACACACATATTTTTTCTGATTAAATTGATTCTACCAAAAATTGCTATCAAATCATTAAGCTATTTACTTTTTGAACTGATTTGAAGTTTTTTAAAAGATATAGAAAATAATGCAAATAAATTTTAGGTAAACTTCAGTTAAATAAGCAAAACAAGGCTTAAGTAAAAAATAAATATAGTGAATAAATATATAAATAAAAAATGTATACATAAAAATAAAATAAATAAATGAATCAATGCGTCGCCTGGAGTATCATGATAAGTGTATTATACGACCGGTTTTGAATTAAAAATTCATCATCAGATAATACCACAGTCAAAATGTAAAACGCGAATCACGTTATTCATTTATTTATTTTATTTTTATACATACATTTTTTTATTTATATATATATATATATATATATGTATTTACGAATATTAATCATTTTAATAATTTTGTTTTTACTTTATTATTTTATTATGAAAAGTAAATAAATTTAACTCATTTGACAATATCTAAATGTAAAATTATGCGTAATCGACTCTGTTTAAAGATTTGAGTAGTTTTTTATTTAACGAAATTAAGTACCAAAATATTTAACATTAAGTTTAAGTATTACAGTTAATTTATTTAGATGACGATAAAAAAAAAAACAACTAGTCAAGTTAAAAAGCTTGAAAATACTTTAACCAGAACTTTTTAACTGAACAATTAACAGCCAGCATTGGTTTTTGGATTTTTGAACATTAAATTCATATGGTAGGTATATCTCAATTTTTAAAAGTTATCATTCGGGACATTCGAGTGCCCTAACATCGCACGTGCTGACGATAATAATACAATAAGCTTCCATAATCTTGGCACATTTAGATTATCATTCTCGAAATACGCGTATTATGATATAATATCATAATTCGATCAGCCGTTCGTGTCCCTCAGAGTGGATTCTCGTTCCAAATATTTTGTTCCCTGCGTTTAAATTATAGTACGAAATGTGCATATCCGCGAAAATAATGGACACACTCGAATGAATAGTAAATCTCGCACAAACGGAATTTAAAACGACTGAGAAAATATTTCAGTTTTGCAATAGGTTTATAATATATTGTCACACGTCGTTAATGCGATTTTCCATATAAACCGAATGCTGCGCGACCAAGAGAAAACCCAGGATAAAATGTAAAAAGTTAAACTTTTGAGTGAGTGTATAATAAAGACAATTAAATATTATTGAAATCCGGCCCGTGTTAAAAATTTCAAATCCCTGCGTGCTAAATATCGAGTTTTTCTCGGTTCCTGTCGGGTTTTTTTTCGGATTATTTTTAGTACATCTCTTTCCATTACAGTGTTACCAGGCGAAAAATCCATATATCTTTCGATTGGAATATCCGACGGAGTATTCAAGTTTCTGAGGATTTTTTTGCTAACCAAAAAAGTGGCTTCATGCATTTAAAAAAAAAAAATTACATATCTTTTCGTCCCATATATAGATTTGATTGTACGTTAAACGCATAATCCCATTAAATCACATTCACATAAACGACTAAATTGCCAACGATTGATCACTTCTTGGATAATAAAGGTATTAGTTAAAATTATTACGGCTTTTTTTTATCCTGTAGACAAATAAGGAATTTTGCTCCAATCTAAATTGATAACAATGTTTCTAAAAGGAAATTTGACTGGGAAGGTACTTTAGGGAGTTCCTTTTTTTCCCTCAAGAATTTTCCCAGAAAGTGTGAAAAACCACAAAAAATATAGGAAAACCGGGAAAAACGAAAAAATCGGTAAATTAAACAAACATTATTATAGATAATATATAATGTCTATTTAATTATTTGACTATAGTACGACTATAATATATTGTTGACAAAGCATTACTATCAACTGAATTCCGCTCAGAATCGTTTTTTCGTTAGCGATTGTTAATTGTTGCTAACAGATATACATTAAAATACCTATAACAGTGCCTGCACTCGTCTCCATTATCTTAGGATGTCTTTTTTCTCTTGTTTTTATTTTTTATATAGTTTCACTGATTGATATAAACGAGGCGTCATCAATCAGATTCGCGCCGTATTGTTCAACGGATGTCTATAAGATGTCTAAATAAATAACAGAGATCGAAAGTGTATACGGGGCGTATTAAAACGGAAAAAAAAACATGAGAGTAATCCTTGAGTGTTTTCTCATCTTCGTTAAAACTCGTTATCAATGTTCCGAGACACACCATACGTAAGAGCCACAAGTTCGTCTTGATCAAAAATTTAACAGATACGCGTCAACGACCGAAAAGGCTCATATAATATATTGATATACTTACAACATTTTAATCCCTCGTAGTAAATAAAGGCCATAATCATATATGATAAATCACGTACGATCGGATTTTGGGTAAAATCTATGAAATTATCGTGCGAACGGTGACCTACTACACGTCTTCTTAAAATAAATGTTTTAAAAAAAATAACAAAAAAATACCTTTCACCTTAACAGAACTCAAAAAATGAAAAATAAAAGTTTTACTGTCGAATAATAGTTATCTGTTTTACTCGTATTT